TGGCACCCATTTTCTCAAATACTGGCAGGAATCCCATGGAGAACTTTTTTTCCCAGCTTGAGTACAAATTTAAGATTGGAAAAGTGCTATCAAAAGTAGTCCCCAAGTTAGTGGAGCGAAATCCTATTTCTAGCCACATTTTGAGCTTCAGCCTATGGCCTAACAATGGCAAACAGAGAGAGGCAAGTTTAAGTGTGTCACAACAATGAGACCTCTTGTTGAATGTTAAACAAACCTGGAATCCGGCTTAACACAGAAAGTGTCAAACTCAACTCATAAACTTTAAAGAAGAGCTGAGCGTTGAAGTAAGCACAAAGTGCGAACTATGTTTAAAAAAAATAATAATCGAGTGTTTTAAATGTGAGCTGTTAAATATATACAATAATAGCTGCGAGTGGAGGAAACACCCAGTGTCAGGGGGAATGTTGTAATCCAAGGGAGTTGGCTGACTGATGATCCCAGGTTCTTCTGCTATCAGGGAGGAATTTAGCAGCTAGCCTCGACCTGCTCTCCACTGCTGAGGGGAAACAGACACTCAACCAACTCATACTGCCACCCTGCTTTTAAACGGAGTGATGAGGAGTCTAAAACCCTGTGAAAAAAAAAAAATGTTTCATTCTCACCAACATCTCGTACAATTTGTTATTTGTGATGTTTGGGAAAAATGCTTCAGTTGATCTACAGCTGAAAGTCAAACTACTTTCTACTTACATGACGACTAGCACTCTAAACCTCCATTATCTACTAATGCGGTGTTTGTGCTGCTGTTCACAACAGCAGTTAAAATGGGTTTTCTGAGGGGGGGGGGGGGACTTATTCATGGAGGTCAGGGTCACACTATGCGTCTACTACAGACAGTCCAAACATACACCACTTCCTAAGCAGAAAGTTGTTCCTTTAGAAACTGCACACAATGTGTTCTGTAACTGTTGACTGCTCAGATTAACCCTGATGCTTTCAAAATATATATATGTAGTTGAACTTTTTCAATTCTCACTCTTTTTTCTGCATTTAACTGATCATTCACTGACGCTCCCTCCAAACATTAGATATTAAATATCTACAGTGAAAAAGTCGGCATACATAACTGGACATAAATTAATTGTGTACCTTATTTAAAAAAAAACTCCAGAATTCATTCAGCTGCTTTGCTTCCATATGATCTGAAGGATCTGAATTTCTAAGCATCTCAGACAAGAGCAGCAGGATTCAAAAGGGCCCATCAGGTTCCCCAAGGAATATCAGAGGATATAAATTATAAATGACTGTACTCTGGACTCAGTGTGGACCATGTATGCTGCTTTGTGATCCTCCAGCTGTTTAATGAGGAAAGAGGCACCCCATCCCAAGAGATTTGAATATTTCTATACAGGTTAGTCACATTTATACTCAATATCAGCATCACTTGAGTCTAATGCTGATTTTTGAAAAAAGAAAAGAAAAAAAGAAAAATCTTATGACAAACATAAAGGAGTCTCCATCTGGACAAAAAACTCTCAACAAAATAGAATACAAACAGCTCGTCTTCAGCTTTCATTTCATTTACCTACGTTTCACGGGAAAAGTGTAAAGGGAGTAAGATGGACTGGTTTAAAGAACCACAGACAGCATGCAGGAAAACATACAGTCCAATAACCGGGAATGCAGTTCCCTGTGACTTTAGAGAAGCACGCCTGTCCATGTCTAATCCTCTATCTTCACCCATTTGCATTGAGTGCAACGAGCTCATGGTGTGACTCAAAGTTTTATGGCAACGTTTCTGGTCTCTCATTGGTTTCTGAAGCGAAGAATCAACACTAAAAAGCCTTTTTTTTCCTTTACATATCTATCTCACCTGTTTGACAAAAGACTTGCTGTTGTACCTGGCTGTGCTAAACCACAGGAAGTCAAATTATGGCTGGCATGTAGCAGCGTTACTTCCTCACAGGATTCATTCATTTTTGTAGAAATGGATCTAATGTAATGGTAACTTTGCTTTTAAAACCAGAGGATAACATGGAATGCAATTGGTCAAGCCGGTACCAAAGTATACTTTGGTAACGGCTTACTTACACCTACTTTTAAAAGTGTGCAGCATTCCTTTAAAAATCCCCTGATCAGAAGAATTTAGACAGTCACAAAATAAATTACTTAAAAACTCAATCACAAAGGCAAAAGACAACAGAATAATCACGTACATAAACAGATTTTACTGTAAAGCCAAAAGGGGCCTCCTATCAAACTCCTTCATACATCCATTGTGACAAAAATTAAGACAATGCTGTACGAGACAGTTCCAAATATAAACTGACCCAAAATATTCAAAGCGGGCAATTGTGCACTGTGACGTGTAGAAAACTAAAGAAGGAGGACAGGAGAGAGACACTGGAAAAGATGAAACATCACATAACAGTGTTTGTCGAAAGAAAAATAATAATCCTGCTGTCTGCCTGTCTAGTTCAACATAGCCCCCAACAGCATGCAAAAACTCAAAGAATGTGGCAGCCAGAGGTGTCACACGAAGCTGTCAACCAATGTTAGACCCTGGATCTTTAGAGGGCCGCTGACATGCCCACTCTGGCTTCGGCTCGATGCAGCCTCCCATCAGTGCCAACAAAAGGCCTAAATGGCAAATCTAAATTAATCTTAGGTGCTGTCGTTAAGCTATATGGGCTTCTCATCCACTACTATTGACACCATTTATTTAAACAGCATGCATGCCAAACAAATTAGACATTGAATTACTGAATGTAGATGTGGATATTCATCATCAGATTCTTTAACCTGTTTGCCTAAATAGAAGTCAATCTCTTGTCTATTTACATATTGTATTTATGAGCCAAATGATCTCAATACAGCAAAAAAGACTGTCCCGATTACCCACAACAAACCAACTTACAATGTCCAGAAAACAACCAGCACAAAGGGATAAGATGACAAACACATCTGTAAACACAGACCACCTTTGATAAGCCTTCTATAGCCCAGTTCCTCTGCTGCATTCCCCCTCCTTATTCACTCCCCATTTCCTCTTTGAACAATCGGTGCAAAGACAGTTGGCCAAGAGCTCTGTGTCTTCACAAGCACAACATGGTCATTCCTAAAGGCTGCCTGCCCATGATTCATTTGACTGATTCACATATAGGAACAATTAGGGGGGAAGAAATTGAGTAAAAAAAAATTGCAAACCAGTCAGTCATTTGAATTTTCAACTGAGGAGAAACAAGTCTGCGAGAGATTTCACGTAGAGATGCAAACAATTCATGCTGCATTTACACCCTATTCTCTCTCCTAATTATCAAATGACAAAAACTGACAAATTATTATTTGCTTAATTTAAACTAAAACAGGTGACAAATGCCGTTGACTGCCGCTTTTTGTCACGTCTTCCGACAAACAAATTAGCTTAATTAAATCACAAGCCACGACAGTTCTCATTCATTGAGAACGCAAACAGAGGCAGGGTTTGTCAAGGCTGCTGCACTTGACACTCCCTGATACACTGAATGGTAGCTGTTGCTAACCGATTAAAAGCGACTTTAAAAAAAGAGAAATTAAAAAATTATGGTAAAAGTAAGTGACAATCCAATAGTAACATGAAAAGCCGAGCGTCAAGCCTCCCTTTAACAGTTCACTGTGAGCAGAATGCCAATTAGTTAGCAGAGGGCGCTAATATTAGCCTAAGTTGGTTAAATACCTGTGGACAAGTTCATACTGTTTATCGAAATATGGTAGAACAATGTCATGGCAAAAAAATATCCGACCAGTTCAGTCAACAAGCAGTATGTGTTAAAAGTTTGGACACTGGTGTTAGTGATGGAAATTACCTAGCTTTGATGTTTGCTAAAGTTAGCTGGATAGCTGTCCGACAATGGATGCATGTGTGTTAAAGTTTTGAGCAAGCTCTCGGAGCTAGTCGCAGCTTGCTGCGCTCCAAGAGTGAGGCTGTTTTCATGGGTCTGACAGGGACAGCCTCGAGGGAATTACTCACCGGAGCGTCGGCCCGATACAGTTGGTGTCTGTGCTCTCGATTTCCCGAAGAATACGTTCGTGTTCGGCAGCTGTCTCCACGCTCGCCATCCTGCATGTTGCTCTGGACAGTTCCGAGCTAAGCTGAGTGGACTGAGGGCTCTTTGCGTCACACTCGGAGGGTTGGTTCGATGTCAACACCCAACAGCCCTCGCGAGCGGGGATTCGTCATTTCTCGAGACTTTCTAGCGTTAATGTCCTTGCTTTAAGGCTCAATGGAAAATTTCTGCCGTAATTGAATTGATAAAATATTGTTTTTGAATAACTTAAATTGATCCAAATGTTTTACATTCTATTAAATCAACCCCCTTACTTCTCTCCCACGTCATTATGTTGTAAAGGTGCTGACTATTATCAGGTGTTTGCGGTGCTGTGCTTCACTGTAAATTGATTGGTCAGTTATGCACTTGGAAGGCAGCTCACGTTGTACCGTATAAAATTAACTAAAAATACCCCCCCCCCCTTTTTTTTTGGGTCTAATGAAAAAAACTACATAAAAATAAACGGGATGCCAAGCTTGTACAGGACCTACAAATATGTTTACGCTGTCTTTAATTAAGGCTCATATTAAGCAAAATCTATATGAAATAAAAATGTACATGTTGTCAATTACCTTGTGTTTTCTAGAAGAAAAATCTAAACAAATATTGTACAAGTATAAAAGACACACATAACGTAATGCTCTCAAGTATTTGCTCAGATTTGTCCAGCCCAATTTAGTCAATTTATGAAATAAGAAAAAAAGATTTTCAAAATAATACAACAGTTTAGCAGCTTTAATAAGTGTAGCTCATAGAAAGTGTTTTTTGGTTTTAGACTTAAGGCTTACTTGTTGTGATACTGTATCACATTACACTGCAAACCTACGAAATATCAGCCACTTCATTTGTTGTTGCTGTTTTAAATAAACCAAAACCAAAAAGCTTTTATTTTGGGCCAATTTACATAAATATCCGGTGTGCCTTTGTCTTAATGTGCCTGACTTAGTTCGGCTAAATTAAGTAGGGGTCACACAAGAAAAGAACCCGGAAAAATCCAGATGCAGGTAAAGTGGTTCAAAGAAAACATTTAAAATTTTCGTAAGTGAAGACATGAAGAGTCGTAGTCTTCCCAATTGTTAATTAGAGGCAAGATGAAGGTTGACAGAGTTTTGCTAGCTTATGACAGCTAGCACACTTGTCACCTGGGGGGATCAGAGTCCGATCACTGATAAAAGCTCTTTTGTAAAGCGTCCATTTTACTCCCTGTTGTTTATACAAATACAAATGTTATGTGTGGGGCCTGTGTAAACTTTCACATAATCGCGTTTTGTAGGATTTGCCTCATATGTAAATACTGGAACCCAGTAAGTCCATGCCCGTTGCAAAACACTGACACTGTATTGGTGCGTCCCAGCCTCAGAGAAAGCTGATCAACTCAGTGGACAGATGTGTGGATGAGGCTCTCTGCGGCATCGTCAGGGCCTCTGGGGGCCTGTCCCTGCTGAAGGGCCACAGAGTTGTCCTTCGCTCAGACTTGGACAACCTGAGGGGCAAGGTGGCGCTGCTGTCCGGAGGGGGGTCAGGGCATGAGCCAGCGCATGGGGGTAGGTCTACCCACAGTAAAATGGCACCCGAACACCTTTGACATGGTTTGAACCCTTTTATTTTGTGTCCCCAGGTTACATTGGAGCTGGTATGTTGTCCGCAGCTGTGGCAGGAGGAGTGTTTGCATCGCCCCCGCCCACCAGCATCCTGGCTGCCATTCTCTCCTTGCACAATGCAGGTGATGGCTTTTTTAGTTCAGCGTGTTTTTGCCCATTTCAAGTTCAGTTGAATGAGAAAGACTAACAACACTCGTCCATCCTCAGGAGCTGCTGGTGTCCTTCTCATTGTGAAGAACTATACAGGTGACCGCCTTAACTTTGGACTGGCTGCAGAGCAGGCCCGTAACCAGGGCATCGCTGTGGACATGGTGGTGGTTGCAGAGGACTGCGCCTTTGACCAACCCAGTAAGGCTGGAAGAAGAGGCCTGTGTGGCACTGTCTTCATCCACAAGGTGCATGACAAAAAACTTTTTTATTGTGTCGCCACATTACTGATTTGTCATAAGCACATTAACGCTGATAGATTTAAAGAAAAGCATCCAAAAACACTCTTCCCAATTCCCATGATGCATTGTTGTTTTGTTTTTAATTTTTACTGTCCATTAATTTAAATTTGCCTGTTTAATTTTCTGGGCTTAGTTGGCAGGTGCTCTGGCAGAAGAAGGCTGCCCATTGGACCGGATTGTTTCCACAGTAACAGAAGTGTTGAAAGGGATTGGTAAACTAACCTCTCTCCAATCTTTTCCACCCCTCAACGATTGCCAGAGAGGCTGAAGTAATTTTCTGGGCTCTTGTATCGCAGGTACTCTTGGGGTCAGTCTGTCTCCATGCAGTGTTCCGGGCTGCCTGCCGTCATTTGACCTGCCCCAAGGGGACATGGAGCTGGGACTAGGTGAGGGATGAGGAAAAAGGGGGATCAGTGCAAGAGATTAGAGAAGAGTGATACCAGGTCAAGAATGCCATTGGTATACAGAGGATTTCAATTGCTCGTTTTGATTAGATCAGCTTTAAATTCAGATATGACTGTATTTGGCTTATAAGGGTTATAAATGTGCAGAGCAGCGCCTCCAAGTGTCTGAAGTGTTCAAGGACATCTGACATGAAGATGTCCTCCACAGAGTGTTTTCTTCTGTTCACATATCTGCTCTCAAAATGCAGACTTACCCATTTGTGCTTTCCATCCTTCAGGGATCCATGGGGAACCCGGAATCAAGAGGTCCAAGGTGAGTCTGATTCAACCAATAACAGTCAGAATAGGTCTAACGTATAACTCAGTGTGTTTGGTTTCATTTGTCTACTTTATGGTGTTTCTCAGGTGGCATCTGCCGATGAGGTGGTAAAGACCATGATAGATCACATGACCAGCCCAGCCAGCCAATCCCATCTACCCCTGAAATCAGGTCCATTAAAGATCTGCTCTGTGACGCTGATGTTTTAGTGTGTGCTGGTTGTTAGAGGCCTTTTGTTTGATCTGCTTCTTACAGGCGACAGTGTTGTTCTGTGTGTGAACAACCTCGGGGCTCTGTCGTACCTGGAGATGGCGGTGGTTACAAGAGCCTCAGTCATCTGCCTGGGTGAGCATATTGTGTGCGTTTGTTTATGCCTTCATTTGAGGCACATTGTGAATGTTTGACTGTATGGATGCAAAGTAAACTAACTAGAAAGTGAAACAATATAGTTTTTATCAAGCTAAAGTGTTGTTATAAAAGCTGAGAGATAGATTCTGCATGCATACCAGCAATATCCATAATTATATTTATGTTCTCTGAGTAGCCAGACCCCTTTACCAGGTCAGTTTTTTGTATTTGCCAACAAATTGACAGGAAAAAAATAGGAAACTATGTGGAAAGTCACTCTGTTTTTTACCGGATACAGAAAGCCGCGGAGTTGTGGTTGCCAGGGTGATGTCCGGGACGTTCATGACATCACTGGAGATGGCAGGAGTCTCGCTGACCCTGATGAAAGCAGACCAAGAAACCCTGAGACTCTTTGGTAGGCGCTCGAGCACGCAGACTCTTTATGCTATGTGAAAGAAACAATTCATAACCATTTGAGCTGCATATTTAGATTAGGATCTGTGATACCAATCTCATGTCTTTAGGTATGCGGTTTGGCATTGCATTAAGATAAAAAGCCTGTCCAACAAGCAACTCAGTGTGGAGCCATCTTAAAATGAACTGAAGAGTGTTTCAGTAAACTGTTACCTGAAGAAATTCGACTGCTGCCTTCAAGAAAGAAGGCAGAAGTCTCAGCCTTTTTTTTTCACCCAAATGAGGTCAAAGTTAAAAATGCTGCAATATCCCTTTAGTATGAAAATAGTACAATCCTGAACAGTCAAAATGTTGTTGTTTTTTAATGTCTAGAAAAGGACCAGACGTTCCCCCAAACATGAGCACTGCTGATATCTAGCTTCACATGTTAGCGTCCGTTCAGTTGTGTCTTAAAAGAAAACATGGACAGAAAAACGGAAAAACTTGACTTCCCCCGTGTCCCCCAGATGCAAAGACTAGCGCCCCCGCCTGGCCGAACCTCAGCAGCGAGTGTGTGAGTGGACGCAGCTACGTCACAGAAGCTCCAGTGATGAGCAGCCAGCCACAGGACAGCACATACTCCGAAGGTTAGCCTCTGTTATACAGCGTACGCACAGCTTACATATGTTTAGTATTTCACTGTTTCTCATTTATCAATGTTTCCAGAGGACCTTACATAGACCTAAGACAAGAGAAGATTTCCTGTCATTTCTTTTATTTAACCTTCTAAAAAGTAAACGGCTTATAGTGGCCCCTCTTGTCCCCATCAGGCCCCTTGAGTCCTTTGATGCATAAAGTGCTGGTAAAGGTTTGCTCCACCCTACTGGAAAGGCAAGAAGAGCTCAACTCTCTGGACCGTGCTTGTGGGGACGGAGACTGCGGTAACACTCACGCACAGGCTGCCAAAGGTGGGAAACGGTGAGGAGCATCATGAGTGGCGTAGGTAAAATGTTCTGAAAAGACCTTTACCTTGTTCTTGCACAGCCATTCAGCAGTGGCTCCAGAACCACAAGGTCCCCGGTTGCCCCGGGCGGCTGCTTTTGGTCCTTGCCGGATTGGTCCAGGAGAAGATGGGCGGCTCCTCTGGAGCGGTTGGTTTATATTGTCACGTAGTTTGAGGCCTCACAAGCACACCAGCTCATCTTCTGTGTTTCCCAGCTGTACAGTCTGTTCCTCACTGCGGCGGCCAGTCATGTGACCGAGGGGCAGAGCAACGCAGCGGCTTGGGCAAGCGCAATGCATGCTGGGACACAAGCCATGAGAAGGTACAGCTCGAGATAAGACTATGGCTTTTCTGTTGACTTTTACTGCTGGCACTCCATAGCCTCTGAAGAGCTTTTGATCTTCTGATTTATGTAACTTTCCAAGGGGTGGAATTTTTATATATTCAAATTTAGAACTGGTCATTGATTTAAAACATTAGATTTAAGATTCTTTTTTCAGCTGCCAAGCAGCTGTTAACATCATAATGAGGTCCATCCTGTGGAACACAAGGTCGTGACATGAAAATGTGCTTTAAAGCGACATATTCTCTTAAACAAATGAGTTATAATGAGTTAAATTACAGCCAGGTTTGCATTGACATTTTTGATCTGCATTCATAAGATGTGAATAACAAAACAAATAAACCATTTTGCCTTGCTGTTGTCTTTTACACGATCCATTCATTGGAATTGCATCAGACGATGAAAGCAACTTCATTACATATAAAGTCATGCTTTCACCACTGTTAATTTTAGCATGTATTTGTATTTGTATTTGTAACTGTCTTCCAGGTATGGAGGTGCAGACCCTGGAGACAGAACAATGGTGAGAAAGAAGGATCTGTGTCTTTCAATGTTTTAAAGGAAATTAATGTCCAGTTATCTCCTCAGGCCTCATCTTGTCTTTATTTTATATTCTGCTCTGTAGTTGGATGCTTTGTGCCCTGCTGTGGATGAACTCATGAAACTAGTTACAGCACCACCTGATGCACAGATGAGTGTACTGCAGGCTGCTGTACAGGTACAGTAACACTATCATTTATGAAGCCTCAAGTAGAGATGTTTTTCTGCCTCATGATCAATATGTCACCTTTCATCTCTCTTTTTGCTCTGACTGATCAGAAAGCGGCTACGGGGGCGGAGGGGACTCGTCTCCTCCAAGCCAAAGCTGGAAGAGCAAGCTATATTGCCACCGACCGGGTCACTCTTCCTGACCCTGGCGCCATGGCTGTTGCCGCCATCTTGGGAGCTATTGTGGAAACACTCGAGGAACAGAAATAAAAGTGGTGATAAGCCACATTATTAGCAGAGCCCTTGTGTAGCTGAGGCCTCTCCTCACATATGCAGGCACTTTTAAAAAAAATGGAAGATTATGTCATTTATTTCAACAGATTTTATTTGATTAATGGTGGAAACTTTGGAGAGATGTTGGGCTATGGCGTCTGAATAAATGTTTATTATCCTTTGTGTTTATATTCATGGGAAGCTTAAGAGAGAAAAACAAAAACGCACAGACATTGGTATGAGTTGTGCCTGGCACCACTAAAAAGCACCAACATGCTACAGTAAAACCAAAAGCATTCGATGGCAAATAAACCTTTATAGGTTATCAAATGTGTTATTTCACAACTTTAAAATTTCCCAAATTTTTGGTAATCAAGAAAGATTTAGCATACACGCATTCATATTAGGCAAATTTTATACAAAAAGTTATGATGTAATTTTACATCATATTGTACATGAATTTTGTGACACTGAAAGCCATGTTTACACATATAGTATAATCTATGTAATCTACAGATTTTTGTAATCATCCAGTATGAGTATAAGCAGCAGTTTTCTAATGTTTACTTTCATCCATAGCAAAAGTCAAATGTGGAAAATGCATTCAAGTATTTCAATCCAAAAGGAAAGCTCACAAAGATTCAATGTTTCTCATAATGCAACACAGTTGAGTGTATGTGTTGTTTTGGGTCAAAGTTCTCTGTCAACTGTTAATCAGAAGAAAATCTTTATCTGAAATTTTGACTTTGGACTTTACACTGAACACTCACCTCTCTGCTAACATCATCTCAGATAGTATGTAAATGTTTCTATTTTCCCCTTATCTCGATTTCAGTGTTGGACAGTATGGTACATATGATTTATTTTTATTCTTAGTTGATGATAATAATAAAATAACTTTAGAATGCAAAACCTTTTTCTGAATTCTTTTGTCAGCACTTCAGCAACGGTAAAACCCATTGAAAATATAAAGAATATACTTTGAGGAGGTTAGAGGTCAATTGACTTATAAAACATGCACACTCACATAAATTACTATGTAATATGTGTTATATATTGGCCTAATAACATAAAATTAGACAGAATTTTCTTCTGTTTTAGTTTTCACTTCCTTCCTTTCTTTCTTTCAACCATCTTCTTATTTCCTGACACACAAAGTTTCATTTTTTCAGACTTTGAGCACACCCACATTCACACGTCTTTCACACACGCTGCACTTGCTTTCTGTTTTATAACGATCTCTGCACATGAACCACAGCGAAAGGTAAATCTCTCTTTGTTGCTTTATGAATTTATGTGTGTTTTGTTCCCCGCAAGGTCCCCAATGTGAAACCATAGAGGCCTTTCTTTGGGGAGTTTGCATGTTGTTATATGTGTACGTGGCTTCTAGTCAGGTACTCTGGCTTCCTGCTTAACATTCATGTTAGGTCAATTTGGATGAATGTGAGTGTGTTAATCTCTTTGTGGCCCTGTGATGTACTGCAACCTGTCCAGGGTGCACCAATGGCAGCTTATAATGGATGGATGGATGCTTGGTAAAATGTTGACCAGCAGCTAGATGACAGATGAGATTCAACTTTAATTTACTCGCACAGAGGAGACAGTAGCTCGCGGCATCTGGTGCTAATAATGAAAACAAAGCTAACATTGATAGGGATATACTTATCTTCAAGCTCTTTGAATAATTCAATCTGAGAGCATGAAGAGCAGAATAATGTATATTTTGACTCACAGATTAGTGGGATAAAAAGCAATCTTTAGAATTGATCCAATATTTTTTTTGTGTATGTGCTTTATCTGGGACATAAAAAATAAAAGTATCAAAGCCTTGAGAAGGTTAGCTGAGCATAACAATAACATCGGAGAACAACAGACATAGTTTCCCTCATGCACAATATCAGTTTTATTTCAAATACAAACAGTAAGCCTATGTATGATTTACTGCTGCCAGAACACATCAACCCATTAAAGTTTAGTCTAAGTCAACTGCTGTTTCAGTTTCGGCACAGGTTAAAAATTGTATCAATGAATTGTGTCAACTACTTTCCCAAGTGTGTTCCAATTCAAGTGTTTTTTTGTTTTTTACCCCTGATGAGAGTTTTACTCTGTGCACAAATTTGAAAGACATATTGGCCTTTTACAAAAGACTATTATTCATAAATATCTATTGGTCCTCATAAACTGCAGGAGTGAGTAAATTTTGGATGTGGTTTTACAAAACCGGTCAAGAAAAATGTGCTGTCAGAGTGGCTGAAGCAGCTGCATGACCTAAAAAACAAGCACTGGATGATTGATTTTCTATACGTTGGGCTTATTAGGCTGTTCTCACGCAGGAAATGTTGCTACTATTCTTTTATGTGTTTACTCAGCCACCTGCTGAATAGAAAAATAACAAATCCAACACCCCAGATGTTCTGGTGATAATGTGAAGACACTACCAAGAAGCTTATCATTTCAGCATGCCACAGCACAAGTTCTATCTTTCTTGTCCCTATTATTTGTACCATCCTGCCTCCCGTGTTTCTGAGAAGATAAAAGGGAAATACTCCTGTGATTAACATATTATATGCAGTTTGTTTCTTCACTTTGTTTTTATTTAATTGTTTAAGATGGAGTTTGCCTGCAGTCATGTTGTGTGTAACTGGAGGCATGATGGAAAAGGTGAGTCATTTTCTCCACACTGTCACATGCTACAAATGTCACATTTTCAAATATTTCCATAGCTGGAAGACTTTTAAAAGTGAAATTTGTTTTTTCTTTTCTCCAAAAAGTGGAATTGTTTACTTTTGCTGTTCATACAAACCAATAATGAATGAGTCTTTGTGTTATACTCCAATTATCTAGCCTTAATATTACATTATAAAGAATTATAATGATTATTTCTTCTTCCCAACTACAGGCTTTTCTCTCATCCACCCAGAATATGACAACACACTAGGCGCTAAAGAACGAGATGGTACATTTCTGTTGTTTGTTTTTTTTTTCTCAAAGGGTCATTACATTCTGAAGAGTAACAGGAAAGCATGCTGAGAGGCAATGTGTGTGCATGTGTGTGGGGGGATGGCATACTTGCACATGCAAGAGAGAGACACGGTGTAAGAGATGCAGTGATAGCAGTTCAACAAGGGAAAGTCCATACAGCCAGGTTTACTGCAAAATTTGCACAGTTACAAAAGCATGACAGAGAAGGAGATGTTACTTCAACGGAAAAACAACTTTCTTTAGTTTTTCTTTTTTCTTGCTTTACACTATTCTTGTCATTAGAGTGAAGAAAGAAAGAAAACAGAAATGCATTCAGAGAGAAAGAACAGCTGTTTATCACTTACCAGTAATGCTTGTTGTGAAGAAAAACAGTTTGAGTTTCCATTAAAGTGAATCTGAACTAATGGTGTCCACAAAATCTGACTGTCTCTGGTCCTGAGATAAGCAAAACATAGCACACCTGAATTGTGCACGACACTATGTCCCATTGCACGCATTGTGTGTTTACCCTGTCAGGTTCATACCCTCCACCCCTGCCCCCTCGACGTTTGAGGAATCCTCGGCCCACATCCCTGCCTCTGCCATCTCTACCTTCCTTTGAGCATTCCCTCATCCCTCTCTCCCTCCCTCCCCCTGTCCCTCCTAGACGTGAGTGCCCTTTGCCCATTATGTCAGCAGGGTTTGAAGTTAAGAATGCTAGAATTTGTCTGACTTTTTTCTCTTTTCATTTATTTCAGTGGACAAGCTGGATGGAGAAAGCAGTTTTAAAGCAAATGTCAATGTTGTTTCCCTTAGTGTTGGAAAACTGGTCGACATCAGCCAAGGTCAGAGAGCACAGGAAAACAATATTACATTTTTTACTTGTTCTAAACGTGTTACTCACCTTTTTTTTCAAGACGCAGGTATGGAAACCTACCAGAGACCAGTGACTTGTGGCAAATGTTGTGCTACGCTATCATGCCTGAGCTCTATACAGAAGGATGTAAGTAGTAACTTATGTCACTCACAGTCCAGAATTCTTTGTACCTCACCTGGGGGGAGGATAGTTTTCTTTTAATATGGGTGGCACAAGCAGTGAAAAATAAAAATCCTGGGCCGCAGCGTAGCCTAATGGCTAGAGTGGGCGGCCCATATGCGTAGCCTCTGCTTGCAAGTGGGTGTCCTGGGTTCGAACCCAGCCCATGGCCCTTTCCCGCAGGTCTCCCCCTCTTTATCTCTGCCCCCCTTCCTGTCAAGCTACTGTCATTAGAGGCCACTAGAGCCCAAAAATCTTTAAAAAAAAAAAAATCCTGACCATATCTTCTGTATTTTACAGATTTGGGGTTGTGAATTCTGTGGACATGAAAACAGTGTTGACAACAGTTTGGCTCAAGTTTGCGTTGGCCAGCGCGCAGGTGTGCGCAGCGACGACCTTTATCTGCCAAACCTGAGCGAAGACGACTATCAGAACCTGGAGGACACGCTGGTCATTTTCTGTGTGGACATTTCCGGCAGCATGAGCGTCACTGCAGAGGTATGTGGGAATAGAATTGTTCCAGATATGTTAAAGTCAATATGCTCTGGAGGATTCAAGATGTGATGCTTTGAAGAGCCCATTTTAAAGAAAAGGACATCTAATTTTAGTCGTTATGTCATTCATGTGATTATTTCTTACTTACGATTGTGCCAATTTTGTACTCATAACCTCATTGAGTGAAAGCATAGAGCGAACAAAATTTGTTTTACTTAGTTTAATGCATTTGAAAAGGTACTGTTAAATTTTGCAACTATCGTTTGCTTTTTAAGAAAAACACACTCACCAAGTATTACTTCCAAAGACAGTAATGTCCTCATATCAATGTCCTTTGTCTATGTTCCATCACCTTTGACCTTTAGGTTGCATCAAGCAGTGGCTCTACAGCGTATATATCCAGACTAGAGGTGGGATGTTGAACTAATCTTGCACTTTATTCGATCAGTGACACCGGATGTTTTTAAAGTACTGTCCTTTTATGTATTTACAGGGTATCCAGGATGCCCTCCAGAGGACGCTAACATCTATACTCCGGCAGTCGCCTCACAGGAGAGTGGCACTGGTGACCTTCAATGATGAGGTAGCAGGAATAATGTATGAAATAGAATCATTTCATAGATAGTCATTGTTGCTCTCGGTCCACAGTCAGCATCATGTGACACTTCATCCATCAGGATACAATCAAAACCAGAGAACCGTTCTGGAAGCGTTTGTCCACAACAACAGTGAAGGCCAAATCTGCTGTTGTTACAGTCTGAGCTTTACCATTTTTAATGGAAAAACTGGATATTAAATGTTTGTGGAAGAGTTGTGATTATGCCCTTAAATGTTTAAATGGCCCTTGTTGTCCATTTGTTGCTTGTTATTTACTTCAGGGACTAACATTATTTAGTTTTGTCATTTAACACAATATGATTTTGATCCAATTTTAAAGGTTGTAATATACGGTGATGGGACTGCTGCTCCTCTCACTCTCAGAGACTGGGCGTTGTTCGACTATGACCATATATGGCAACAAGCTGTAACGTACAGCATCCCTCATTGTATCGCTGAGACATACCAACAACTGATAAAAAGAGTTAAAGAGTAAGCTTATGTGTGTGTGTCCCCAGTGATTGTAAATGCTCTTTAAGCTTATTTAGCATAATTAATACTTCTATGTTTTCAGCCTCAGAGAGCACGGGGCTACATCTCTTGGTCCGGCAGCTTTAGCCTCCGTTGCTATGGCATCAAGGTACCCTGGCTCAAAGGTGAGCAAGTAACTTCAAGAAAAAGTCTCAAAGTCTGACATGTCTATACTGTTTTGTGTTTGGACATCTGCAGTCTTGAGTTTGCCAGACAACCAGCAAAAGATCAGGCATAAGATCTCCTATAAAGTGTTAACCCGCAGGTTTAATCTTCAATAATATTCAAAAGTAAAATCAGTTATTGAAATGTTTCTTTTTCTGTTCCTCCTGTAATTACATTCATCCTGGAGAAAAATAAACTAAGTAAAATGCTGATCTATGTTGGTGACATTTTAAAGTGAGCAAAAGTGAAACTTGTGGGGGAGGTACATTTAACATAAACAGCCAAAATTCACCCCAAAAAAAAGCAGGAAACCTTTTTTATGTTTATTTCTGTTTATCGAATTGCAAATCAAGAGCTTGAAAGTTCTCCATGAGTTTAATACATAAAAATGGAACTGCTCACATATATTTAAATGAGCAGAGTTCAGTTAAATGTGGGTAAAATCTGAATCCTGTCACCTCTCATCTTTAAGTTCTTTAACCCATGTGGGTCCGAAAAATTGCCAGAAATAAAAGAAAGACTTTGGTGCATTTTTGTTGTTTCGCAGGTAATTTTGTGCACGGATGGAAAAGCTAACATCGGGCTCGGTGAAATGGAGCAGGAACCCATTCTGTCTCCCTCTTTCCAACCTCCACATTTCTATAGATACCTGGCTGTGCAGGCTGTGGGGAAAGGGTGAGGACACAAACAGCCGTATGGTGAAGACAACGATTAAATAGAGCTCAAATTGAAACACCATATCTTTGGCTTGGCTTGACTAATACTAGAATTGCTTGCAATGCAAGTGTTTATACTGTGAATGACATTTATTCAAAGAAACTCCAAATGTAGACTTTTTTTTTCTTTTCTAGAGTCATAATATCAATAATGACCTTTGAAGGAACAGATTGTCGCTTGGCCGATATTGGTAGACTGGCTGATGTCACAGGAGGACGGGTAAGAAACACACACACACGAATATTTTCAAGAAAGGACAGGCAAGTGGTACCTGATTTTCAGGAAACAACTACAATGATTCCCATTGTCCAAATGTTCCTGATAGATACATGTTAAATCTCGAGAAACTGGATATCATACATCACAGTTGTGTGGTACAAATGGTATGTTGGTACAAAACCAACTTTATACAGATAAGTAAAGTGTAGAACACGTAAGTCATGACAGAGTCTGAATAAACTCGATTGGCGAATCCTGTTTTCCTCTCATCTTGCCTTCTCTCACCTGCACAGGTCAACATTGTCAGTATTGCTACAGTGGCAACAGAGATCGAGTCAGTCTGTGCAGACAACGTCCTGGCAACTGATGTCACAGCAACCCTGCTAGCCCCTGATGGAGTGTGAGTGGTGACAAACACAGAAACATACCTTATATTTAGCTTGCATTTTTATGCGAAGATGTAATTAATATTTGATTGGATTGAACACCAGTTAGTTTCTTCTTAGTTATGAGTCTCACCTTTTCCACTCTTACCTATGTCTTTGTAAGTTCCTGTAAAGAATTACTCTTTCAAAGCTATTTAACTGTTGTTTATTGTCTTTGCAGATATTATCCCTATGAGGATGAAAACAATTACAGAGTGGTGAGAGAGATAGGAAATGTAACAAAAGGGCTCGAGATAACCTTTCAATTTGCTGTAAAACCAGATTTTAGGGAAGGTAAGCTTAAGATCGTTTGTATTATGTTACATGTCCTGCCTTTAACATAGTGGGAACTCAAACCCAGATATTGGTTTTAGTCAATCTGTCGCATTGTAACTAATCAGGAACACAAAAAATATATAATTCTGATTTGTTATGTGAATAGTACTATTTGTTTGCAAGCCTTTCTCCAGAAAGGATCACTCCCATTCCAACTTCAGCTGAGCTTCAAGACCAGAGACCAACAAAGAGTCACTCGCATCATCACAGAACAACGACCTGTAACAACTAACAGGTGAGAAGCTCCCGGGCTTGTTACTGAACAGCAACAGCCAGAGAGAGTACAGTAAATAAACAGGATCATAAACTGAATCCTCTTAGATGCTCCGTCCTATTCTACTTAGTCTCTTATGTGGGTTATTTATTTGCCTGTTATGTCTTCTTTCCTTCAGTCAAATTCTTGTGGGTAAACTTAACATGGCGGTAATCGGCGTCCACTGTGCTCAGCTCTGTGCGAGCTTAACAATGGAGGGTCGAGTGCAGGAAGCACAGAAGCAGCTAAAAGCACAACAAGACCTGCTCAATCAAATCAGGTAGAAATCCTGAGTCCTTTTAGATATGATCTTAAAACCATCTGATATATCAAAGTTTTACTGACCATCATTTAAAAAATATTCCTTGATAAGTTATGAAACTACTAAGTCTTTGCGAGTTAAATCGATCTGATGCTGTAACTCTTGAGTTGTTTTTCAGAGATTCCGCAGTTGTTCCTGTCTGCCATTGAGGGCAGTATTGATTTTTCATTTGGAAAAAGATGATATCTTGTTTACATCAGAAACATTTTGAATTTGTTTGATAGTGATGCTGACCCACTCATCTAATCTCAGTGGGTCGGAGAAGATCAATGAACTTGTTGCAAATAGTTGAACTGATGTGTTTGAATTGTGTGTTTATAAAGTGGTTGGACTCTCCTTGTCTCTGTGTGTGTTGAGCTTATTGAGGCTTTCTGAATTTCAGTAAATTAAGGCCAATCCAAAAAGAAGAGAGCCTTTATGGCAACTGGATGGAAACAATGACAACAATATGTGGAGACGTCGCAACAGAATCCCAGGTGAACATTATTTAACTGAAAAGAAAAAATTGCCTTCTTAAAATGTTATTTCTCTTTTCTTTATATCCAAAGGTATATTTATAGTTGTCAATGTCTTTTGAGTGAACATGTGAACGAGCAAGTTAGAGTGAGATGGAAAGAGCATGGACATATGTCAAAAAGCACCCCCCCGTAATTATTCATTAAACACAAACTGTTCTATCTCAAATACAGTGCCATAAAGAGAAACAGATACTTGAAATAACAGTTAGAATCTAACTTTTCGATCATCTGTAGCAGATCTCAACCAAAATAAAGATTTACTAAGCTACTAAGCTAAATAAAGATTTGCTCAAATCAACAGTCATACTTTTTCAAAGCACATACGGAACTCAAAAGAATCTAACATAGATGAATCATATTTTTATCATCTTATTTCTTTGCAGATTTTGTCTGATGATGCAGCTGAGGTGGTGTACCAGATGAGGAGAGCCAGCTCCACCAGCAACAACTACTACAGCACCACAACTAAGACTAAGAAGACAAAGAGGAAGAAAAAGGCCTCCATGGAAGCTTTTTGAATGTACTGTTAGACATTTTGAATAATGGTAAAACAAATACTGTGAGTTCTAAGAATGAAGGAAAAGGCTTTCATTCTGAATTGCTCAGGGTGAATGAAAATGTTTACCAGATTTAACTGTGATTTAAAGGAAATCATTAGACTGTAGAACTTCAAAGATTAGATGTCCTGCATTTATAATTTCCTTTGCCAAAGCATACTTAACCAGATTGTAACACACAGTTGTCTTGTACAGTTTTTTTTAAATAAAATCCTGTTTTACAGGAGGCATATTCATAAAAAAGAAAGGGAGAAAAAAGTATATGTGTTTTTATGTTGAATAACATAACCATTTTTTTGCCATTTTTTTGTCTTTTTTTAACTTCTCGGTAATGCTGTAGGCCAACCAGGAGCTTTTCATCACAAGATTCATTAGGGGATATTCTTAATCTTCTTTTAACCTATATAGGTCCTACTAAAACATTTAAATATCCTAACAACTAAGACCATAGCTGCAGTCATAGACAACCTAAAGCATATGTTGTGCAGTTATGCTGTGCATACAACTGACATATGTGCGCATTATAAGACTCCTTCACACACATTCCTCTCTGCACAGCACATTAGATTATTGCTTATTCCTCTTTGGTTTTCATCTGAGCCATGTTCAGTCATTTTCTGTGCTGCCCCATCCATCCACTAGAGGCCATTGTCTTCTGTTTATACTCACTCTGGCACTCCCACCTTTTCCTGCTTCATTATCACTTGTTTCCTACATTGATTCAACCCACTCTAGTCTCAGGCTCACACTGTGGTTTTTGTTAAAAGAATCATTGTCTCATCCTGCTTTTTCTGCCTGAAACCGTACCTCTAACCCATAAGAAATATAACTGGGATGTATCCTCTCTTGATATGAGAAAGTCATTTGACAATGGGGAAGTGCTTTGGAAGTTTGCCATTCATTGTCCTGCTATAATACAGTTCTTTAACATAAATTTCCTTTTCTGGGGTTATTGGGTAACACTACCAGACCCCATGGCAAAAAGCAGGAAAAGTGTTGCACGTTATTATGAGGACATCCCCTGAGTGATAAATTACTTCTTTGTTCACGTTTAGTGGGATTAATCACAGCTCCCTTCTGATGTCTTAAAGTGTCCATAACAAATATTTAAAATCAAATGTCAGCATTTGTTTGCCAGTCTAGTGACCCACAGAACATAGCATCATGTAGAACAGTACACAGACGTTCTGTGGTGCTGTTTTCCACAGGGGTGGAACACAACCTGGAACCCAAAGCAGGCAGTTGTAGCTCTTGCAGCTGATGTGTTACAGTTGGAGGCCAAACTTGAAGAGTTGTAGGCTGATGTGATGAGGCATTTGTTTTTGCAGCGAAAGACTATGGAAGCACAAGCATGGAATGTACGAGAGAAAGAGCCCTGCTGGTATTTCTGATCTGTAGATAATTACATATTAAGGTGGAAATGTACTTGTAGTTATATCTTTTTTGGAGTGAGTTATATAAAAACAAGGACACAAAACAATGAAAGGGGTTTGTAAGTGAATTACTGAAGTACTGTATGTATTAATCATTATTTTTTAAAAACTCGTTAATACTTCTTTTTCATCTTACATTTTACCCTAGACACCTCAGATGGAAGTAATGGATCATATTGTATCAGTTTGTTTTAACCACAAACAGTTTGAACCTCATAATGCCAGTCCTCTGGTCAGTAAATCCCCCAACTTAAATGTCTTAGATTGAGATTTGATAGCTCAGGTTTTCCCAGCTGTACAGATCAGTGAGAAATAAGCAGAGATAGTCAGCAAAGTTTCCACCAAAAGACCACGCGTGGGAAATTTCAGAACGAAATGAATCTGCTCACGGTACAGGAAAATATTTTCTTCATGGTGTTTGGGTACAAACCATCAGACAGTAGTCTTATCTTGGTCTGTGCGCATCATTAGCCAAACTGAATGACAAATGGGAGAAATGTCACTGCGGTGAAGGCAAGATGACAAGTGCACATACACACGTAAACAGTAAGAAAAAAAGGAGAACAGTCTCACGCCCACATTGTAGCAGGAAGGATATTTGAGATGAGACGGATGACATGATAACAGCACTATTTATAGTCAGTGCCAATAAGAACTCATTGTTCATATTCAAGAGCTGTGTAAAGCTGAAGCCCAGCTTAGAGCTGCAAAGACTTCTTTAAGGCTGTCATTTCACATAATACTTTTCTCATTTGTAATCAATGCATGTCATTCCACCGTTTTATTTCTGCAAAAGCATGTCCAGTCGGTGTATCGTGTCATCAGGCATAAAACTGAAGTTGCAAAGTGAGGTACCTCGGTCTCATGACACCCAAAGAAAGTTTCAGGCAGTCCATTCAATTCAAGACACATAGTTTCAGAATTCCCAAACTTCTTTAATGTATCTTTTGTCGATAAGTTTTAATAAAGCTTTTCTCAGGATTCTAATAAGAAGGAGATGGATGTTATATTAGATTCATGGATAATTCTAATAAATTTGTAAACCGAGTTTAGTGTAGAATGTTTTCATCATGTTTAAATTCTCTGTGTATAAAATATTCCTCTGAGTCTACTGTCATGCAAGATCCTTACAATGTGAGGCACAAACCTGCAATAAGCCAGCGTTCAGTGTATTTGACGATGGATGTTCTATGTTTTGTTCATCAAAAGCATTATTTGTTCCTGCATCTTCAGGGACTTTATTTCTATTTGACCAAAGCAAGAAAAACACAACAACAAATGTTGAGTATTCTGATATTTAGGTTGAAGATGAAATCTGATGCCCTTTGGCCTACAACACAGCATAAGTCTGTTGTGTTCCCCCAACTTAACCAGTCCTTCCACATTTACCCAGGAAATGGAGAGACGGGTGAATGGGTGTGGTGTGGTTTTTACTCTACTTGTGGAGAGGAAAATCACTACCCTTCTAAACATCCACACGCGCACACACGTACACACACATTTTTGCACCTTTAAGACACTGACACACAATACAGATTACAGCATTTGCTGTCAGGATACAACCACAGCAGAGGGGAAGAGTTCGATCGGCTGTGAATCTTTTTGGACTGAAACCATCGCCTGTTCAAAGGTATCAGCCTTTTTTTCAGTACCTATTTGCTCTTGGTTTTTAACACTACTGCAAAGTAGAACATGTGAACTTTTAATGCCAAACTGCGGGCTTTGTTTGATGTGGTGTTCAGAATGTAATGGGACAGCTGCTCTCGCACGTGTCACATGAAGTGCATTCAAATGCAAATGAAACAGATACAACTGAACAAAGGCTGCCTGCATCTCATCTCTTATGTCTGTCACACATGAACAGAGGACCAGTAAACTTGTAACAAAAAAATGGTATTGGCTGTTTTCTTTTTAAATGATCTCAATTTAAACAATGCATTGAAAGTACCTAATAATAAGAAGCTTTTGCACTTTACCTGTGATGTCGTGTTTGTTTTTTATTCAGGTGGCTGGACTGATCAGAGAATTTGTCTGCCCAATCTCTTCCATACTTTCAACACGTTGAATTTAGGTCTGTCTTCTGGTCCTCGCAGCAAAGATGTTTACTGTTTACCGAGCCGATATTGACAAAGGGAAAATGAACGTCTCCAAGGGCTGAGAAAAAACATTTTAGATGCCTCCTTTTTATGTTGATGTCTGAAAATATGGCTGATCATGAAACCCTAAAGTATTACTTGGCTAAATTACTTTGTTGGAACAGTGCATCATCACACGGTCACCTTAATCTCATAAGTTAGTTATGACTCGTTAGATTAGTTATTATAGCTCATTAGTTATTATAGCTTATTCTGTGTTGCCATATTTTTTCTTTTAAGTCACTTGGCATCTATTAGATGATCTCAGAGGAACAATTTTCCTGTCAACCTTGGAATAGCTTTAAAACCATCGTCCAGTTTTCAGTCCTGACATTTAAACTGAATAAGCAGAAATCTATGTTTTGAAAAGCTGTTCATTATGAGTTGCCTCATGTATGTGTTACCTCATGAAAACCTCTGCAAGTGTTTGAACATACTGTACGTGACAGTATTGGACAGAATCTGGATCCACTTCATTCCTCAGGTCCTCTGACCATCCTAATCTGATTTGTGGTGACAAACGGAGATAAGTTTGGTTGCATAATTTTCATTTTAGTTCTCATAACATCAGGATGCCCTCCTTTCAAATCTTTTTCTGAGCCGGTTTCTCCCTACTTCAAAGTTCTCGCTTTTGTTTGCGAAGACACTAGTCTTAATAGTCCTGAAAATCATCTTGTTTAATAAATTCTGCCGTGGGGAATGTTGGTGTATATTTTTGTTTTTTCTGTTGTACATTTGAAGAGCAGATATCTTCACTTATCAAGTCTAACTATTTCCATTATTTTTTAATTATTTCCTGGATCAATTTTAATGGTGTTGTTTACCTTTAAAACCAACCACAAATAAGCTCCTTCTTATCTACTTCTAGAGGTCAGGTAAGATATCCCAGCCAACTAACTGAATTGTGTTGAACAGCCGAACAATTCAGATCAATGGTATAGAGCGTTCTCTCCGTCTAAGCCCTCTATTTGAGCTGAGTAATTTGATCAATGGAAATTTCTATTTTTCTGATTCCTTATTTGTTGTTGCCTGTATCATTGTTGTATTTTGATTCTTTGCTGGAAGCTTCGGTGTTTGCTATAAAGATGCATTGTATGAATAAAGAAATGGTCACTTGACAAAACACCACATTTCAATGCTGACCGGTTGATTTGGCTGCTGATGTTCCAGAAGATAAAATGCTCCTAAGATAATCATTCATCGCTTTTAGATCTTCTTTGTTCTTTCACTGTTGCAGTAGTCAGTTTACATAGCTAAATATTGCATATGCGAAGGGCCGCAACAGTTTTCTGAGCATGCTGTGTGGAGCAAAAGCATGCGACTTGTGACCTAAAGATGATATTTCATCTTGAAATACAAAGCAGTCAAAGGGATTAAGAATAAAGGAAAAGGTACGGCTTGTGTTGAAGGGTCATCCCCACATTTTTTTGTCTCTCCAGGGGATTTTGCATAAATCATTCTTCCTCTTCTGTTACAGGATGTCTTTGTTTGGCAGTTTTCTGTCTGATGAGCAGTTCCAGTGTTCCATATGCTTGGATGTGTTCACCAACCCTTCATCCACTCCATGTGGCCACAGCTTCTGCGTGTCCTGCATCAACAGATACTGGGATGGAGCAAAGGTGTGTGGGTAACAGGGCTCCCCTCTACACATTCCCATCCTCTTTATCCTGTATTTTAAATCTCCCTCTTCCAAATCAGAAAATCTTTCCTTCTCTCCCATCTGCTGTTTCTGTTTCTCGATTGCCTAAAATGTTTTATTTTTTAATTTTTTAACCTCTTCGAGCCGTTTTCCTACAGGTTTGCCAGTGTCCCCTATGTAAGAAGACCTTCCAGAAGCGACCAGACCTCCAGATCAACAGGACGCTGCGAGAGATCACCGAGCAGTTCAAATCCATGCGGGGTGGAGTGGCTGGGAAGGAAAAGAGAGGACGAAAAGGAGGAGGAGGAGATGAAAGCATGCAACATAACTTGTATGATGAATTGAGGAAGAAGCTGCCTCGGCCTTTGCCAAACTTACCCATCTCCAATACCGATGGTGCTCCTCCGGGTAACATCCCCTGAATGTTAATTCAAATATGTCATAAAACGGATGATATTATTTGTTCAATCAATATTATTACGTTATCATAGCTGTGAACTACATTTAAATGGTACTTTAAGGTGTGATAATCTAAATATATGTCTTCCATACAGCAATAACAGTAGATAAACATTATTTGTTAGCAAACAACAGTTCCAACAGTTCAGTATTCTTATTATTTACACCAAAGCGAAGCTAGGAGAGGCTACAAAACATCTAAATTTGTTCCTCAGAGGCTCCACCATATTTTTGGTTTGCAAAGACAGCAAAGTCATGCTCAGTCATGGTGTATATTTCTTCCATCTTCCAGCGTCATGCTGTGGTTTCATAATGTCAGTTGATTGGTTCCAACTTTGCTTTGAAGGAACACAATGACACCAAACATGCCTGTGACACAAAGAGATAAATGGCATGCTTGTCAGCAACGTCATGTTATGCAAGTGACAGAAGACACTGACGGAGGCCATTTGGGTTGAATTTGACTCGAGGCTTCAAATACATTCACTGCTCCCTAAACTCACCTTCACAGTTTGTATGATCACTGATGAGCTAATATTTTAACGTTGCCGTGCCAACTGCAAGTTCAACAGCCACATTTTCAGCTGATAACATAGAACTTCTATGTTAGATGCCTTATTTGCCTTTCTGTGACAAAACGCTGAAGTGGTGAACAGCCAACTAAAAATGTTTTCATATATTCTTTTTTTTGCAGGTGAGTCCATCTCAGCCTTGCCTTTACAGGTCACAAACTCACTAGCTTCATCGTTCCCAAACCACATCGCGACAAATGTAAACCACACCTCCGTTCCTCCTCCCCCCCTGAGCCATTGCTCTCGCTCCAGCAGTCGCAGAAGGTTCACACTGAGTGGGGCCGCTAGCAGCCAGAACATACCTTTGTGTGACGTCCACCAGAGGGGACTCATGGTAAGATACCTTTGAAAGATGCAGCTGCTCTCATGCAATCATGTACCTTTGCATGCTTTGTGATTGAGCCTCACCACATTTGCGGTTATCACTATCCCCACTGTGGGAGAGAATAATGGACATCATTCTCTCTTTGCTTTTAGATTTATTGCAGAACCGACCAGGTGTGCATCTGTCCTGAGTGTGAGACCGAGGAGCATTACGATCATGACACTGTGACAGTTGAGACAGAATGGATAAAAACTAAGGTTGGAAAAAGTTTTGCTATTCCTATCAACCTTTTATCACAACACAAAAAATATATGTTATGCTCACAGTCTTCTCGGAAAAATGTTCAATCATATGTGGGCATCTCCAAAGTTATGAGAAGTTTTCATGGAAATTTCATCAAGATATTTGAGGCTGAATCAGAGAAAAGTGAAAACTGTTTTGTTCAATTCATACATGCCATAATTAAGCAGTTACTGACTTGTGGTGACACAAGTAACCATAAAAATCAGTGCAGGTCAACAGCTGAATTGCTGTGTGCGCGTTTGCAGGAACAGCTAAGATTGTCGGAACAGGAGATCCAAGAGATGATCTTACAGAGAATGGGAAAAATTGAGGAGATCAAAATGTCACTGACTGAAATGGAGGTAAACGCAAATGCCTGTCCCCTCACATTTTTGTTGTTGTAAAGCTGCCAAAAGCTGTAGATCTTTCAAAGCTTCTTGTGTGTTCTGAAATTGATTTTCAGGTTTGTTCTTAATTCACATGCATGGTAATTGGATAATTATATATTGGTCATTGACTTTCACCATAATTCTGGTTAAACATTTTCAATAGAAATTATTTATTCATTTTTCTTTGTTTATTAATCTAAAAAATTTTGCTTTTTGAAAAAATATTTAAAACACAATCAGACACCTCCCCCACTTAAACATTAGCAAGTTGACCCGTTTCTAATTAAGGTTTCTGATTTTCTAATTTGAGGGGATTGTTTCTTGACACAATATGTTTAATTCAAAATGTTTACACTCATTGTTCATCTAAACTTCACAGATGGCCGTGGACAGAGAAACAGCTGGCAGTGTGTGTCTGTTCTCTACGCTGGCCTCAGCCATCGAACGCTCTCAGGCAGAGCTGATGGAGGTGATGGAGCTCAGTCGAAGGGCGGCAGAGCACCAGGCTGACACTATAATGCGACAGCTGGAACGGGAGATAGAAGAGCTCCGGAAAAGAGAAAAGGCTCTCGTTGAGCTCGGCCAATCAGATGACCACGTACACTGTGTCAAGGTTAGTGAGACTGTATGGGATAAGGGAAAGTTAGCTGAGACACCCATTTATTTGTTTCATTTTTCTTCTCAGACGTTCCCCACTCTGTCTCGACCCCCAAATGCCAAAGACTGGTCTGGAGTGTCTTTAAAGACTGACCTGGGAACAGCCACCATCTACAGATCGCTTGCAGTTCTGGTGGATAAATTCCAGGAAGAGCTGAAGAATGTGTTAGAAACTGGTCAGTGCAGCATGAACCACGTGGCTCCTTGTCAAGCAGAACAGACCAGGAAGAACACCAAGACTGTTGACACGAGGAAATCCTTGTTTAGCAATTAAGTCTGTTGAAAGAAAAGAAAATATGAAAAATGTCCTCATTTGTCCTGGCGCTGTGTAGACGGCTGCCTCTCCAGTATCTTCTGGTAACCTTAATTTCCTGAGGGAGTCTTCCCAAGGGATCAATAAAGTTCAGTCTAAATCTAAGTCTAAGTCTAAAAAGTGTAGACCTACTAATATAAAGAGTGAAAAAAGCAGACTTTGCTTTGCAGTTTGGGGTATTTGGAAGCTATGGTACTTATGGTTTGATACACAACAAAACACTGTCCTCTAGTGGTAAATCTGATTTCAAGCTCATCATAAAGACCATTGACATTGGTTAAACCTAATTTATTACAACTTTAAAAATTCTAAGTCATAGATTTCTCTTGTTTTGGCTCTTGATATGCAATGTCATGTGTGCCCAGGTTTTCCCGCCCCAGTGCTAGAGCCTAGTCCAGTCCGAACTCAGCCCAGTGAGTTATCCGCCACTCAAAACAAACCCACTCATGTCTTTACTGTTTCATTTTGACAAATACTTTTTTTTTTCCAGGAGTGAAGAGAATACAGGAGTATGCATGTATGTAACATTCCTATCGCTTCCAGTTTGTTTTTGATTAACTTTATTACATATCCTTTGGTTCTGCTTAATTGCAAATGATATGTTTAGATATTATATCTATTTTCAAAATTCTAACTGTGAAACTATTTATTCAGGATAAATTGAAACTGAACTCATTAAAGGTTTAAAGAAAAACATTGAATGTAGGACAACAATCTTCCGTATAATATGACCTACTATATCACAGGTTTGAATACAGGTACATTTTTTTTCAGTAGATAACTTGCAAAACTAATGAAAGACAGGTAAAAATATTTAAATATTTCTTCAACAACAGTGGATGTGACTCTGGACTCCAATACTGCCCATCCCAGACTGATGCTGTCAGAGGACATGAAAAGTGTGAGACACTACAACATTCAATAGTTTTGTACCCAGATGATCCCTCTGTCAGAGGCGTACGGCATGCTTCATTTGGTACCGATAATCTGCATGTTTTCTGCAGGTGAAGTGTGGAGATCGACACCATAATGTGCTGGACAAACCGGAGAGATTTGATCGAGTTGTGTGTGTACTGGGGAGGGAGGCCATATCTTCTGGTAGACATTATTGGGAGGTAAGAGCCACTCTCCCCAGTATCTACAGTTAGCACAGAACCGTTAAGATATTGACAATTCAGCATTTTGCAGCAGGGATTTATTTTGCTTGAAAAAGTTTCTGTATTTTCATCTCAACCATGTTCTGGCTCTGGTGAACAGGTGGAGGTGGGTGGAAAGACTGACTGGGATCTGGGCGTTGCCAGGCAATCAGTCAGCAGAAAAGGAAAGATTGATTATACCCCTAACAATGGCTTCTGGTTCCTTAGTTTGAGAGACAAGTGAGTGTTTACAGATTGCTACACATAATAGACTGGAATTGTTGCTGCGTGAAATACATTTGCATGTCTCCAAAAAAAAAACATTTGCCTGATTAACTCTATGGCGCTAATAGCACAACCTTAAATGAACACAGATTAAATGTCCACTTATTTCCCACTCTACGCACAAGTTATTGCTTCAAGTTTTTAACATTTTTCATTATCTTTTTTTGTGACTTTTACCTACAATTCATGGTAGTTTCAGACTTCTAGAAAATGTTGCAGAAAACATCTTGCCACCAACCTTTAATCCTGGCGATTGATCATACTTTCAAATTGCCTTGCATTATTCTTTATTTCTTTTTCTTCTGTGCTGCTCCTTCTCTTTACCCTCAGGAGTAAATACGCATTTCGCAGTGAGCCATCCACAGACGTCCATCTGAACCTCCCCCCTAATAAGATAGGAATATTTGTGGACTATGAGAAAGGACAGGTACGGGATAAGTGACTTGTTTGAATACATTCTGCATTTTTGGAACAGTTTTTACATTGAGATACTCCCTTACATCCATGTTTGATCAATGGTTGTCTGCGCTTCCTTAAAGTTCAATTGTGTAATACCACAGCCTGTGCTCATTTTTTTCTCCTCCCCCCAGGTGTCTTTTTACAATGTTGATGCCAAAGTCCACATTTACACTTTCAATGACATTTTCACTGAAAATCTCTACCCATTCTTCAGTCCCTGCACTAACAAATCAGGAAAGAATGATGGACCACTGACAATCACACCAGTTAACATGACAGAGTAACGTGTTGAAGAAAATCAGCTTTAAGTGGCTATGAAATAATTGACATGTACATACATTCATTTTAAGCAAATCATTTATTATAAAATTGTTACTTTATCTTTTCCAGTACTGATAAATGTGTCTATCTTTAAGAAAATGTTGTTCCTGCTGTCACCGCCTTAGATGTTTACTCCAAAGGAACAGAGGTTTGAAATTTGCTTTTCTCCGACGGATAAAATTAAGCCAGAAGCAGCAACTGTAAATCCAGATACTGAGATTATTAAAAGGCTGTACACACCACCAACTGTAATTTCTGTGTTTTTGTTTTTCTGTGTATTATTCCCAGGGACAACACTAACTGTTTAAACTTATATATTTGTATCATTCTAAGATATAACAGCTGCTGTCTGCACTGCTTCATGCAATAGATGTGAAATGTATGAATATTTATAATAAAATGAACATATACGATTACAAGGTAGACACACATTCTCTCCACATTGTGGAGAGAAAAATACGTTCCTGTATCTACATTTTTATTCCCATTTGTATTTCCTGTGGAGTGATGCATATTCACTACTAAATTGTTTTTTTACACACACAATTTGTATCTTCCTTCAGCTACATACTATTTCTCAGAGCATTTCAGTGATGTTCATGAAATAGAAATTTGTGATGTTAAAAGTTGGTCTAAAATGCCTGTTTCTTTGCTGGGTAAGAAAGGTTTTCTTGAAAAATGGGATTATACTAGCCTGAATGGCAGTTATTAGATGATTGCCCTTTAAATTATAACCATACGAGGTATCTCAATGATACAAATCTGACCATAATCTGCAAAAGTGCTGAAATCGTTTTTGTGGTTGCATCAATTATATGAGATGCCACTATGAGCGCATTCTGACTGAATTATAGACACACAACACAAATTTGGTGTAACACCTGGTGATTAAAGCGCATTTACCCTTTTTGTTCTTAAATTTCAGTTTAAAATTTAGGATACTCTCTTGCCCGAAACGCATAACAGTATTTATAACTTTGTGTATGTCGAAATCTGAAATGTCCAGTTCACATGAGAGCCCTTTCCCTGTCATGTTGCTCCACCAAAGTTTAGATTGGGATCTATGAGATCCGCTGTCTGCTCTAAGAGCTGGACAGGTTTGCAGTAATGGCTGCTGTACCACATTTTCATAACTATGCTCCTAAGACAAACGTCATCAAAGAACTGTGTAATTCTCCTAAGAATAAATGTACTGGGTGGCAGTCACTTGGGCAAAGGCACACAGAGGCATTCTAGGAAAGAACTTCCTCAGACTTTGATCAAGAGTGTAATTTATTGTGTGGTTGGTTGATGAGAATGGAACCAAAGGCAAAAAAAACCCCAAATCATCAGTCCCAGATGTAGCAAGAGACAATTTCCTTTCCCAAGGGATGTTTGAATGTTGAATAAAAGAAAAGAAAAAAAAATCCAAAGTGAGATTAGGTCCATCAAAGTCATCCACACAGAACTGCATACGCCACAGATAGCTGTATGTGTGTTCATGACCCAAACAGACGTGACTGACTGACATAAATGCTTCAACTCTGCATATCTATCCTCTGAAAACCGATGTGACTGACATTTTTTCTCTGTATATCTCGTACACACTTTAGTATTATTTAAAAGGCTTTCCACTCCAATATCAGGTTTCCGTATGAGTAATAATTATGACTTTAAAAGTGCAGTTTCCAGCTTACATTCGGAAATGTTTTTTTCCCATTCTGGTAGTTAATGTTAATCCAAAGTACAGTTTGAAGATATTCTGTGTTAGGGGCATTTTAAATAAAAAAATACATTTAATAAACTATGCACATCTTTAAAGTAAAAAAAACAAACAAAAACAACTATTCAAACAGAAAATTACATTTGATACTTTAACACAAATGCATCACAAAAATCAAAACGAATGTGTAGTGACCCCCAAACATGTGAAATAAAGTACATACGGAAAAGCATGAAACCAGCAGGACCAGCTTGATGTGAATACATATTTGTTCCTATTCTATAAATCCTAAATTCTGATGCGTGTTTAGACTTCTGTGCAGATTTTTGGGTACATTGGTCAAATTTACGTTGCAGCGAAAAGCCAAGCGAGTAGAAGTTGAGCTGCCAATTTGATCAAAAAAATGAGTCCTGATAAGTCACATTAAATCAGGAGTCCTACATAAAACCCAAAAGCAGGAGAAGGTTATCCAGACAGAGAGAAGAATTTCCAGGTAGCAATGATTTAAAAATCCATCTCCAAACAAGAACAGTCGCACCACAGCTGACGTCTAAAGCATCTTGCAGTTCTTTCACAGCAGATTTTTAGGTAGAAAAACTGAAAAATATGTATCTATCATTTACACTCTACCAACCTGTGACAGGGAGATGCTATATGAACATCTACTTTGGGCAACAGAACTTTTTTCCCCCTCAACCATTACTTCTTCCCAAATCCAAACAACCCCTATGAGAGTCTGAATAAAAAGTTATCTTATTCAAAACATTGAAAGAATCACACCGTCATTTCATTGACAGCTGGTATAAATCAGCTCATCTTTTGACTGTCTTTGCACCTTCAACCTTTACGCCCTGACATAACATTCCATTGGCACTCTGTTTCAAATCAGAAGTTGATGCGATCGATGCGGTCCTGCTCCATCTGAGACTGAGCCTTTTTCTTCTGCAGGAGGATGTGTTCGCTGAACTCCCAGACAGCTCCCATGCCCCCCGCCTGGTGGCAGGTGTACTTTGAGGCCTTAATGGCATCCGCAGGAGCATCTCCGGGCACAGCACTCAAACCTGCCAGGTTCAGACAGCTGGTGTCTTCGGTATCGTTGCCTGAGAGGAGAAACATGAAAATGTTCTGGTTTTTATCTCATCCTGCACCTTTACAAGTACAGCTGATGGGCTGAATGTGAGAGTTTGGCCTGACTATCTAATAATCTCAGCATACATGCACAGGAAAGCATGCTGTTGAGTACAGTCTGACTTTACCCATGAAAGCCACGTCCTTCCAGTCCAGCTTCTTCTGCTCCACAATTGGCTGCAGATCCTTCAGCGGCTCCTCTCCCACCTGTATCACCTGGCATCCCGTCCTCTGACTCAGTTTGTCAGCTAGCGGCTTGGGAACGGGATAGTTGCTTGAGGTCAGCAGGAGGACCTGGTGAAGAGAGACAGATCGTCGTTAGTCTGTTCATGAGACATACATTCCAGCTAAACAACAGTATACACACAGCTGTGGATTCAAACCTCCACATTCTCTTTCTTCAGCTTGCGAAGGCCTGCTATGTCTCTAGTGGTGATGGACACCATCTCTTCTTGGGATGCGGATAAAAAGATTCTGCCTTCAGTTAAACATCCTGAAACCTTGCAGAACATCAGACGCACCACCTCAGGCGTGACCTGACCGAAGTAGCCATACCTGTAGGAATATGCACAAACGGGGCCAAACAGGAAAAAGAATATGAGAAGAAGCCTTTAGAGTATATATGAAAGACTGGAGGAGCACATAAAGGAGGAAGTAGCCTAAAATCATCATCATAACATGTTTTCACTATGATCTGGTTTAAAGTGTGGTTCATAAATCTCACCTGAGGACCCTCTGCTCTGCAACGGGCCAGTCGATGTCCACGTCTATGTCCACACTGTACTCGGGCTGCATTTCATAGTAGCCGATCTTACCACCCTTAAAAGATGTCAACACAGGCGTGCCATCACAAAAACAAGCTGATGGACAACATGCATCAATATACACATTCAAAGCAATGGCACAGTTACCTGCAAACAACCCTCATTCATGATGAGGTCCTTGGTGGTAACATAAAAGGAGCCATTCTCACACAGCTCTCCACGCCAGTCCTGTCTTCGAGGCCTTTTCTTTGGGTCCAGATTCTCGGGCTGAGTTACCTCACCAGCTAAGAAGAAGCATAATTCATTAAAAACAAGAGAAACATTAAGCCTATTTGCACTGACACTCAGCTGTCAGGCACATCATTTACAGAATAAACCAAAGTCTATTAAGCAGGCTGTCACAGCAGCGAGATCATGAACTGAAAATACCTCAAAATTCAACACAGACAACCTGAAGAAGCGCAAAAACCTGATCTTAGGATCTTTAAACATCTATCAATAAGTCTCAGAAGTAGTGCATGCAAATTGACCCAAGAACGTCACAAAACTAAAGGTCTTTAGAGGATCAAACTCCCCACGGAAGAACAAAACACTCTGAGCTAGCAACAACGAGTGTTAACAAGCTGGGAATCCTGCAAAGTTGGATGGAAACCATCTCAACTAGAAACATCAGGTGACATCTGTTGACCTACATCCCTCCTTGAACTCCTTCCAGCGGAACTGGTGCCTCCGGACCACAGAGAAGACCGAGCTGTAGCCCTGCAGCGTGATCATCTCCAAGGCCTTCTTCAAGTGAAATGGGTGGAGACAAGGTGATGTAGCCTGGATATTACATATCACATCCACATCTGTTGACACAAAGAGAGTCAATTCAGAGTAAACAGCTGCCCGTCTCCAAACGCCACACCTGTGTGCATGTGTGGTTTACAAACCCGGGTTAAGGCGCACAAACTCTTGGATGGTTTCCAGTGAAGTAGAAGTGTCCCTGGAGACCTCGGGACTTCTTCGGTGCACCTTGGCTCCCCAGGACTTTGCCACTTTTTCGATCTCATCATGGTCTGTTGATACCCACACGCTGGGAGAGGGAATACACAATGTCAGTATGGTGTCAATGCATTAGCTTCCTTTTAGGCAGTAAAGGGGGTTTTGGCATCTGCCCGATACGGATAATTGAAGCTTAGTCTTTAATGGTCCATCCCGGCAGAGACAACCTGCGTTTAAATGGCCTCACAAGTCACCGAGGTGTACTTGAACGCACCAATCGATAGGCGTACTGTAATGGCCGATGCGTTCCCTGGAACATATTTTTTGTAATCATACAGCCGTATTCTTCACAACTGTTTCTGTTTCTCCTGTCAGATATCGAAACAAGTCTGCAGTCGCAATTTGAGCATTCGTGTTTTCAGTCGCACTTTAAACTGAAGCATGGGAGTAAAACAAGGCAAGGCTTTATTCAACGTACCTGTCGAACATGTTGGAGTCAATAGCAGCCCTCAGCACCCAGCCAATTAAGGGAGCCCCGGCTAGCATTTTGATGTTTTTCAGCGGGATCCCCTTACTTCCACCCCTGGCCAGAATTAATGCGGTTAAATGCCTTTTCCTCCCTTCATCTCCATCCTCTCGTTTCTTCTTCTTTCCAGTTTGGTTACTCTCATCGTTTCGCCAGGTTTCCATGGAAACGACACGGCCTCGCTTGTCGTTCTCATTCTCATAATTTCGTTTCATTGTGGCCTTACAGTATGTCCCCTTGACAGCACAGACTGGAACACCTCTACAGAACCCAAGCCAACATTGCAGCTGAGTCCCAATCCGAACACTCCGTTTTCTTCTTCTGGGTTTCTGTGTTTGGGGAAAAGTGTATACTGCCATCTACCGGAAAGAAGTGAGAATAGTTTCCCCCCAATCTTTCGTCATTTGGCAGATTTTATGGGAGCATTTCCATGTTTTTTTTTCTTCTGTGACCTTTCGCAGAAAAAAGGATACTAGAGAACCTGATTTGTACAGATCAGTTTAAGGCAAAAAGCAGCTGCAATCTGCTTTTATCAGAAATAGTTTTATATGATGATTGAACTCCTCTTCTGTTTTTTTTTTTTTTAGTTTTCTCATTTAACTTTCATTTCACTTAACTTACTTGTAAAGGAAGTAGGTTATAAGTCAAAGCGTAATTTCCCCTCACCTACGTGGCGAGTCGTGGAGACCAGGCAGTCAATCTGGTTGAACAGGAGGAGTGGGCCTCTGTTACTCAGACTGTTTCTCTTTCTATATCTCTCTCTCTCTCTCTGTACATTTTTTGTCTTTGTTTAATCAGTTTACTTTGACATATGAAAGGAATATGAAAGCAGGAAGAACACTGAGGAAAGGCTTTAGAAGAACAAAGAATGTTTTGGTTGACGAAAAATGAGGTTGACGCCTCTGACAATCATTCTAGCATGAACAGAGGGTCCAAGCTCTTCCTCAACTCAAACACAGACATGATGCTGAATAAAAGACAAATGAACAATCTGAGATGTTGCTTTTTGTGTCTCAATATTCTACTACTGATGCTGATGTTTTGGGCTTTTTTTTGCTTAACACTCGTTTGTGTTTTATTCTATCCTATATCATCGTTTTTTTATTTTTTTTTATCTATGATCACTTTCTCTCATGTACACACTTCAGTCTGTTGTTGCAACGTGACTCATTTTGTCATTTTGTGTAAAGATTTTGCGCCATCTCATATTTCACCTAAACTGGATGGATCTTCTTTTTGCCATTTCCTTCATTTGTTGTTGCCAGTGCAGATATTTTGGCTCCTTTGGATCTTGTGACTATGTTATTTTAAACTTTGGAGTAATCTTTTCTTCTGAGATCACTTCATTTCTCTTGTTGGTTGTTTTGTTAATCTGTGTGGTGTCTCACTCTCACTGCTTGTTATAGCTGTATTAATCCATTCTGTTTTCAGTATGACCCTCTGGTTGTTTAGTGTCTCTATTACCATTTAGTCTCTCACTCACATTGTGTCTCCCTTATGTTTTTTGTTGAATTGAAAAAATAACTTTAACATATGAAATCGAAACTGGTTTTAATGGCACTAATCCTGTGGTCCCTCTAGCCTATGCCTTGCAGGCAACAGTAATCCCTCTGTATATGACAGTATCGATGACAGTTAGAAAGGAGATATAATGAAGCAGATAGTGGAGGGAGCAGGTTACCCATCTGCCTGAACTCCTCCAACAGCCCCGGCAACATACCTTTCCTCCATTCCAGCTGCACCACTGCGCTGCTCCCTCATAACCCCCTCCTTCCTGATAGGCCTAACTATCAACAGCAGACAAGCACTTCTTAGATTTTACAGAAGCTACTTATAAGTATAATTGTTCAGAATTTGAATGTTAATGTAAATTATCACATGAACAGAAGAGCAGAAAACAAAATGAAGCATTTACATCCAAACAACAAACATGATTACACAGGTTGCTGACACTTGAGTCTTTGGACTAAATCCAAATGTAACATATGAAAAGCTGCATCTATCACAGAGCCAAACTGTTTGGATTTTTGAGTCCATATACAGTAGTTGCAGTGTATGAGTCAGATGTGATTCAAAGAGAAGCTTCTTAAGAAATGTATTTATCAAACTTTCACTAATTCATCAGCTCAAACAACCCACAAAATAGACCTCCCATCACTATAAAATTCCATCAATAAGCGTTAGTCTGGATGGTTGTGTGTCTCTGTTCTCCTCGCCCAATGACTGCCCAAAGATTTTCTATTACTTTAAACATCGCATTTATCTCCAACAGTATCTGCAAGAGACTTTCAAAAGATGCTTAAAACTCACACTGATCAAACACAAGGGCTGGCCCTGTTTTCCTGCACACAATCCAACAGCTTGGGTTCTTGGAAAACAATATTTAATTATTATATTTTACTCTGAACAGGCTCAGTAACTCAGAAATCTGAACATCCAATTTGTCTCTTTTCTTTCTTTTAAACAATTATGTTTTAAGCCCAGTTTAACCCTTTAATGCAGGGTGTACCATTTTTTAATATACAGATTTCTGGGAACTATTTTCCTACTTTCAATACAAATACTTTTTGTACAGAATCTTTACTTTTTTGTGTTTTAGTTAATTATAAATACACACAGAAAACCTTTATCAAATTAAATAAAAAAAACATTTTTTTTCCCAGACAGATAAAATAAACCTAATCTTCTGCCCATTATGTCCTAAATTAGGCTTTAACGGTTAAGATTTATATCACTTTTTACACTGAATAAAATGCTAACAACTAATGGGTAGCTTATCTGGTATCTTGGTGCGCTAAATTCCATGTATAGTTTATTAGTTGAAACCTGCTCAACCCAGAGCTGCGATGACAACATGAGGCAGCATTACTGTTAATTCACTATTCCACATGCTACGTTTTGCTCATGTTATGTTTGTATGGTTTATAGCTGTTGTTTTTCTGCCTCTCCATGGGAGTTGCTTACTCATGCACACTTGTCATTAAGTGATTTGAAGTCCTACCTGACATTTTTTATAGCCTGGGTGTGCCAGTCTCTATCTGAAATGCAGCAATAGAAAGGGGAGTCATTCTCTGTGTATTTTTTTCCCGTCATGTCCATGTTGATAAATGAGGATTACCTGTCAAAGCAACTTGTTTATCATCTACAACATTGAGTGAGTGGGAAATTCAGTCCAGGAATCAAGGTTTCAAGGCTGTATATCTGCAAGGTTCGGTCATTTGTGTCACCACAGAAATTAGTTCGTATAAAAGGACACAATATATTCTGAGCCGCTTGCAAAGGGAGAAAGACAAAAACTCAATCTGTCAGCTCAGGAAACAGTCTAACTGAAAATACGTTTTTTTTATCTATATAACGGTGCGTTTTGCATAGCTACACCTACAACCGTAAAGAAGTTATTTTGCCCCAGGATCTCATTTGACCCAAGGTTCACTTAGAGATTCAGGGAAGACTTGCTAAAGATCACGTCAGCTGAAATGTCTTGCTCTATCCCAACAGAACTTTTTGAGATTATCAGCTCTGCCTCAGCTTCTTTTACTAAAAATGTTTAAATTTTTAAGTCAAAGTTACTGCTTTTAATTTTATAACTCTTAAGCATAAAAGGAGGATAACTAGTGAGATTCAACTTAAAAAGTGCAAAGCTTCGAGGGTATTTTGTGGGTCTTTCTGTCTCAGTCAGGGACTTTCCCCCAGTCCCTACTGTTGATTGTAACATTGTAGACACTTTAGAAATGGGGAGTTAAGAAGTGGTCTGATTTTCTATATTTGTCCAATTTGGGTTTCGAGTGTTTAAAAGGGGCATTTTGAGGATGATGTCTGTGTGTTTTGTGATTGATGGCCATTGTAAGAGTTCTAAGAGTAAACTGTAGAGTAAACAGGGATTTTCTCAGCGAGTCATTTGCATATTCGCAGGCTCATTTTAGCATGTGTCATCATGAATACATGCGAAATATAACAAAATACATTAAACAAAGGGATTATATAAATAAATGTGATCATTGTGTGATGAGTAGTAACTGCCCTTTGATAATGAGATAACTGTCCAACCTCCACTGCAAAGTTTAACCTGAGGACATTTCATGTAACGTCACATCTGCTTCTTTAAGTTGGCTATTGCACATCCATTCTTTGCATTTGAGGCCTCTGAAACATTCCCACAAAAAAGTTGGAATGCTGAGCAGTTTCAGGGCTGGAATGAGTTTTAAAGGGCTTTGACGCTACCTCAAACAGGCACAAACAGGCAATTGTAATAATGATTCGGTAAGAAGCATGCTTAAAATGCTGACCCCGGAGGATCTCTACTGTGTGAAAAATGCATGAACTCTTTAAAAACAATGCTTGTGAAGGTTCACAATGAAAAAGATCTCCATATTTTTCACACTATTTGACATATTGTTAAACACTCGGTGGATTTTCAGTGCATTAAGGGCAAGCTTGAATTTGACCGATATGATTCCTCCCACAGCACTGCATGAAGAACTGACATTTCTCAGAAGCTAAAACAATGTTGAAGGAACATCTGTACCCCCACATTCTGCAAACATTAAAAATATACAAAAACAACATTGTAGTATTCAATGTCTTAAAATATGCCGTCGTGCCAAAGTAGAGGCTGAAATGCTTCATAGTTTTCTTTAAAGTGTTGTAACAACACGACGGATGGCAGCTTCACAAAGAGGCTAACGTTTCCTGTTTCCCCCTTTTAACATTTTCCAGAACTAAAAAAAGTTGGGCTCTCTATATCCCCAGGTAATAGAAATGGAGTGCATTTTCATACAGTCCCTCCTTTTTATGAATTTAGGCATATTTCAAGTAGCCTATCAAATTAATCTCTGCTCTGGCCTTTGACATAATGAGTATTGACGGATGTTAAACAATTTGCTGTTCTGTTTTACATTTGCCCTAGTCGTCCTCTTCCACACATTCTCTTCCCCTTGTGTTTTTCTTGTCATTCTCACGCCCCCACCTTAAAGCGGAATGGTGAAGAGGTGGAGATAGAGAGGAGAAGAGAGAAAGAGAGCGAGGAGGGGTAAACCGGTTCAGCAGGTAGAGGCCTTACCCAGCTCCCTCAAGCTTGTTGTCACCGTTATTTCTGTGGCGCATGCGCGCTGCTGCCAGTTTCCTGCTTTTTAAATGAGTACCTGTGCAGTTTTTGACCCACCTCTGCCGACTGCGTGTGTATGTGTGTGTGTGAGTGTTTGATCGTGGTGTATCTGACGCCCCCCCCCCCCCTCCTCCCTCAGACACTCCCGTTATTTCGGGGCGCTGCTGATGAAACTTTACCTGTCCGGTTTGCTCACCTGAGTCGACTCACCTGTCCCGACACCGAAAGACTTCCCTCCAGAGCTGAACACCTGAAGCAACGGAAGATTAGAGAGGGACAAGAAAACGAGAGGAACGAGAAGAAAAGTGCCCGGGCGGAGGAAGAAGGGATAACCGACACCTGGTCTCCTTCCCCGTTTCCTGCTTTTGCAACTGTTACCTGGCCCGGCCGCGGGGGAAGCCGTTTCTTCTTCAGAGGGAAGAAAGTGGACACTTCGGTCGCTGAAGGAAAAATGCCAAGAGCCTTTTTGGTGAAAAAGGCGAGCGTTTCGCCGGGAAAGCGGAACTGGAGTGAACTACCTGACCATGAGCGAGGGGACGTCTACATCCCAGGTGAGCCCAAGCTGCAGTAATGAGCAGGACTCGCTGTCCGGGGGGGAAAAAAGTACAAATATCTAAGGCTATGGTTGGAAACGAGGCGATTTTTTTGGAGCCGCAGAGATTGGAGGGATTCTAGGGGGGTTTGAATGGGCCAGAAATGGAAGTGGATCAGGTGGGGAGGGGTCCGGTAGGGATTGTAACGGGGCAACTGCAGCTCCACGGAATAACGGGAACAGCGGGCCTCAGACCGCCTGTTCTGTGATCCACTGCGTGGATGAGGAGGGGGAAAGTTGCTTTCGTAAATGGTTTTCATTGTTTTTATTGATCCGAATGATTCATTCTAAAAACCAAATTCTATATCCATATCAGATGATTTGATATATTTTTTAAGAAAATCGTGTAGCCCAAAGGGAATAAGTTTAAGGAACGAACAAAAGGCCATTTCGCCGTCTTTATCACGGCCTATCTGTTATTTACCGCGTTTGTCGCTATCAGGAAAGCCTGTTGCCTTTCTAATCGACCTTCAGCCCCTTATTGCTGTGTTCTTCCTCGTTACGCACAGACTCATAAATCTCCAGTCTTGGCCTGTTGAGGCATACAGAGTGCCCAGTGGCTTCCCACAATTAGCCTAAACTGTTTTTTTTTTTTTTATTATTGCTGAGCCATGTTTAAGTTAAATGACATATTCATTCATACTTTCAAAACCAAATTAGCACTATGAACCAAGACTTTGAGGCCCACTTAGAGTTCTGACATAACTTCTCAGACACAAAGTGCGGGGACTGTCAAAACCGATCAGGTGACTGCATCCAGTATTTGTCTCCGACTTTACATTTAAATGACCAGCCGAGGGAGTCCACTTCGTACCAATAACTGCCCCCCCCCCCCCCCTTACCCCCTTCACCCCCTCCCAACTTTTTGAGAACAATCCCTATTGTTGCCATCGGCGGAGTTTTATTGTGAGACCACGTCGGTATCAGATAACAAGTAACGGACTACACCCTAAACCCCCTCTCAGACCCTTCCCCCATCTTTGTCTGACTGTGTGTGTCCTCTCCTCAGCTCATCACCGTTAACTCTTAATCATTGACTTTTACATCCTCCTGGATGCTTGTGGACATAGGGCTTTAAGTAGAATGCCCTCAAGCTTTTTTATCATTTTTAAAAACCACCTTTTAAAAGTTTTTTTTTCGTCATTACCTATTCTATAACCTTACAACAAAGATACAGGAATTTCAGGTCTTTCTCGGTTCCCATGACGTTGGGTTGTTCTTTTACGCATCGAGAACCCCACAATAAATCTCTGTTAGGGCGAATGTGTCAGTTTCACTTCCAGGCAATTCTGGAAAATAGTGTTCGAATGTATTGACTCCAAACAAAAATAGTCAAGCTATTAGTTTTTACATAGACAATACACTTGGAAAACATCTAAGAGATCAGAAGATAACATTGAACGCAGGTGCGTAATTATGCCAAACCCAGCAACGGTCTCAGTTAGGGTTTCTGGTATGCGCCGTTACTTGATGTACCTGCCTGGCGTGTGGTAGTGTGTGTCCTGGTTTTGCACACTCACACGCACAGTGAAACCCTCTTACACAGAAGTATGATAATTACTTCGGAGACAGGCGTGTCAAATGCTTTTATGAAACGCCTGATGCCATCCGCGAGGACATTTTTTTTCCATCTTCGTTTATTTTTAGCCCATAATCCACAAACATGTGCCAGGGCCTGTTTCTGTTGGTCATGAATCTGAAATTGGTCGGCTCCGACTGGGGCATGACTCAAAACAGAACTGCCACGAGAGAAGGACTATATAAGTTCACATTTGATTGCCGGTACATTAAGTAATTACTCATTTATTTTTAGCTTTATATTTCAATATATGGATTGCAATTCATTCGACTTCTCTTATAAGTGCAGTTTTCAATTGTTTATCTTTTGAGCAAATCTGGGTGTAGCAGATAGAAGCAAACAAAAAGAAGAAAGAGATTGAATGAATTATTAAGAAACTCATGGAAAGCAACTTAAAAGATGGTTATGTCAATTGATTTTATGAAGCATTTTTCATTTCAGCCTAGCCACAAATAGCCTGAGAAACTTTGAATATATGTTTGAGAAACTTTTTCTTTCTGTACGTTTCTCTTTAGAGTAATTTAGAAGAGAAGATTAAGTCATGATTTGGCAGGGAGGTGAACAACCAACCAGTGGACTCCTAGGGTCAATTTAGAGCAACCATTGAAGCCAACAGTGGGCACCTTTATGTACTTTGAACATGCAACCTCCACACACATATTACTAATTCTGAATTTAAGAAGTTAAATTATGTGACCAAAGTTGAATAATGAAATATTTTTATTAATCATTATTACTCTAGACAAGTATTTTCTCTTATCACTCTTGGATATTATAATTGTGGACGTAAAATACAATGTTCAATGTATTAATACAGAATGTCTTCAATGTTTAAGTGTATATTATACATATAAAAATACAGATATCCAGTTGCAAGCTTTGAATTAAGATGCTTCTTTTAATCTTACTTACATTAATGTTTTTGCTGTAAGCCACGCAGTGTATCCCTGGACTGGTGCCCTTAAGCCAAGCTAAACTGAGTTAAGTGAATGGGAAGGTGGCCACATCTGTTGGTTTGTGTAAACAGAATTGTATTTCTGTTTGTTCTGAAGCTGCTCAGACAAAAATTTAAAAGAAAAGTTATTCAAGTTTGTATTTGCTCAGCCTGTTGCATCAGCCTCTTTAAAGTGTCCGATCAATTCCTGACCATCATAGGCAAATGCTGGAGAAAGTAAACAGGAACTAATTTGACTTCACAGTAGAAAGAAATCAGAGGAGGCCATCCATTTCAAGATGGTGCTCTGGCTCCATCATACTGTGCAGTGCTCTCAGGTAAGAGATATGAAAGTTAGTTCAGCTGTTTTGAACATGTGGTAAAATGAACGAGCAGATTTTCCTCCAAGTCGACCCAAATTCTCTTGGTGAGTTCAGTGGACAAGTTCAAACCATCTGTGCTAAAGGTCTGTCAAGGTTAATGTTTAGGCTGTTGGAAGGAAGGAAACGTAACGGACCTTTACCAACAGTCTACTGCTGCGCTCCACACTCCTTTAGCAAACACACACACACTAAAACTCAGACTCACACCCCATGTTTTATTAAGTTATCTAATGATTGTTGACTCTGAGCCATGTGAATGATAGAAATAAGATACTAAGAAAAATGCAACCAACCCAACTCTTCCACCCCTCTACCCACATTTTTGTCTCTCGCTGGCTTCAAGACGAGGCTTAGGTTCATTTGTAACCCCCTCAACATTAGCCTCACACACATACCTCATTCACTGGTGTGGGGGAAAGGAGGAGTGAACAAACAATACAAGATGAGATTAAATGTCCAGCTAGCAGCAGTCAGCATAGAATCTTATCACCGCAAGAGTAATTAGAAGGGATTTTTGCTAAAAGAAAGGTCTACTGTCAGTAGGAATGATTTGTGTTGTGTATTCCTTTAAAACAAGTATTACGTTCAGGTAAATGAAATGTAAGTTACTCAACTTAAACTAGGAAACAAAATTTAAACAAAGAATGAAAGGATTGCATTTATTTAAATATCACAAGAACACTTCCTATCCATCTAGTAATGGGTCAAAAAAGTTAAAGCCAGAGCAGTCCAAGTTACTCACAATTTGACATAGATAAGCTTAGCATGGATAAATGGAGGGATGCAGGTTTAATAAGCAAATTAAAAATTCACAAATTTTAATGGCCCTGATTCCTATCAAATACAGTGAAAAGTGGTGAGAATGCATTATGTTTCACAAGAACTTTCCATTTACAATTCAGAAATCAAAGATTTGTTTGCTTTAAATGGCGATGAGAATAACATGAAAGTGGAAATTCTGAGGTGGGATTTGGTGTTGGCCCCATGTCCAAATATGGTTATGACCATATTTATTCATAACATTTCATTTGCTTAAACCCCGAGATCCACAGCGGTGCAGTGAGAGGTATTTCATTATCAAATATGCTCCAGAGGCAGCACAGAGCCGCCACTGTCGCTGCATACCGTTAACTCCATGTTTGCAGGGCCGCTATTATGCCCCTTTCATCGTTAAAGCTCTGTGTTTGGCCTCATTTGCATTTGCATTTGGGTTTTATCTGATTGAAACTGGTCAGACTCAAGCGATTCGTTGTCTTCGCCGTGGCCAGTCACACCAGCATATGGCCCACCTGAGCACACACGCAAACCTGCTAGTGCTGTACATGGTGCTGTTAGTTTAGTGGTTTCTCTTTCTCTCTCCGTCTTTCTTTGACATTTTGTTTTGTACTGCTTATGTGTTCGCATGCGCATGCGCACACACACACACACATACACTGACATCCAGCCCTGCGGAGGTATATTGTTTGAGGAAGGAACAGATCTGGTGCCGCAAGACAGTCTGGTCAAACAAGTCTAACTGTAATGGGGATGGCTTTGTGCACTTGTGTTTCTAGGCATGTGTGTGCTTGGAAAATAAGTCACACCACACAATAGGGCAAACATGAGCACACCCACGCACACACCAAAACATGCACATATATAACTTTGCATGTTTGCTAATTTAGCTATTGTGCAAATATGAAGCGATGCAGGCTGGCTGCCCGTTGTGAAATTCAATAGTCCCCCACCTTTATTCTTTTCTTCTCCTCCCTTGTTTTCCAGAACTCCAATCCAACGTCTCTCTTTATGAAATCCTTTTTATCTTTTCAGAACCGTATCCACATTAGTAAATGATGAATACTGTGCCTGGCAGCTGTGCTCGTGTATGAAAGAAATAATGAATTTTGTTTTGTGAGTTACTTAAATCATCCATTATTTGCTTGTAATGTTGGTGTACATTTTGTGACCTGAACTTGAATCAATACAGACGCTCATCTGCTGATCAGAAGGATTGAAATATTAGGAATTCTCAATACTACTTAATTAGACCTACAGGAAAGCTCAGAACTAAAACTGAGTTATTCCTTTGCCTGTTTGCCAGAAACCCGACACCAAATTTCTTCGACTTTTCAGAGGAGAACTAAAGCTTCATATTCACTCCTGGTCTTTCTCCATCCAGTCTCCATCTTTCCTCCATCGGCCCTGTCGTCGGAAGCTGAGGCGAGCCCGGCCGAGATCGTTCCCCTGTGCCTCAGCAAGCATTCCCTCACTGAGACGCGGGCTGAGCTCCCGTCAAGCACCACGCTCGGCCAACCTCAGAGCCCAGATGGTTCTCCGCAAGGGAGGTGTGACATCAGGAAGAGGTCCCATGGTGGCTCAACCTATGTCAGATCCAAAATCAAGGTGAGCGATGAGGAGTGACAGAGGTATTTGGAATTTCATTTTGGATCCAAAGTGGTTAAATCTTGTATTTAAATTACATTTCAATGTAATGTTTATACTTTCTCTACCTTTGTTTGTCTATATCAGGTAACTACAGGAGAGTTGCCACCTGACCCCCCCTCTGTCCCTCGTCCTCCCACTCCACCACCTCTGGCATCACATGCTACTGAGATGCTACCGGCTACTCCTTCAGAGGCGGTCTGCATGGCGACCAGATCATCAGATCAGAGTCAAAATACTTCCACAACAGCCCCCGCAGGGTTTGTCTGCCAGGTATGCCAGTGAGTTTACAGAGACAATGCGATCACTGAAGAAGAACCACTGTGATGCTCCTTAAGTTTTCAGTTTCCAGATTCGGCCAACACAGAAATTCTCATCTAGTTTTCAAGAATATAAAATAATTGATTGGTATTATTTTAGGAATCATCAATAAAACAAAATGTAAAGTTGGTAACAAATGAAAGAACTAGTCAACTTGAAAAAGTTTAGAAATGTCTAGTTTTACAAACTGTTGTGGTTAAACACCTGTGGAATAGTCAGTAGGACCTTTGGTTAATATTTGACGGTAGTAATAATGTGTCTTTAAGACACAGAATCTTTGTGCACATGTCTGCTGGTATTTTGGGGGGCGGCTTTATGTCAGGCTATGTTACTGACTAGTAAAATGGGACTGCATTGTTTGTTACTATTTCTAGATTTGCCAGAAGACTTTCCAGTACCAGCGTATGTTGAACAGACATGTCAAGTGCCATAACGATACCAAGAGACACCTGTGCAGCTTCTGTGGCAAAGGCTTCAATGACACCTTCGACCTCAAGAGACACGTACGCACACATACAGGTAGCAGCTCATTCCTGCGTTCATTCACAGGCACAATCATAGAGGCACCCAAATGCTTATGGATAACTTCTAACCTCTATTCAGGCGTCCGCCCGTATAAGTGCACCCTCTGCGACAAGGCCTTCACCCAGCGCTGCTCTCTGGAGTCCCACATGAAGAAGATCCACAGCGTCACCCTGAAGTACGCCTACAAGGAGCGACGCAACAAGCTGTACGTGTGCGAGGAGTGCGGCCACACAGCGGGAACTCAGGACGACCTGCTGGTCCACCTCCACTCGCTGCACCCTGACAGCACCCTGCTGAAGGGGAAGGCTGCCAGGAGGGGAGGAGGTGCAAGAGGAGCTGAGGCAGGCTCTGCCGGCGGGTCGACACCAGGTTCTCCTCAGGAAGGAGACAGTGATGATACCACTGGCTCAGCTGGGCAATAGAGCAGGGAGGAAGAAGAGAGCTCATAGGAATGAACTCAGGAGGGATGGATGGAGCAATGATGTGTTATCTCGTGGACGTGTAGATGATGGTGATGGAGAGATAGATGCCCGAGATACACGAAAAGTCATCATTATTACGAACTGTACATAAACATACATTTAAAAATGTATGTGTTTGGATTTGGGCTTCTACTGTGTATAACACCTGTTTGTATAATATGCTGCCAGACAAGACTTAGTCTTGCGAAGATGAGCCAAAAGATTATGACCTATCCCACCTGATATGATGCAGGTCCTTTTTGATTGACGCTAAGACATCTCCTGACAAACACTTTGGAAGGTTCCATTAGTTATCTGGGAATAAGACATCAGCAGCAGATCATTATAGATTTGCAACTTACCCAACCATTCGACATCCAGCCACCTATAAGAACAGTGATATTGTTTTGAAAAAGCAAAAGAGGTAATCATGTCTTGGTTCATCTACGTATTTCTTTTAGGGACTTTGTTACCTGTGGGTCTTTTTCCCCGACATGTCCAGATATGTTTTTCTATGAAAAATACTTTATGCATTAAAGGGAGTAATATATTACACAAGAATTTATGTTTTTGTCTCAAACTTTGCCTTTAACAGAGGCCTTACTGTAAAAAGTTAATTAAGGCTTATGAGTGGTTTGAAAGATGTTACAAAGCAGTCAGCTCTAAAGAAAAAAGTACCGCTGTGAACTTGGCGCTATCTAAGAAACTATATATATATATGTATATATATTGACAAGCTCCTGGATAAGGCTGAACGGATATTACAAGCTTGTGCTTTTAAAATGTCATTGCATTCATTTCCAGTTGCACAAAAAACACACATAACAGTTTGTGTTGGGTGAACTTAGAGGGATATGATATTTCCATTTAAGCATGACCAAAACACCCACTGAGTAATACATCATTATTTCAACATCAACACATGCATTAATCTTACATAGACCAGGATTTTATTTAAAAAAAAAAAAAAGACCAGGATTATCCAAGCCATATGTAGCTTGGTTAAACTGTTCTTTAGGAAACATAATTACACGATATTAAGAAAGACTATTAAGACATGCAAGCACCCCTAGGTAGGAGTGCAACTGTTTTGTCTGATTAACATATGCAGAAAATTTAAATTAATAATAAACGCTTGACAACACACAATTCTGCTTTTTATTTTGGATAATCTTTAAGATTGAATAGGAAATGTTTAATCATAGAAATCATTTAATTCGTATTCCTATTTTTTATAGCCAACCCAGACATCTGGTTTAAACATGGTAGAGATAAATAATGCAATCTATAGTTTGTCACAAGTTCACAGAAGGAATTAAATAAGCTGTTAAGCGTGTGAAACTTCTATAAATTTCTACCCCTGTAATGGTGCAACAGGCCAATTGATTTACATGCTGATAATGGATAAACTTAACTTGGTGTTTGAGGTGCTGTATGGACATTAAAGTATTGTTTTATTCAGTTATTCAGACCTTTGGGGTGCCAACAACCATAAATAAGAATGGCTGTTATCTGAATGTAGATTTATTGTCCAGAATCTTCCTTTTTTATGAGTTTCTTTGGGGTAATTCTTTTCAAAATCCTGAGAGGTTTTCATTTTAAGTGTCAGTTCGGACATCCTCAACACTTCTCCCTCACACTTCCTATTTGTTTTCCTGCTGGTCGTACCTCATTATGATACCTATCCCCAAGCAAAATGCTGTGGGTGTGTTTCATAAAAGCACAAGCAGTGGCAGGGAGGGTTGGATTCCTGATCTCTGTCTAGTCTTGTTGGAGAATTCCAACCCACTCACTTCAGCCCGGGGATACACCAGGGAAGATTCCGGTGACACCCAGATAACGGTCTTGTAAACAGACACTCACTGTATCAGAGAATGTACATTTTGTATTAAAATCTGCATTCAGAATATGGGAAGGTGTCTGATCAGATTTTATCTTGGTTTTCAATGTCTATATATTTTTTCCTCCAGTCATTAGTGTTTATTTTTAAACACCCATCTCTGATAGAGATAGATAGACAGATACATAGATAGATAGATAGATAGATAGATAGATAGATAGATAGATAGATAGATAGATAGATAGATAGATAGATAGATAGATAGATAATAACGGGTAATCTCTTTAATCTGCCATTCTTTTACTTCTTCAATACACTAATTACTCAGATATTAAAGTTTTTGTTTCCGTTGACGTTGTCTTGCTAGTGCTACTTTTGGCCACTAGATGTCACTGTTCAGATTCCGGCCCGTTGCCGAGTTTGGATCACGTGACCCGTGTCAACAAGGAAGTAATTCCTTACTTTGAAAACAAGGCGCCAGCAACAGATTCTGAAATAAAAGGTGAGCCACGTTTAATCTCAGTTAAATATCCTCATATCTTTTTGTGTTAAAACACCTCCCCCTTGCAGTTGTGATTAGTCATTTAGTTATAAATACTTTTTTATATAAAAAATGTAAGATTTTCTTTTGCTAAACAAAAGCTGTTTAGCTTTTGGTGGCTATAAGATGCAATAAACCGAACGCGTCTTTGTGAAAAGAGGAGACTAAATATCTGTTATCTCCTTCTTGTCAGATTTTTGGGAATGCCCGCTTCGGAGCCGGTTCGATTGGGTCGGAAACGTGACCTGCCATCCTGTCCGAACCCGTTGTTTCTTAAGTGGCTGACTGAGCTCCGAGACGACGCTAGAGAGAAAGGACTAAAGATCCAGTACACTTATCAGAAGGTAAATTATATGTACCCAACACAACAGTATGCCTAGCCATTGTTTGATAATATTTTATGAATATGTGATGTGACATTCTTATCATGTATTAGACGTATGTGCATCAATTGTTGGCAGGTTAAACATTGATCAGCGATTATTTCAGTAGACTCTTTGTCTATGGCACAGGCAGGGGAGTTTCTGACGTTTTTGTTACATAAGAAAAGTTAAAAAAAAAAAGATTCAAAATAGTGTCTCTATGAACTTTGTTACTAACTGTCGTCTCAAAAAGACCAAATTTGTTCACGTATCTTAAAATGTATCCATGCAAACGTTGTGCTTGTTTTGTTTACCAGGCAATTAATTCTTTGAATAAATATCCTCTACCATTGCGAAACGCCAAAGAGGCAAAGATCCTCCAAAACTTTGGAGACGGCATCTGTAAAATACTGGATGACAAACTGCAGCGGCACTACAGGGAGAACGGTAAGAGGCCGGCAGGGGAAGGATGGAGGGATGGTAGTGACACTGGAGTTACAGTTGAGTGCTCAGTACTGTGCAGTTATCTGCAAAGGCTTTTATTTCAGGTAGACATTTTACAACAGAAACAAATACATTTTTGCCAATATTCTCCCAGTTTAATTTATTTCTCAGCTTGAAAATGTTGCGTGTCCAGGCCCCCCTGACCCAGCTTGGCATGCAGTTTCATCTATAGTCCTTTTGCTTATTTCTTTTTCACATTTTAATGTGTTTTTTGGCTAACTGTTCAGTTTCCTCAGCATCTTCTGATGCATTCATGAAGCATAAGAGCATTTCCACTGCTGTTTAGCAGGAACAGCGCTTTCTAGTCCCTCTTCACCTTTTCTCCACAGGCCCAAACGCTCCAATTCACTCTGTTCAAAGAGGAGCACCCCCTCCTGGCAGTACAGACAACAGCAATAATCTGGCTCCTTCGAGAAAGGTAAACACTACAGTTAGACCTAAAGCAGTCTTTTCATTTTTCAAACTGAGGAATTTGTGTCAATGTTTTTCTTGCCAAATAGAGCAAAAGTGACGTGAGCTTCTCTGCTATGATAAAAGGGGCAGGTTGAGGAATTTGTTCTCAAATTTGCTCTGCTGACAAAGCACTCATTTAGTTATGCTCTGCTATGACGCTGACCAAGTAAAAGATCTTTTTATTTTTAGAATTAACAAGAAATAAAAAGGATGGTTTTAATGCTTGAAAGTGGTTGTGTTATTTGTAACTTCATTTTGTGATTCAAATTCTATTTTAGAAGAATGCTGCAAATAACGAAGAGAAGCAGAGAGGAGGACCAAAAGAAAAGAGGAAGAAGAGGGAATATGTGCCCCAGAAGAGATCTGGGGGGTATGCTGTATTGCTCACTCTTTACAGACACACACAGGTACATCCTTGCTCTTTAAAATTAGCCCTATTTGCGGCTTCCAGTCAAACCATGTGCAGTCATCACTCTCATCTTTTTCTCTTTAGACCCCAGGTAGCAAAGGTTTCATGTTTAAGCTGGAACTGCAAACAGAGGCTCAGCCTCTCTGTGACAAATCTTTCACTGTGGTAAAGTGGTTTAAAAAAAATTCCCGGCATAAATCATTCATAATGACTTGGTCTGAAAATTGACTGTCCCCTGCATTTTATCTGTTGGCAGCCTGATCTTGGTAGTAAATATACTGCCTGGTCCTCAGTCAGCACTCTGATCCAGAAGAATCTGTTGATAAAGACTCACAATCCTGCAAGGTGAACAGAATCTTGTTTTTATGGTATTTATGTCTCTGCTTAAGCTTAAATCAAGTTTAGTAACATTGTAAATGGTCCTATATGTTGTTAGAAAAATCCATTTATTCAGAAGAATTTCTTTCTTTTTAAAAATATTCCTGTAATGTTTTTCTAATCCAAATATCATTACTCAGTGTTGAATATTCACTTAGACTCCATTTGTGTAATGAATGGCATAACTATGTAAGGTTATTACGCAGCATTTCAGACTGATTGGAAGGTTCCCAACTCAAATCCTGCACAAAAACCTGCTGTTGTGTGTCAGTTGAAGGTTTGTGGCAGATATTTCAAACACCCATTGATAACCGTATCTGTTTTAGGTTTTCTCTGACAGAAGAAGGTCTCGCTTTGGCTGAGAAACTGGCTTCAGCTGAACAAGAGACCAAAGACGATGCAGAGAGAGGTGGAGAGGAGGTCAGGAGTGAGAGAGCGGAGCTCGAGGAGGTGGAGGAAGCAGAAGTAGTTGACCTCACTGAGAGTGGTGAAGATGAAAAAGAGGAGGACGCCAACAGCCTTACAGAAAGTGCTGCCTGCGTGAATTACGAGGGCAGGGCACGTTCATCAGGAGACCTCCAGGATTCACAGACAACCAGCACGAAGCCGAGCGGGGAATGTCTCCTGCCCGGAAACTATGACATCATCCTCTGTGTTGACTTCATCGAGACCACCGGGTATGACACCAGTCTAAATATCTGTACATATCAAATAACTTTGTTTACACACATCTGTCTTACAAGTCATGTTAATCTGTGCGTGTGTGCAGAGGAAGCCATCACCGCAAGCAAGAGCTGGTTAAGGAGCTGCAGAGAAATGGAGTCAACTTTGACATCAGGAAGCTAAACGTTGGAGATTTTCTGTGGGTGGCCCGGGAAAAGGTCTCACCTCTCCCAGGTAATGCACTAGAAGAGAAACCAGATAATTCACGACCAGAACAATAATAATGAAAACTTGAGGAAAATCTGCAAAAATTGCTGTAAGATTGCTTTGAGCGCCTCGGGGTTGGACTTCCCCCGGGGTGAGCCCGAGTTTAGTCCACACTGCAGCTTCAGGTAACAGAAAGGAAGGTGGTTTGTTGATGGAAATGCAAGTAAGTAAAGCTACATATTTTTTTCCAGGTCAGTTGCGAGCTCCTGCAGGGAAGGAGCTTGTGCTTGATTACATAATCGAGAGGAAGAGGATGGACGACCTGTGTGGCAGCATCATCGATGGACGCTTCAGAGAACAGAAGGCGAGTTTGTTTTATAGTGTTACAAAGATATCAAGACAAGTTACAGTTTTGTCTTAGTTTTTATGTTTGTTTTCCTGATAAAAAAAACAAAAAAAATGATTACTGATGATTTACTAGAGATAACCAATCACTCCTAAAGCGGAAGATGCACAACAGTGGCACAAGTTCTTTCTTTTTTTAATCTTTAAGAGAAAATATTAACCTTAATAGGCTTTTGCCGTAGTGTCTTGAAACTTTTGCTTATGTATTTTTCCAGCCGTGTCACAGATACATTTCCAGCAGGCAAGCTGTAAAACAGGGGTTGAAATAGTTGTATTCTTCTCTTTTCTTCTTTCAGTTTCGAATGAAAAGGTGTGGTCTTCGTAGGCCCATTTATTTAGTAGAGGGAAGTGGGGCAGCTGCTTCTCACCTGAGTTTACCTGAAACTACACTGCAGCAGGCCATTGTCAACACACAGGTGCGAGTATGCTCAATTAAACTCCCTGTCTGTTATGCCAGGCCCCACTAGACAGTTACTGTGTATCTAATAGAACTGCATTATATAAATATGTATGTGGGATAAACTGAGATGTGATGCTTGTTTTATGTGAAGTTTGATAGAAAACAATAACCAAATGGCATATACATGTTAAAAAATGAGGTATACATCAAGCAAGCTTAATGGTATATCTGATCTATACAGTGTGTGTACCTACATTTGTGTGTTTATGCGGCAGGTAGTCGACGGCTTTTTTGTTAAGAGAGTTCAGGATGTGAGAGAGTCTGCAGCCTACCTTACCGTCATGACACGATCCTTGGCAAAACTCTACCAGGTACGATCAAAAACTGGTACTTTCACAGAAACATTTGGTGAGTTTATGCTTTTGACCCTTTTTGTTTTTTGTTTAACCCTTTTCCAACCCTGTCTGCTGGACGTAGAGGAACATGAATGCAAACATACATAGTTTTTTAGGTTAAAAATATGTTAGGCTGTTTGACTGAATTTACACTGAACATGACTCACTCTATTTACTGCAAATGATTACAATACAAAAAAAAGTAACACATTTTCCCTTCCACACAATTATTTACATTTGCATCCAAATATAATCACAATAAAGTGAGGGAACTTTATTGTGATTAAGGGCAGTGAGGCGGATGTACTTTGTGTCTTCTTTGTGGTTTTCAGCCAGCAACTCTACAAACTTATTCAATTTCCCAGTTGCAATTCTCAATGAGTCTTTGCTTTAGTTTCCTTCGTCCCCTTGCTACCTCTGTGCATCTTCATTATTTATCCCTAACCCTTCATTACATGCATTAAGATTAGACAGCTTCATCATTTATTAGAGATAAAAGCAAAATTAGGCAAAAATATCTGCTGCACACCTCACATGCTGGGCCTCTTTTTTTCTTTCTCTAGAACCGTACGTTGTTCTGTCACTCCAGAGAGCTAGAGGGGGACATAAGGAGTGATGAAGAAGAGAGAGGGATCCCCTCCTGCTCCCTCATGTCCTTTGCAGAGTTCAATCATGGTGCTGTCAAAAACAAGGTGACTCAGTAATAGTTTTTCAAGTAATCATCTTTTCAGTAATGGTTATGTTATATATATATATATATATATATGTATACATGTATGTGATTTTTTTTTCTTTGTGTTTAGTGCCAGACAGTTAAAGAGGTGTTCGCCCGACAGTTGATGCAGATTAGCGGTTTGTCTGGAGACAAGGCAGCTGCTATTCTGGAGCATTACAGTACTCCACACAGGTAATTCATATTAGAGTACGTGCATTACAGACATGTCATTTACATTTATGGGGACTGAGTAAGCACCTACAGTATTAAATTTAGCTTTTCCTCATGGCTTTATTTAGGGGATGGTACAGGACTTTGAAAATCATGCTTATTTATACGTCAGGCATTTGAAAAAAGAAACATTTGGTCTTGTTTGCATTAATCCATTTATCCTTTCTGTCTCTGCCTCAGTCTTCTGACAGCGTATGAACAGTGTACAACTGAAGCAGAGAAAGAGAAACTGCTCTCCTGCATCCGTTATGGGAAGCTCAAAAGGTTGGTTTAAAACAAAAAGAAAATCTTTGTTTCTTTATTTTTTTAAAAGGAGAAAATCTTAAATAAAGTTTTATGTTTAAAATGACTTTTTAGTGACTGAACCAGGAGCACCTGGAATACTTGAGAATGATTTCTCCTCTTTGGTTTCAGAAACCTGGGTCCAGCTCTAAGCAGAACCGTTTACCAGTTATACTGTACTAAGGGAGCTCTCTCATGAATGCAGAACTCACTGATGACATCTGACCATTTCACTCACTTACAGCGAGAGCTGTACTTCACCAGTCATTCTGAATTCATGCTTTACTTGAATCCACTTTGAGGATGATTGTTTACATTTATGTGCGTTTAAAAAGGCTGCTATTTGGCAACAGTTGTGGAACATTCCCTCTGTTAACAAATGTATTCAAACTGTGTATTAATAAAGGATATTTTAGAGAAAGCTGAAATGAAAAAGAAAAGGTCTCACCCTCACCACAGAAAGGGAAAAAGTTCAAAGAAAAACAGCAGTGGTAGAGTAAGTATATTATCTTACCATTTTTCGCAGAACAGTGGAAACAAAAGGAAAAAGTGAACACTGTTTGGAGTTTGGTCTAAAAAGTTACAGAGGATGGCAGCTTCAAACCAAGTGTCAAACAATAACTTTCTTCACAGACAAACCTCTATTTCATCCTGAGTTAGTTATCATTTGTATTTCCACTTCTCTGCTTCCTGCTTCTGTAGAGTGCAGATGTGTCTCTATGTACTCCTGTCGCTTTGCCTTTTTTAACTTCCTTTTAAATGCCTTCAAATCCTAATTTACTCCTAAAGTCTTGGATATGAATTTTATTCTTTTCCTTTAGAATATGTGTCACTGACAGCAGGAGAACACGTGCATGTAGATTTATCGTGTCGAGTTGAACAGACCAGTTTGTGGATGCAGAAGAACTTTCTCCAGAAACTAAGAGAAAGTGTCATTAGTCACCTTCAGACACTCTGGAACCTTAAAATCAGGTCAAGAATCTTGGAGTAAAACTGGACTCAGACCTGAACTTCAACAGCCACATTCAAACAATAACATCAGCAGCATATTACCATCTCAAAAACATTGCCAGAGTCAGAGGAATAGTTTCTAAACCAGACCTAGAAAGACTAATCCATGCATTTGTCAGAGTCAGAACGAAACAAGGTGAAGCTTAATTTCTGTTCCATGCTCCTAAAGTCTTCCTGAAGATGTGAGACAGGCCTCAACTTTGACAATGTTTAAATCCAGGCTGAAAACGGTTCTGTTTATCTCTGCATCTGGAAACTTCATGTATTTTATCCGCACCCTTCACTTTTTATCTGTCTAATTTTTATTATTTTTCTTTTCTTGTTTATTTGCTTTTAAATTCTTTGTGAAGCACTTTGAATGGTGTTTGTGGAGGCGGCGTGGCGCTCAGCTGCAGGAGGGGGGGTGTGGGGAGGGCTCAGGGGAGCAGTGCCAGGGGAGGGGACTAAGCACACCAGGAATCAGTCTTTAAAAGAGTACTGTGCTGGACCTGGAGGAGGGAGGACTGGGGAAGGAGAAACACCTGAATGGCCAAATAGGAAAACCCATATCCTTCCAACAAGCAGCTCAACGCTGGCGTCTATGTGTGAGTGCGCGCACGGCCCCAAAATAAAGCATCGTCGAATGAACCCTGGTCTCTGAGTATCTGTCGAGGCACCCAGGGTGGCTGAACTGCCACGAAATGTGCTATACAAATCAACTTGCCTTGCCTATTTTAGTCTTTCCTGTTACACCCATTCGAGCGCAGAACAAATAGGCTCAGAGGTTTCGATACCAGACTGAACTGTGAAAAAAATCTTGCCGCCTCAGGGGATGTGAAACAGCGGTCTTCCAGTGTCACACTCTCTCCACGAAGCCTAATAAGTAAAACAAAGTGGAAAGTGTGGAGATAACCAGAATAACTTTTTATTTCTCATTTTACTGAACACATAAATGTCTCAAGTAACCAGCAGGTGTCAGTGTGAACCCAGAATAGAATAAAACCCGACAGGTTAAGACATCAGAACATCCCCCCATTGTGGAGTGCTTCACCAGCATCGATGGTTGGTACTGATATGAGAGGGAAGTTTCTTGCTTGCTTTTCCTTCTCTTAAGGCCTTTAAAAATATGAGACTCATATGTCCGCTGACTGTTTTCCAATCGATAACACGGCAAAAAGCAGATTGGCTGAGTCATGAAAACATGTCTGAGCTCACCATATCTTCTACAACTAAAGTGACTATTCTCTTATTCTCCTCACTGATGGAAATAATTCGAAGTGAGCACGAAGGCTTTGCATAGAGATGATAACATCAGTAAAGGGAGGTGTCACAGACCACCAGATTTCTCAGAAGAATTAAACCTTAGAAAAAAACGGTCCCGAAGGCTTGATGCGAGCATAAAGAAGAGTAAAAAGGAACTGGAAGTCTCAAAAACAGTAAAGGAAATATGACTCAAATTAAATTTAGAAGAAAGAGAAGAGGATATGCTGTGTTACATCTTTTAACAAATGTGCTCCTGTTAGCTCCATTTACAGCCATTGCCATTTACAGCCAATTCTGTTGGATTTTTATTTAGTTTGTCTAAAGTAGAATGCAGATAAATCACCCCGCATTATGCAAGAACTAAAACTTCCCCCAAAAAATCTACATCTTCCTTTACAAACAGCAAAATGCTGATGTTTTCACATCAGCATTTCACATGGTAATGATGTTTTTCTGACAACTCATGTAACACTTTGAGCAATGAGTCAGAGGTCGTTATGGTAAACACACGCTGTCAAGAAGTGAAGATGCCAGAATAAGAATGCATCTCCATCTAGAGCAAGACAACCCTTTCTAGTAACATTTACCTGTTTATGTGAATATTTTCTCAGTGCCCAGGCCTCAGTCAAACCCGAAATATCTACAAGGTTTATCTTGAGTAATTTTGGGTTAGCTGTCTGGTGCCCGCATGAAAGAGAACAAAATGAGTTGGTTTTTTTTAACTACTAGCTGTAAGAAGCTGTGAGAATAGTTTTTCTCACATGAAAATGTGCATAAGCTTCTGAGAAAACATGTTCCGCTTGAGGTTTGAGACTTCCTATTACTGTACATTTACACCCACAAGAAGTGTGTGTTCCTCCCTGTGCTTTAGTACTATGACAGGACAGACGGTCGTTGGACCTGTCAGTAATAAACTATCAAAGCAGTCAGGTGAGTGACTTTTCCTTCCCTATTTATACTAATTCCTAATTCCCCTGACACCATGTAGTTTCAGTGGAATTAGGCCAGAGGGCTCAAGAGACAAATCTTTGTCATTCTATATTCAAATAAGAGGAATGTACTTTATAGAAGACGTAGAAATCTTGTGTATTTTTTTAGACAAGCAATTTTTTAAGATTAGTCTTTTGTGCTACTTGGATTGCACCAAAACCAAGGGTCAGAAAGGTATAATTAGCAATTGATAAATATGTCTCAGCCTTTTTTATTTGACTTACGTCAAAAAAAGAATGTTTTGATGTCAGTTTTGTTTTAAAAAGTGTGGCGAATACGGTTTCTCTATTGAGGTCTTTTTTCTAATTTAAGTTTATCTAATTTAATTTTAATATCCCGTAGCAGGAAAAAAACGAATATTACTAGTTCTTATCCAGTTGAACTATTATGTTTTTTTTAAAGGAGTGTTTCTATGAGACTATGTTAGGTACAACCTTTATAAGCATTTCCGATTATCATTTTTATTTTTGAATAAGAAACAAAGTGAAAACAAAGACTTGCTGGAATTTGACAAAAATATACTTAATGATGAAAAATAGGTTATCATGCAAAGTTAGATAAAAGTTTTTCTAGGCAGAACTGTTGCAAATGAAAAAAAAAGAGTTGGACTCATCCCGGGAATGTGGGAGTTGTATTTACAGGAACATTGCAGAGATGTGTCACACAGCAGCATAAAAGGAATTCCCAAATGACAATGGATTGTGCTATTTTTTACACTTTCTGATAACTTTCTGAGAGATGTTGATGTTACGAGAGACACAATGACCCCAGTCAAAGCATACAGAATGCATCAATTGTCTTCCATAACTTTTGACACTTTCTTGTTTACACAGACACCATAGTGGAATGTGTTTACGTCTGACATTCTTTTTTGCTTCTTGCAGTTTGTCTTGTTTTTGTCTTATAAGCAGAATACCTTTTTCAGTGTAAATGTAGTCTCAAACATTAAGAAACTGGTAGTTAATGATAAGGTTACAGCTATTTTATTATTGAATAATAAGATAGCAGGATCCGAGACACTGGTTTGGCTTTATAAACAACTCTTTTTGACAGGATTCCCACAGCCTGAACTGCAAACTTTTTCTTCATTCAAAAAGGAGTTAATTAAACATTAATAATAACCATAAACTATAATATAACTCTATCATAACCTAAAAAGAATAAAAATACACACCTAAAATATTCTGAGTTTTTGATTTTCTACTGGCTTTTTTCATGTTCTTAGAAAAGTCTTCAGTTTTTCTGTCATGGATACAATTGCTTGACATCTGTGGCAACATGGTTAAATAATGTTCTGATATCTGTTATAGATCTCAGCAGTAAGAAGCAAACTCAAGCAAGAAGAACAATCTTTTCCTGACAAGATAACATCCTTGCCTACTGATCAGAGCATGAATTCAACAGTTAACCAATCAGACCACATAGCCAACATGAGTTCTTTGAATTATTTTACTATTTCTCTCCACGGAATAGTTTCTTCCATTGGCATAATTGAAAATATCCTCATCCTCGGAGTGGTGGGCTTCCAAATTCGCCGCACTGTCATCAGTGTCTGGATCCTGAACCTTGCAGCTTCTGATTTGCTGGCCACAGCTTCCCTGCCCTTCTTCACTCTCTACATGGCCCGTGGCAACACCTGGACCCTGGGCCAGACATTCTGCCGCATCCATTCCTCTGTCTTTTTTCTTAACATGTTCGTCAGTGCCTTCCTGCTGGCTGCCATTGCTTTGGATCGATGCCTGGTTGTGCTGAGACCTGTCTGGGCCCAGAACCACAGAAGCATCCAACTCGTGGGGAAGATATGTGGAGGGATTTGGATCCTGGCTGCTCTTTTTACCATTCCCTTTTATATGTTTCGTGACACCATAGAGCTGTCCAAGAACAAGGTTTTGTGTTACTACAACTACAAACTGTTTCTGCCAAGTGGGTCTTATGATGCAAAGTCTCTAATCAAGCAGCGCAAAGAGGGCTTGGCTTTTATGAGGCTCTTTCTAGCCTTCCTTATCCCTCTTTTAATCATCATCCTTAGCTACATAGCTGTTAGCGTCAGGCTGGCACACAGAGGCAACCGGCCGTCATTTCGTTTTGTTCGGCTTGTAGTGTCTGTGGTTGTGACCTTCTTTCTCTGCTGGGCGCCATATCACCTCTTCATTATCATGGAGGTGATATCCGCCAATGGGCACCCTGCGCAGAAACTTGCAACAAGGGCTCTTCCAATTGCAGCAACTCTTGGCTTCTTAAACAGCGTCATCAACCCCATCCTGTATGTGTTCAGCTGCCCCGACCTGTGCCGTAAGATCCGACATTCTCTCGGGGCAGTGATGGAGAGCGTGCTGGCTGAGGATTTGGCAGAGCTGATGCGGCGACGCAGCACTGCTCGCAGCTTTATCAGTGACTCAGAATTTGCATTGAAACGGAAGAAGTCGATTCCAACCTCAAGTCAGAACACCGATGAGCAGGAGTTAAATGAAAGTGTTAGTCCCTCTTAAGCATTACGCACATAATCCTTTCTTTATTATTGCCAAGAAGCTGTGAAATAGACTGTGATCTTGTGAATGTTTTCTACTTCTTTTTTTTAAAGCTAAGCTTTATTTCATTCACATGCATCATTGTAAAGTTGATTGCGTTTCCTCCAGTTCTGTGTTTATTGTGTTGTCAACTGATTCTCAGTGATACTTTTCACCTCTTTGCATGAAAAAGCATTCGTGAAAAAAGTGACTCTGTTTTGTGAACTTGCATTCATATGCCTTAACTCATATGCCTTAACTCTTACGGCCTCACTGAACTCCAAATTCTTCCCGCATAACAACATGAACTCATCTTATAGTCATAGTGGGTATAGTGCTGAACCTACTGAACACACTGTTTATGTTGTGCTGAAAAAAAGAACAGACTGTATTCTATGTCATTATTTTGGCTTTAACATTTACTTTTCATCTGATATATCATTCTTCTTTGTTTCACATGGTGCAAAACTAGATGTGGGTTATTACACAAGATGTTATCAGTGGCAGCGAGTGTGTCACCAGAAAGTACTTTGCAGATGCTCTTGCTGTCCACAAAGAGGAACTCTATAAAACCTATATAATACATGTTTTTTCATTCATGAGCTTTTGAAATATTTTGATTGTGTTATGAGGCATTGATAACATAAAAAAAGATCTGCACTTGCAATGTGACACATGACTTAGAACCATGTAGTAACTGTTAGGCATGTGTTTAATTTAAATGGCTGAAAGTAAAAACAAGAATTTCAAACAACAAAAAGGATTTGCGAACTGCTTATTCACAGTAGTTTATTTTTACACTCTTATGAAACTCAAAACACACAAATGTGGTCAGTAGATGATTTAATGATTTTCTGGTGTAATTCTTTTTGTCCGTGTGTGCTGTTAATGCCACAATGTGAGCATGCAGAATCAGTAAATTTAAAATAATGGACTGGAATTGCGTTGCACAAGTTAAAGTCTCTGTACTTTAAGATTTGTACAAACTGTTCTGTGAAAACCTGAAAGCAGAGTTTTTCAATATATGATGCAGAAACTTCATGCTGAATATTCATGCTGCAAAAACAAGCACATGCATTTCCACATGATGGCACAATTGTTCTGAGTTTGCTGGAGCAATAAGCGTTATCATCAAATCCATTTTAAACAGCCAGACAGTTGTTTAGTTGTTTTCGCCCTCTTCCTGGGTGTCAAGATGATATCTAGTGCTCATGGTCATGTTTTTGTGGTTGTTAAGCCCTCTTCCCAAACAGGGCAGAGACCTTTGCAGCTCTAGTCGAGCATCAGGGCAGAGGAAGATGTAAAAGAGGGGGTCCAACAGGGTGTTGAGGCTGGTCAGACCGTAGCACAGGCGATAGATGAGGAAAATGGAACGCTCAAATCCACATGGCTCATCCGTGTGCAGCAACGACACAAACCTGTATCCCCCCACAAGGTGGTAAGGTCCAAAGACAACGATAAAGTTGACAGTTATTACAACCAGGATTCCAACTATTTTGTGCCGCTCATGGTCAGAAAGAGAAGGAGAACGTCGAAGGGTCACACCGATGTGGGCTGAGGTGTAGCTGAGAGGGAGGAAAATATACAGATCAGAAATCAGAATGTTCATCCCAGTATACAAAATTGGAAAGCATAGACAGAAGAGGAAAACATTTTTTGTTTTTTTAAAATTGTTAAATATCAACACCATTCCAGAGCACAGCAATGGTTAACTGCATTTATTTAAACTTTCTCCCTGAAATCATTAAGTGTTGCAGTGCTCAAAAATCTGCAACATTGCCTACCAGTATTTCATCTTAGGACTAACAGCCTGCTTAACATCTGCTGTCAAGCAAATTAGAACACTTAATTATAATAATAATGATAATATCAGTTACTACACATAACTTCCTGACATATACCTGGCAAAGTTAACTTACCCTAGAATGGCACATGGCAGCAGGAAACCAAGCACCACGGTGATGATCTTAAAGTGAGCATATCTGGGGCTGACGGGGTACTGCTCGAGACAGAGCAGTCTGTCAGAGTCAAACACCGACGGCAGCAGTCCACTTAGGCAAAACAGGAAGGTTAGGGTCCACACAGCTACTCCCGATACAGCTGCCACCCTGACAGTGCGTATCCCCCGGCTGCTGAGTGGGTAAACGATGGCCAGGCAGCGGTCCATTGCTATCAGGCAAAGAAACATGACGCTGGCATATACGTTAACGTAAAACACATAGCCCACCAGCTCGCAGGTCAGCTGGCCATAGGGCCAGCTGTGTTTAAGTTGAAGATAAAGGATCCACAACGGTAAGGTGAGGAGCTGGAGGAGGTCTGACAGCAACAAGTTGAGGATGTATACCAGCTGACAGCCTCCCCCACCTGAGCGACCAAGGTGGTACAAACCCCAGAGGGAAAGCAGATTGCTGGGGAGACCCAAAGAGAAGATAACACCATAAATACAGGTCAGACCAAAGGTGTCTGTTTCCAGTGGGAGGTTGCAGGTGTCATTGGACATGTCTCTTTTGGTCAAACTCCTGACGCAGAATAACTTTCTCCTCAATCCAAAACTGATTGGTGCGTAGAATAGTGATAACAGTCAAACACCCACTAGATTAACAAAGACAAAACATTATGTGATTAATCCATTTGCCTTTGTCCACTCTGTATTTCATTCAGAAATCCAGCTTTGGAAAAGATCTGGCTCAAATTTAGTCATGTCAGCCAACCAGTCTTCAAAGCCCCCTGGATCCATCTATGAACACCTGCAAAGCAGATCAGTTAGTGATATGATGTTTGTGATGGCTTATTCTCAGGTGCAGGAGGTCTTAAATTATAGGAACATTTTTAACTCACCTCTCTATTCAGCTCAGTTCTCAAAAGTGTGGAGCGCACTCTGCAGAATAGTGACCTGTGCTCAAGAAATGCTGGGAACATGGTGTCTCGCCCAAGCCTTGTCTATTCTGTGATTGTTTCCTCCACAGGAAACCCACTTCTTGAGCTTTAAAGGCAACATCCTGAGCCAGGAGAACGCCTTTCTGCCCCAGAGCAAAAACACACTGTCACTTTTCTGTGCTCCTCTTGTCTAAATTCTAGCATTATGTACAGAATGATGAAGGAGAGCCGCTTTCAGAGGACAAACTGATGAACAGTTTTCAATGATGACCTCTGGATTTGTGGTTGCGAGCTATTGGAGGCAGTAAACAGTGTAACATAGAAAAGAACTCTTTGGTTCAACTCCTGAATCTGTTTTCATACTCTTGGTATTTTTTTCAAAGTACTGAAGCATTTGCACGCTTATGCAAGAGTTTTACATGACAGGATGAAGTTCAGTGTTTCTTATCAACTTTATCTTTATCACAGTTAAAGCAGGAGTGTATGTCCTATAAAAATGTGTGTTTTAGGTCAACCAAACAGAAATCTTTGCACGGAATCTTTTTTTCTTTATCTTGGCCTGCAAATACCTCCTTCTCTCTAATTGTGGGCTTAACAGATTTTGCAGTGACCTCTTTTTGGTTTTCATGGTCAAAACCTGATTTTATGGTTCAGGTTAGACTATTTTAGTTCAGTGTAAGGCTTTTAGCTATTATGGTTAATATTAGCCTAAGAGACTAGAATGCATTATCAAAAACAGACAAGCAAAAACAAAAACACTGCAGAAAGTTTTGCTTGTGCTTTCATGTTGTATAGCGTGCAAGCATATCTGATTTAGAGTTTTTCAGGCAAGGTTTATACCACAGAAAAAAGAGAGCAGACAAACAAAACTGAACAACAGCCACTGCAAAGCAGATGTAACTTCATATTTGTCTCCAAACTTTCACTAAAGCAATTCATAAACAGCAGTTTATTTAACGGACCGTGCTGTATTTTGCCGTGGGTAGCTTTTCCCAGACACCAGTGGGAGGGAAAAACATACACAATTGAAATTGTTTGAGTAAAGAATGCTTTTATTGTAACAATAGGTGTTGGGAAGTATTTTTGCCACATGATTTTAAAGGGAGGAGGTCTAATAAGTAGATTTATTTACTGTTACTGCCTCAAATGTCTGATTTATTGAATAATCTATAATGGTTATTGATAAAGATTAAGTCCCCTGAGTCACTTTGCATGTAGACAGTTTTTTGCTGCTTTTAAAGAAAGTTGGCTTAAGGGGAAGTGTCCCAAGAGAGGGCCCCAGTCGAGACACACCATGATAAGTTGTTCGCACAGAAGGTTTTTTGCATATCACAGGAAGTTCTTGTTCTGACAGAATTGAATGTTGTCATGCAGAAAACTCTGCAACTCAAAAGAGTGAGATTTGTCTTCTATTGACCATGAATGATCTCAGTTACACCTTACAGAGCTTAACGTGGCTAAATTTCTAGTCACTGGTGCAGAATATATCATGCAAGGTCCTCCTGTTTAAAAAAAGTCATCACCCTGATGAAAAGCATTTTGATTGTAGCATTTGAAGTTGGGTTGATAGTATACTGAGCCATTCAAATATGTGTGACATCCTATGTGTCATTTACTGTATACCGCATCACATAAGCATTTGAAACTACTGGTGGGTATATCATTCCTTTATCAATGAAACCTTCTGCCTGACACAGGCAATGTGTCTATGTAGGAGCCATGTTGGCTTGAGGTGCTTCAAGTGTTTCACAGGATCCAAAGATTCTACACAGGTACATATTTTTCAACAGTATCCTATAATGCAATGCATAATGTTAATGTGGATTGGAACTGTGGGGCTGAGGTCACTTTGGCATGGCATACATCCTTTGATAATTCTTTTTGTCAATGTGAAAACATCAAGGTGATGAGTGCTGGCCTGGTCCATCCTTATGCTGTTTAATCAAATTAATCCTGTGAGGGTGTTGCAGCACCAAAAATGTACACCAAGACAAGAGGACCAGCAGAACCAACACTTCAGTAGGATCAGAATGAATATCTTCAGGACACAAAGCTTGAATAAAAAAATTTAAAAAAAATCTGTCTGACATGCTAATCTAAAAAAACAGGAAACAACACAGTCATCTCAATTTTGTATGTGGTTTTTTATCTCTGAGGATGATATTCTCATAAGACTTAACAGATTTTTGCACTCACATTTTTCAAACATCCAAAACAGACAAATCTTTATATGAGCAAGCCAAACATTCGCAGTATACAGACATGAGGTTTCACAAAAGGTTCATATACATAAAGACCTTTATTTTGTCAAAATCGTTTGGAATATGAGGCAGAGATGTTGTAACTTATAGTGAGTTAGTCTCTAAAAGTTAGACTGTTCCAAAACTCACATATTGCATTATGTAATTCTTGAAAAACAATCATTTTCATTCTGCTTTTATCTTTCTCCTCAATCTCCCGCAGCAGATTAACCTACAGGTGAAGATTAAGCCCCAAATAAAAGTTACAGATAAAGCCATTATTACAGCAACCACATCCAGGCAAAAGTAGGAATACCAAGGCAAGTTAAAACCTGCTGCCCGTAGATGGGCTGCTCCTTTGTTCCTGATAACATATTCAATCCAGAAGATGGCGGTATCCATTGGCGACATTGGTTGGTCGCGATGCAGTGTGGAGAGGCGCTGAATGTTTCTGCGGTAAGATGGGTTCTCCAGGATGTCCTTTAGAGCCTCCAGGAAGTTTTCTTTGTTTAGCGACCGGGCCTCCACCACTCGAGCTGCACCATGCACCTTAAGACGCTGTAGATTATCAAACTGATCAAAAAGAAGGGGCAGGCCCAGGACGGGAACGCCATAGTAGATGGCCTCATACATGCCATTTGTCCCTCCGTGAGCAACAAAGGCTCGAGTCTTGGGGTGCCCCAGGAGATCTTTCTGTGGCAGCCACTTCACCAACAGGGTGTTGTTTCCCAGGGATGAGGGCCTTTCACCCTCAAAACGCCAAATTACCTTCTGAGGGATTTGAGCGAAAGCAGCAGCAATGGCCTCTGTGGCCTCATGAGGCAGGGCTGAGACAATTGTCCCCAGAGACATGAAGACCACTCCATATTCTCCAGAACTCTGCATGAATGTTTCCAGCTCGGGGGTGAGGGGGTTGGGCTCTTTGGACTGGAACCCCGCAATGTACACCACATTGGGCATGGTGGGCCTCGGGAACTCAAAGACAAAATCAGCCCTGAACAGCCAGATATCGCCTGAAAGCTGTAAAGACAGCAAATCAGTTCCAGGAGGGAAGTGCCGCTTAAACAGGTCTGAATAGGCAGGGTTGATGTAAAAATGTTGCTCAAAAGCACTATAGATTGAATGTAACAAATTCTTTGTCCTCTCTAGAAAATCCATCTGATCATGGAGTTCACTACCAGACACAGGTACATAGGAAACAGGAGAGGGAGCAATGGTAAAATGACCCTCCCCATTATTAATCCAGCGCACATTGAAAACCATCGGCAGCTTGAGGTAACTACCCAGAATAACCCCTAAAGTAAGAGCAGGGTCAGTTAACATTAAGTCAAACTTTGAGTCCTGTAACCTCTTCATGAACACAGTATTGTCTAACATAGTTGCAGCTGCTCGGGCCAGAATCTCATGGCCCTTCTCTAACATGACAGTGATCAAGTGCTGTTGGTAAAAGGTGCGTACAAATGTTGGATAGCTGCGACATTCCATAACATCTTGAAGCATTTTATTGTAGAAGTTCCGGTCTGACTCATCCTCCAGCATTGGCACATCAATAGAACTATAAATGGAGGAGTTACTGGGGATGTACCAGCTCTTGGCAGAGCGCAGAACTGTAATGTTATGGCCCCTGGAGTGAAGCTCCTCAAGGATCACCTTCATGTTGATCCAGTGGCTGCCATCGACCGGAACAACCAGAATATTGCTGCTGCCACAGTAGGAGACACAGAGCAAGAGCAAGCAGAAGCTTGTCATAAATAAATCGAAAGTGTGGGACATTTCCTGCAAGAAACAACAAAAGGAAATATCAAGCCTCAAGAAAGAAATCTCAAAGGGATTATTATTTCCAGTAGATTTAGGTGGAGAAGACAGAATGAGCATTCCAGAGAACTGAAGAGGAGCGTAGAAGCTCATAGCTACTCCAAAAAATTAAGAAAATACATTTCGACCATCAAAATACACAGAAAACCATAGGGATTTTAAAATATTTACACCACGCAGCTTTTTAAACTTAACCCACTTCATACAGAACACATTCAAACCAGCAGGAAGTTTATGGAGTTAGGGTTTAGATGGTCCAAACTTGGTCATTTGTGTCTCTTTTCTGTGTAGTCAGTAGCTCAACTCTTCCTTTTTTTCCAAACTGAGTAAACTCTGCTATTTTTCTTATCCAGTAAAAACCCTGACTGCTCGTGCATACTTCAAATTATGCTTTGTAAAAACTCAAATATATATATATTTATTTTTGGTTTGTACATTTTGTCTTGAGTCTAGTGATTTGGCTTCAGTGGAGCGCAAACACATGTTTAATTTGAATGAGCACATCTACTGGCTATCATGCTGTATGTCTTGACAGTGGCAGATGAACACTCAGTTTTTTCGGCAACAAAGGGCTAATCTTTAAGACCTAGGAGGATGTGTGAGTTAACACAGTCACCTCACTATGTTATCTTTTTCATCTGTTTTTCAGGTAACTGAATTTTACAAAACTCTATTTGTTTTACACTATTGCAGGTGTGGGATATCGTCCACAACTGTCTTTCTATTGAGAGGTTTGTATTGTTCCTTAAAAAATACTTCACATGTTTTCGTCATTGTAATATACTGTGTTTGTGACATTGTTTGTCAGCGTTTTTTAAAACTGTCCATTTAACGGTTTCATAAATGGTATTATACCTTTTTCCAGTCAAATAATCACACAATAACATGTCCCATTGCTAAAAGGGCAAGTAAAGTTGCAAATAATTGAAATACCTCAAGTGGTTTTGTTGTATCCGATTCTGGAAGGTTGGCTTGCCCTGCAGATCTTCAGTGAGCTGGGATACTATGTGACATTTGTTTGCACGTGGCATTACTTTTACACACGCACAGACATCAAAGTCCAGTACATGGATTAGAGGTAACTAAAAAGTCTGTGCCTTGCTCTCGGGAACAAAGGTTGAAGTTTGTCAGAGTTAATACAGAGTTTGTGTATATTCTCCTATGTGGGTTTGACACGGTGCTTTTTATGGCTTCTGCTGTCCTTTCTACATTTCCAATCAGGAAAATATTGATTGTGAGCAAAATTCTACACATTAACTCACATTTCACTTATGCAAAATGCCTTCAATACTTTGCCATCCGTGCTTTGAAAAAGGGCACATGCGTAGGCCTCAACTTCAAGTTAATAGGAGGAAAAATCCAAACTGGAACACAGTCAGAGATTTTGAGACGGGAGTGGCAAGGAAAGAGGGAGAGAGGAAACAGCAAGGTCACACAGCGGAGGGAAAATAACGTGAGCATTGATTGGAATAACAGCGCGAGTCACAGCTCTACAGTCATATCAGTAAGACGCAGCCTTCCCCTCCTTTGCCTCTTTGCAGTTGTATAAACCTGCACCAGGGAACAGGGTGACTAGCACATGTCACTTGTGGCTGCTATGAAAAGTTAGCAGAAGTACAGTAGGTCTTTAACCTTATCAAGGAATAGACGTTTTGCTGTAACATTTTTTAAGTCTTTAAAAGAGAATTATATGAGTAATACACCAAAATGTTGTAATTATTCACGAAAACAACGACAGAATGGCAGTTAGAGATGCTTAACTAATCACATGCTAGAGAGGAATGGTCAATCTCACATTAACATGCAACAGTATCACTCCCTGCTTTATTCTATACTAACCAAATAAACAAGGATAGAATTATGGAAAGGAGGATGCATAGACTAAGACAAAACACGAAAGAAAATATATAAAATAAGATAAAACCAGTATGAATGACTTATTATCTATATAAGTGAATGTCTTACATTCAATTAACCACAGTCTGAGTACAAAAGCAGTCTACTGATAACAGTATATTATGCCAATATATTTAAAGTTGCTTCTACAAGCAACAATGATCTATTCTTTTTAAAGAATGATTTGGCGTTTCTTATTTAGAAAATACATCAAAGGAGGCATTTAGGCTCTTTACCTTTTTCTGGTAACTTGAAAGAAATTTCTTTTGCAAAAAAAAGTAAATTTGACCAAATCCCAGACTGTTCCCTTTTAGGGCATTTGTAGAAAGTTTACAGACTTTCAATTTCATGAGGGGCTTCATATCTGAAGAACTCACCTATAAAACAGAGCAGAGACAGCACTGTGTCTGGTGACATAAGGGTGCAGTGTGTGAGCTGCTCTCTGGCAGATAAGAAAGGGCCTAAGAAGCAAAAATTTGCAGAGAAAATCTCTATCTATGCCTGCTGACCTCTCTTGAGGACATTGCTTACCCACGCCCCATCAGCAGAACTGCTATTGTCAAAGTCCCCATAGCCCACCAGAAATCATCTCTTTTAAAGGGTTGTTTTCGGGCAGGCTCAGCAGGTTGGCTAATATGTGCAAACTCTGGTTCAGAAAAGTGTTTTCCTCTGAAGCAGTTTCTCCTACTGTCCAAAAACATGCATGTTTGGTTAACTGGAGACTCTAGATTGCCTATTGGAATGAGTTGAGTGTGTTTGGTTGTTTGTGTCTAGGGTTTACCCACCTCTCACCAATGACAGCTAGGATAGGCTCCAGTGACCCAACATGGAACTAGCTGAGCAGTTAAACTATGGATTCTAAGGTTTACGTTCATGTTGGCATTAAGGCCTAAAGGTAATTTTGAAAATGTGAATTGTGACAAATCTGTTATTTAAGTCTTTGGTTGCTCTGGAAGTACTATAAATGGCTTTTTTTAAACATTATTAAACAGAAAAGATACCAACAATGTTTATAAAAGATTAAACATTTGTATTATTTGTATTTGTTAATATTCATATTCTATATCTCAGCATAGCTTTTGTGTTGACCCTTTTTTTTTGGAATGGATGTGAATATTTTTCTTATCATTCACTAACTCCAAACAGGCCACAACAGCTCCACAGATACCTCACATCAAGGAGGAGATTTGATGATATTCCTGGATGAGGGAAGTTGATAAAAAGTGTTGTGCTTTTGATTGCATGATCTCACATAACTCTAATCAAGATTGAATCGAAAATAGAAATTTGATTAAAGGTCACTATTGCACATTGGTTGGATGATGATAACTGGGTTTCTTCGACCTCTTTTTTGTTTTCAATGAACTCATCTAACCTCTTCATGAAGATGTCACAGACTATAAAATCAATTTGAAAGCAATATGTTTTCTGTGTGTTCCTGGAACTTAGATTTTCATGCACTATTGCTTGTGACCCCCAATTACACTGACCAGTGATCGGATAGAGTTGGTCACTGCTGGTTACTGCTGCTTCGCACATTTGTCGCCATGGTGATTCCCCAAACAAGGAAGGGCAGAAAATAAAAAACAACCCGACTATTTTACTCAGGGGACTCCTTTCACATTCACAACACCTTTTCAAAGTTGTTTTTGAGCACAAACATGAGTAAAGCCCCTGAGATGTGTGCTTGTTCAGGACCTTTCCTTCCTTTAATTGTTGTGCAACACGATACAGATCATTTTAATTCTCATGTTGGTGCTTACGTCACAATTTTAAATGCCTTGCACGTATTGTCTCTTGGTGACAGTTGCTATTAATGATTTTTAAAAAAATTATATAGAAAAACAGAAAACATCTTTCATCCAGAGAATGCTGGTCCTTAGGTTTATAAAAAAAGAAGCTAGATTTATGTATCTTAAGATGATCTGTAGTGTGTGCTGTTACATCAAGTATGATATTATGTTGATATAATTTTCCATTTTGTCTTGATCTTCTGTAATTCTGTCTTGCAATGACATTTTGAACTGGGTCAATAACAATCACCATATCAAGTAAAAGAGAGACACTTTGAAAAAACCCGGTGATCTCTGTTTGGTCTGAAGCCATACCCAGCATGCAACATGAACAGTGGTAAAAGCATGACACTCACCGCTACCATTCAGTATTTGGCTTCCTCTGAGACCATCAGATATGACTAAAAAACTTTCAATTTCAGGATTTAATTGAACTATCACATAGCTTTGGAGCATGACCATGTAAAAACTCGGCTGATTAAGTATCAATCAGGCAAGAAATAGATTAAGAGTGGAGATGGTTCAAATGTAATCCTGAAATTTATGTGATGAATATGAACATGCAAACAGAAAGTGCTTTAACTCAAAAATCGATGCAACAATTCTAATATTTAAGTTTTATTGATTAAGTAATAGAGTTTCAGTATTATCAGCTCTTTGTGTTATATGGCTATATGGCTTTCCACATAACATAATTCAGTGTAAGGTAAAAAGAAGTAAATGTATGTCAAGAGAATGAATTAAAAGGTAGAGACAATAATCAAATCTAATTTAGAAAACCATTGTATTCCATTAGCTACCTATTATTAATCTAGTTTATAAAACCCTTTTTTCTAAGAATTTAATTGAATGGTTCTATCATTACAGTAAGCGATAAGACGTTGATTTATCGACCGTCATGTTATTTGCTGCTTATTGACGTTTCCCTCCAGCAGACATGCCTGCAACGTCTCAGAGATTTGAATGATAAAGCCCTTTTCTTAATTCTTTAAGCGTGAAAACATTGATGATAAAAAAAAGTCCCTGATGATGGCAGTGACGTCCTTTTCAAAAGTGATGTCAAGGGAGAGAACGTTTAGTTCTTATTAGGCAGTGGTGCTGGTAATGGTGATGGGATTCTTCCTGTTTTTCATCTCTCTTGATATCTGACACCAGCTGCAGGGCCCGCAGAAGAAAGCATGCAAAACGTCATTGAAGATTGTTCCCTGTGACGGGGACAGGAGAGGGGTTAAACAGGCAAAATGTATGGGAATCATTTTTACTTTAGCCTGGTACATATGGATATAATGTTTTTTTTCATGAAAAACACAGAAGAAGCTGTCCCATTTTAAGTCTTATGTTTGACAACTGCCATTAATCCCCATCAAAGTTATTCAAAACTTACCAAACTGAAAAAAATAACACAGCGAACTGGAATGCTCTTTAATTCATGCTACGCAAAATACTTTGTGTGGTTTGGGAATGTAGGCAAACAATACGCTGAAAGACTAAACAGGTCTGAGAATGATCAGAGATCAGATGGAGAGCAGATGCAAGATAACCGTGACTTTGTTGCTGGTTCACCAAGTATTGACGCAGAGGAGGTATATTTCTTAATGCCAAAAGGCAAATTGTCAGTACCTCAATGCCATATCGCTGACGAATGGACACCCTGATAGCTGTAGTCATGGGAGGGATGCATCCAAAAGCATCAAGCAGAGGTAAACATAGGCACTCCCCAGCTTCGCGAGCCGTCATACAGGCAAAGCAAGGAAAGCACGCAGTAGCAAACAAGCCTAAAAAATGTATTAAAGTCATAAGTTGCATGAGTCTGAGGGAACATTTCAAAATTTCATATTCAGGGAAAATACATGTTAAACCCATTTTCCTTCAATTTTTTGGGAGATGTCCTTTTAGCTAAGGGTGCCTTTAGTCTGAACAACAACTACAGTAAATACCTACTGGGTTTGTTGGCATTCCTCAGCCAAGATCTCTTTGAATGATCAACATATTCTTAGTTGTATATGTGATAGAGATTTGGATGGCTTGTTGGTTGTTTCAAAACCTGTGCAAAGCCTCACACAACTTGAATTCTCTGTGTGAGTACAAAGAGTCACACTTACAGTGAAGTGGGTCTTGGAAGCAATCACAGATGCCAGACGTCCACTCGTTGGATAGAGTTGTTGCGACAAACGGTCGGGGTTGAGCTACATTGGTTTTTGAAGACATGGTTTGGGCTTCTGAGTGAAACCAAAGAATTATAGAATTATTCAAACTATATTATACCATTAATTATATGGTTACCTTTTTTATTTTCAGAACAGATAAGACGGTCAAAACGGCTGTAAAATAGCCCAAAATGCGCACAACAGGATTTGGTAAGTACATTAGAATAATTCATGCGAATGATCGAATAATAATTTCTTATACAGATTAATCAACAAACCTACTAACAGTATCATTATGGTTATTTAATGAGGAGCAGATCAAACCCATCATAAGACTTGATCTTTGGTCTTTACATAGCTACGCGGTTTAAGATACGTCTGTCCTGCATGGTGTAGGTCCGTATTTCTCAGACATCTGATAAAAGCCTGAGTGTGGTCCTCAATATGAAAACCAGCTGTTGTTTCAAACCTTAATCTTAGGGTTAGTGTTTGAATCCAGTTTCTAGTAAAGACACACAAAAAAACTAAAACACTGATCAGAGGCATTTACCCTATATACCAGGAAATACCAGGAAAGATATTTCACACTCAGCTCAAAGTATAAGATAGTATGTGGAAATCTGTTTCACAAAGTTTCACAAAACCTCATGTTGCTGACAGATCAACACTTCCCCATGTAACATGGAGATGTCCAAAGCCCAAGCTGAATGCTTTTAGTGTGTTAGTATTGTCTGAAAGTGTCTCTTGGCGATCTTTCTTACCTTGATGTGGTTTAGTGGCGTGAGCACAGAGTTCTGTCAAGACCTACACCTGAATGATAGATGGGTTTCGAGGCCAGATCAGCATCTTATAACCCTGTAAGTGTGTCGCTGACTGACTGGTCTTTCCAGTTGGATGAATGTAATCATCTTTCAATCAGACATCGATCTATCAGAACGTCATGCATCCATTCAAATATGTCTCCGAAGACCCATTATTTAAGTAGGCTCTTAGTTCTTTGACCAAAGGGCACTACTTCATGACAGAATGTCCTGTAACACATTGGTATGAAAAGTACGGAGGTCCTCATCGTGCCTGGTAAGAACTAGGTGATTTTATCGTTTCACTGAAAGCACAACACAATTAGGATAATGGATTAGCAATGTACCTAAAATGAATTAAAATCTGAATGAATTTAAATTTTGTCAGTTGAGGTTAGGGTTAGGTCATCATTCTGAACATTAGCAATACTTCTTTAAATATATGTCTCCCTGCAAATGTCTATATCCATCCTTTTTTCTACTAAATCCAACTCAGGATTGTAGGGGAGCTCCAGCTGTCATAGGGCAAGAGGCAACCCCCCCACACATACACTCCCATAACAGGTCAGCAGTTCATCATGGAGACAAACAAGACACACAACCATGCATGGAACTGCAACCATGCAACTTCAGAAAGATCATGTTCTGATAAGAATATACAAAAGATAAGCCTTCACTGAGGAAGGATTTGCTTTTATTATTGCTCCTTCACCTCATCCGGGGAAAAGAACTGAACCGCTCTCTCTGCGGGACATATTGTGTCCCTGCTGAATTCTCTGAGGTAATCAGGAGTGGCTGCAGACCAGAGGAAATGTGATTAAATCAACCCGTGCACTCTGAGAGATGGAGTCAAGGGAGAAAATGAATGAGTCTAGACCAAGTGCGCCCCCTGCAGGGAGTTTAAGGGAGCATATCTGGCAGAGGAAGTAGTGTGGGATGCCGCTCTTCTCTTTAGCTCTCTGGAAATTTGGAGCCAAGATAGCGGATAGCAGCAGCATCCATACAGGCAGTCGCTCCACGCACTCCCCTGTAAAGCACAAAGAGAGGCCTTGACTCAGGTGGGAGGCTCATGTTCTTTGCATTTAGGTGAAACAGACAATTTTATTGATTCATAATGCAGCAGAGTTTAGTTTTCAATTCAATTTCATTACCTAATATAAGGGCATCCTTAATTCAAATTGTCTTTACCAAATGACTTATTGATCAAATTCATGTAAGCCAACTGCTTAAAAAACCCCAAAATGAAGTCAGTGTGTTGAACATATTAGGCATGCAGTTCTGAAGACATAAACAAACTATTAACTATTTAATATAGAAGACTCCCTCTGAGGAGAATCAGTTTCTTGCAGCCAGTTTGGCATATAACACTTGATATGAGAACGATTGTCAGATTCTTGTTATACTTTTGCACATTGTCTCAACTTTTTGTGGATTTTGGGTTGTCGTACTTTTGCAGTTTTGCTGAACAACCAGTCCTGCATGAAAGAAACTTTCACTGAAACTTTGGCTCAGCTAACATGCATTTATTAAATTTACCCAAAGGGTAGCCACAGAACATGATAAAAACAATGTAATGTAAAATCACAGAACCTTGCAGTGAATTTACAGTAGGAGGTAAAAATAAACAACCAGAACAATCTCTCCACCCACAAACATCCTTACAGAGCCAATAATTTGAAAACAAGCATTTCATTGTGATAGAAAACGCTGGTAAAAAGCCTCAATAAACCAAACACAACAAACACTTCATGCACATGTTCTTCCTCTTGCCATGTTTTCACTTTGAGTTTATTATGAGAAGATGAAAATTAAATGTGGCAGTCCACCTTGAAATGTCATTCCAGATATGGAAGATTGAATTGAATATACTTTATTGATCGCCAGGGAGAAATTGACTGCTAAAGATAAACATAATATGAACCATTCTCTTATTATGTCTGCATCCATAAGGTTCATATAAACAAATTTTAAAAAGCACCACAGTTTCCTGGGTAAGGGAATTTCATACCTCCCCGTCAGAGTACCTTTCCAGTATGTGGGAACCGTCTGTAGCTCAATGGTGATTGGTCATGTTGTGAATGAATGAGAATGTGAATAAAATTTGAAACTTGTTGAAGTTCAATAATGCTCAGAGGCAACAGATCAGACATGTCCCAATTATCTATTTAGTTTGATGGTCCCTTTTGTTGTTCAGGAAAATAAGCCTTGCGGTAAAGGTCATGTGTGACGGGCCAAGACAATTATTCGCTTACTCTGACATCCCACACGAGGGGTTCAATCTGACTGGAGGCCTTTGTGTGTAAGAGTTTGCTAATGCTTCATGAGTTTGAGTAGGTTCTCTCTGGATACTCCAGCTTCCAACCACCATCCAGGACATGATTGTCAGGTTAATTGGTGTGTTTAATTAAGCTCCAGCCCTGCAAACCCACTTGGTGGGACGTATTTGGAGCTCAGCCTCCAGCCGCTTCACACTGGCAACACTTCAGGTTTAAACCATGGTAATCAAGACTGTGTCTCATGACAGCATGTACAATTTGCAATTGTCCGCTGTGTTTGGATCAAACATATGTTTCACTCAAATTGGACTAAAACTTAAAACAAGAACCGCAGCGCATGTAAGAACCACTACAAGAAATACACACAATCAGCAGTTATTCAACAAAGTGGAGTTAAGTTCAGTGTGCCATCTGTTTATATTTAATGTAACCTTATTTGTTGAATAAGTTCAGTTATTGTTAATGAGTTATAGCAAGAAAAGGAGGAGGCTGTTAAATTTGGCTTGGTACTGGAACACATGAAAATACAGCACTGGATCTGGAGGAGAATATACTCTCTGAGTTCTGTTGTTTCAAAGCTACACTTGCAATAAACGCAGAGCAGGATCTATGATTTACAGTAATGGAAAAATAAAGCCAGGGGTAGTTTAATCAGACAGATAGAAACAGCAAACAATTTACCTCACAGAAGGATTAGGAAAAAGGAGAACTGAAAAAAGCTTTTATCTGTCTAAAGTTGTGTCTTTACTCGCAAGATCTGCATTATCATGGCTTTATCTCTCCTGTTGGGAGAGAATATTTGTCTTGTTTAACAACCAGCCTACATGCTTGGACTTGTTTTCATAAGAACTTCTGGCATCCCTAGCTAGTGCTCTGTGATATCCACAGCCCACGCCGCCTCCAGAGAAGCCAACATTATCAACCACCCTCTTTTCTCTGGTGGCAGGGCTCCAGCCGCTGCCTGCTTGGCCTCCGACCACTCCCACAGCCTACCTTATCTCTCCCAATTTCCACTGTCCCAGAAATGACATGCTCGGTTTCTCCACCATCAAATTCAAACTGTGATCCTGGTATGTGCCCTTTGCATGGAAAATATCTGTTTTGTGTTCTGTAGCGCTGATCGGTGACAGAGACATGATATCTGGTCCGGACTGCAGACGGATAGACGACCCCTAGCAGTCAAAGAGCACTACAGCAAAAGCACAGAGTGGGTAATGCAGTCTGGCAGTTAGTTGTTTATTCTTTTTATTATCAATAGTTCTAAAGCACACTCATAATAATGAATCTGCTCTGGTTTGACTTCAGCCTCAGTGTGTGTCCCAGACGATAGAAAAATTGCCTGCCTGGCAAAAGTCATAACTGCCATCAACTGCCGGCTACGTCCTCTGTGCACTGTTAAGGTGTTTTAGCACCGAGATGACTCTGTCTTCTTAAATGTAATGAGAATTATTCGAAACTGCAGGAGCTGTGTATAATTGAGCTGGGAATACTGTGCAGTGTGACAGAGAACAGTCAGCTCAATTGTTCAACCCAGTGCACATCACATAATAATTTAATGGACTGCCCATTGACTGGAAGTGTTAAATTATTGCTGGAGTGTACTGTTAAACTCTTAACTTCCATCTTCAGCACAGCAAACTCTATACAAAGTTAATATGAAAGTTGATGTGCAGTAACAGCAATGGTAATAGTATGTGTGCATATATTAGCAATTCTTGGAAGAAATAACTTGAAATAATAATCCTCTGGGTGATAAAAATTATGCTCACATTTTTGGGGAGGAATTTAAGTCCATTCCCCTTCACAAAATTAATTAATTCATTGAGGTATGTCGGTTAAGATTCATGCACAGCTCTTTAAAGGCTATGTTTTGGACTGGACTACTAATTATTTTCCAGACATCATGTCATAATGCAAGGGATCATTATGCTGTGGTATGATCCAGTTTTAGCCAAGCTTTCAACGTAAGACGGGTGTCAAATGGTGTCATGGTGTCAAATATGACTCTTAAATTGTTTGCTAACCAGATGAGACTGGTGAGATGAAGAGGTTTTTGGCTGCCAAAAAGCTTATATAAACAACTTTTCAATATTTTTTTCAAAAGTGGACTGGCATACTCATTTTAAATTGATGAGTTGATAAACCTACTGTCCTTAAATGTTGGGGTATTGAATCTGTATTTTCTTGTTTCTACAACAATATGTTGATGTGAAACGTTCAAACTTGGACTTTTGTCTATTGATGAAGATAACAGAGGTGTTGAGTTAGATTACCTGTATGCCGTATCGCTCCCTGACCGAAGCCCTCATGGCGAGAGAAGCTGGAGGTACACAGCTTATACAATCCAGCAGAGGCAGGCACGGACATGCACCGGCTGCACTCGTCACCTTACAGGTAAACACCGGGAGGCAGCACAGTGCAAAACAGCCTGCGATATACATGAAAAACACACAATTAGGTTAGATTTTACATGTCTGCAGCAACTTTCACTTGTAGATAAAACAATAACTCTCATGTTGTGTACTTACAGTCTCCAATGTCTTTGTAGCACTCACACAGGCCAGTGGTCCATTGACCTGTCTCCTTGATCCTGTTCCGTGGTTGAAATTGGACCACTTTTCGGGCCATACCTCAGCTGTCCATTCATGACCAAAAACGACAACCATTATTTATACATACAAATATATTTCATATTTATATAAATGGTATACATCTCTACACAAGTATTAAATACTGTGTAAATGTACCTTTAAAAATGCACTACATATACAAATGTGTGTGTAGTGTACATTGGAATGGAATGTCCACTAATTTGCCTCTCAAAGCATTTGGAAACCCTGTTTGCATGATTAAAAGCGTTACCAGCAAATAGAGAAGTTCCAGAATGCACGCCTTGTCTGGTTTAATCAAAGACACGCCTGTGTGTATTTTTATGAGTTGTGAAAAGCTTGATCTGACTCCACTCCTCCCACTCGTCAGCCATTCAATCTTTTGTCAATAATAATTTAATTTGTAAATAAAGGGGAGGTTTTCGTTGAATATGTCTCACAAATCAACAGAACTTGGCACCACGTCATTGTGTGTAGGTAAAGCGACAGAACACCTTAAACGTCTTACAGGTGACAATTTCTATGTCACATCTATGGATTTAGAAACTTTTGGTAAAGAGCAGGGTGTTCCACCCTGAGATGTCAATCAACTCGCGATATAAGCAAATATCAAGTTTAAACCATCAGTTTAATAAGTAAAAATGACAATCTAGGTGGTGCTTGCTGAGATATAACTTTCACACCCTTCCCTGTTAGTCTCTAGCTCTCCTTTTAACGACATATTAATATCTGAGGGTAGAAATCTTCCACCATGTTAGGGCTCAGAGCCAAACTCTCCTGTCCTGAGGAATGATCCACCTAGCAGGAAATAAGTAACCCGTCCTTACAGAATAAATAACTTACCTGCAAAAAGCTCAAAAATCCCAAACCCGAAACTGTGGGGGGTGTGTTGCTAATGGCTTAGACTGACTTGTTTTCCTTTCCTCCTCCCGTCCTTACTTGGTTGTGCACTCAATGCTGTGTTTTTGTGTAAATATGAAACCGCCATACTAAACATGGCTCCCTGTTGTCTGGTGAATTTACTCTGCTGACTCAAAATGTTTCCAGGTCCTAAGTAGCATATTATAGTTCACATCTACCGGGGAGTCCGGATGCTTTTAATTTTTATGTAGAGGTGGGTTCAAAACAGTACAAAGGTAGCACAGGGTACTCATTTAAGAGAAGGAGAAACATTTTAAGTTGAGAATTATTAACATCAGTTGAGTGAGAAAGAACAGTGAAGCAATATAAAAAGTGAGTTCAGCTGAAACCACCTTTTCTGGCAAACATTAAGACAAACACAAGATGATTGATAATTCACTGTACAATGAACACAGAAAGAGAATCCATCAATATCAAACACACAGGAACTAGTTTACATTTTCGAGTTCCCCACTGATGCTTTTCAACAATAAAGAAAGTGCCCCTGTTGTTATTTATCTGATCTGTCATTGTCCTGGTAGAGCAGCATGGAGGGCCTGAGGAAAGATCCAACTGAGTGCATCCATGAGAACTGAAGCTGACACATGCGATTTCACAGGAGATTACTGGAGGTGACAGAAGTGAATACATATTATGCAGGGTTCACAGCTACGTGCAAAAGGCAGGCCCTCATACCTGAAAAACTGTCCCAGACAGAAAGATAAGGGGAAAAAGAGGGGTGTGAAAATAAGGGAAATGATTTACGTAAAATAAATGCTTGCAACTTTACTCTTTCAAAGCTGTGCAAGCACAAGCATTACATGAATATGGTGACATTTTTTCTCCGTTACTGCTACTGTATCACACTCACGTTTGTGTGACAAACACATTAAGCTAATTCTCCTTCCTTACCATTGTTGGGAGTAAAAAGAACAAGCAGAAAAAAGAACATCAGAAAAAAAGCTTTATTTGTTTAAATCTAAATATTTATGCCGCATCCACAATACACTTGTGCTAACAGGTTCCCCTATAGGCTGACCGACTGCTGCTTCTCTCTTACTCCTCTGTGAATTATTAAGAATAACAAATGATGTGCCTATTAAAATGTTTCATGGAACTGTATTACTCAAGCGTTTGCCATGTTGCATAATAGCCACACATAACACTGAGAAATGTTGCAGTTTCAAATAAAATTAGCCTACTATGTTTTCGTTCAGCGGTCCCCTGCAGGGACCTTATGTCGCCATGCGTCATCACAGTGACTTTTAATGGCTTCATGAGTCCTGCTGCATGATTTCACACATCTACACTTTCTATTGTGCTCCTCCAAAGCTTGTAAGGGAAGAAACGCACCAAAACGGCCCAAATGTGAGACCTATATGTGTTTTAAAGCTAAGGACTCAAAAACGTCCCTATTCATGGTTTGCTAATCTTGTCATGACAATAACCAAGGCAAATGCCATCATGACACAATGTTCCACCACAGATTGTGACACTACCCTCTGCAGATGTTGACAAATGTACCAGGTTTCAAGTTTTCTTGCAAAACCTGGAACAGAGATGATAGACCACTTGTAAGATTTTGTGTTTGACTTCTGAAATATTCAAAATCAAACTAACATTTTTCGAAATTTCAATCCAACCCGTTTTTTTATGTGAAATATAAAAAGAACTGTTCAGATTAGAAACACAGAAAGGTTCCAAAGAAACATAATTCATAAATACAGAAACCTTCAACAAAATAGTCACACAACTCTCCCAAACAAAAACTCATGAAAAACGGTCTTTATTGAAAAATATCAGAAGATTTACAAAAGAATCTATATCTGTACATCCATTTCAAGAAATTTCGAAATATCTTTATCATTGATTTGACTGTCGATTAACTACATTTTCTGATTAAACTGTTAATTTCCATCCAGTTTCTTACTTTGAGGAGGCAACGTTTATTTTCTGAAAATGTACAGTTATGCCTTGAAAACATTTAAAATGATACAAATAACTTCACAGTTTCAGGTATGAGTACAGTCTGAATTATGTAAAAGATCTTCACTCCAGGACTTAAAAAGGTCCGACTGGTATTGCGCATGTCCGCTTGCAGAGTACCTTGAATTTTTTCAGACCTACAGTGTAGGGAGTAAAGAAACAAAAACTATTATGACACAATTCAACATTTCATATCAAACTCTAGGCTTAAATGCACTTAACCCACAGTGTTTATTTGGTTGACTGCAGAGGCAGTTCTTCAGGTTCTCTCTGCCTTTGTCATCTGTCGGGATGAGTTTAATAGGACACTTCAGTTTCCAACGGCTACTTTCTGCAAAGAGATGAGAGGAGAGCATAGCATAGAAGAGAGTCTTTGCATAGCATTATACACAATAAAAATGAGTTGATAAATTGTTTAGCAAGTTTTCTCCATTGTATATCCATAACGGGTATGATGATCAGCGGGTTATTGTTGTGGTGTTCCTTTCTCCACCTTTGCCCTTCATGTTTTCTCGTGTGCTGCAAGTTGCTAAAGTTAGTTTCTACGCTGGTCTAATCTTTGACAGAAAATTTCATATAGTTGGTAGATACATATAGGTTATACATATAGGTTAAATCAGGAAAATCTGGTGGTTACTCACGTTTGCATCTGCATTTGCGAATGTCCTTTGTAGTAAATCCAGCAGAATGGAATTCATCAGTAACTGCACACAAAAGACAAATAGCAGTTACAATTTAAGATAGTTCCAATAAGATTTAGAAACTGACTACATGTAAGTTTGCTGGTACTATGTTTTTTTTCCTACCCTGTTATTTCCAGGGAGCTTTGTTGGTGTAAATGATGCGAGTAAAACACCGTTAGATGCTTAAAAGAAGAGGAGCGAAATAATAAAAAAATCTTTAATGCGTACCTTTGCTTTGACAAAAGCTGTCCACTAGCATGATGAGCAGGAGGGTTACAGCAATGATCCTGGTCATGATGGCAGGTGTTTTTCTTTGCTCCTTCCAAACTGTTTGAATAGTTCCACAGCGCTGCACTTTTATAGCAGGGAGTCTTCCTCCACGTGGGTCTGGATGGTCGTCCAGACCAGTCCTGGCATGTCCTGGCAGGGGGGAGATTTTCTTTCAACCTTTCAGTTTTGCCTGGATTATTTTTCACAATGTTCTAGTGACTGAGATCGCATACACGGACAAACAAACATCTATATCAACGATTTCCAATCAATCTAATCAGATTGGCGGCCTGTCATCATTTTTTTTCAACAAGAGAGATAAAGTGATTTTTATGATGGATGGCTGTATATGAGAGTCCTAACATGAAAGAATTTTGTATTCAAGGTGGCTTTGGCAATATTGACACTTACACTTCAAATAGCTCAAATTTCCAGTAATAATCCCTCTCTTTTAAAGCAGTTGTACACAATGGGTGAGAATAAAAGAAGTGTCACTAAAAAATAACAAAGACTGTATGTGCAATTAATCAGTGGAACATTAGTTAACCCAGCGAAAACATTTTTTTAAATGTAAATTAACATTTTCTTAAATTAAACCAAAAACACAAAACTTATCAGGGATCATTTAGATTTCCACCAAGCCTAAGACTACCTCTATGTGGGTTTGGACCATGTTAGAGATCACCGCTCCCACAGTAATTATTGACTAACTTGACCAATATAAAGATGTACCATTTCAAGCTTGAACGAGTCCAGAGTGGACACACTTTGAAATGCCCTCATCCAAATGGCCTTTTGGACAGGGTGGTGGGTCAATGAATGACAAATTAACTGATAAAGGTCAAGTAAGGCTGCTCGCCATCAATAGGTGACCCAACAACCAGGCAGGTGTCGACTCGAGTACAGTGACTTCTTTAACAGGCTTCAGAATGATGGAAAAAATGACAAATAGAAGGGCTTTTATAGTGCCAGAGAGTCACTGGCTTTGTTACGTTGCTCATTTCTTGCTGTTTCTCAGGATCCCAAGTGCGCTGTAAAGTGATCTGAGTGTCACGCACAGTGGGGTGGAGAGTAGGGGGGGGGAGTATTACAGACCTTGGCCGTCATTGGCTGGCTCCTGAATCACTCTGTCTTTAGGGAGGTGCGTAATTACGCTCGGAGGCCCTCCAAACGTTGGCACACCCACTCCGTATATACCGTGTGAGCGCTGTCACTCAGCGTCAGCCGGCCGGTGACGTCTAAGTCTCGATATGAGTCAGGAAACAAGGCGAGGAAATCCCCACGGCGCTCAAGACGAAGAGAGGCCCCTTTAAATCGAACCTCCCGTGTCGTGCCAAGAGAGAGCGAGAGAGAGAGAGAGAGAAAGAGAAAAAGGGAGAGAGGGCGCTCTGATAAACAACAACACGGCTCTCAGAAGCAGCTTTTTCCGGATTCGGCTCTTTACTGCGGCCTCGGGCTAAAAAAAAGGTGAGCTGGTAGTCATTCCAGGTACCGGTGTTTACTTGGAATGGAACAGAGCGCGCCGTTGGTGGTTTAGGGCGAACGGTGCGCACTCTTTGGGGCGGTGGGTCGTCATTGTGCTGCCAGGAAAGCGTTGGGTCCACCTGTCAGTAGAAAGACTGGGAGAATATCTCTGACTGAATTAACAGCGAGGGGAAGATCTGCTGAAAAAACAGCCCCGTTCAAGCTCGTTTTTTTTCACACAGTCGTTCTCCGTTTTCACAAACAGGCAACCGAGACTTTCCCCTTCGTTGTTTCCATCCCTCGCTCGGCTGTTTTCCACACGGTGGTTGTTGAATGCCATTGCGGAAGTAAGAAGCTACCCCCCCCCCCCCCCACACACACACACACACACACACACACACACACACACACACACACACCCAGCGAGAGACGGACCAGGCTTGGGCTGTGCGGACACCTAGCGGCCAGTGAGGACCTCCAGGAGATGTTGGGAGCCTCGGGCATCCCGGAGCTCGTCCCTCCCGCCGGCCCCCCCCGGCAGCCGGGCCCGGGGGGCCAGCTCCGGCCGGGACACCCGCAGGGGGGCGGCCACGGCGGGGGGCCCAACCCCCAGAGACTGGGCCAGAGGGCGCCCAAGCTGGGCCAGATCGGCCGCTCCAAAAAAGGCGAGTTTACAAAAGTCCAAAGTCACCTGGTGGTGTCGTGGTGCTCCTGAACCGCATCAGGCTGTGGAGAGACGCGTTTTTTATTTTTATCTGAGCCGCAGGGATGTAAACGGAGTGGATGGAATAATAGCAGGAGCTTTCCTTTGCTGCATTATGAACTTAAGTGTGAGCCAGATAAAAGCAGGCTAAGTGCAGACAGAAGTTCAGGTTAGATCAATATTTCAATGCTTTCAAATGTGAAGGTGCTTTTGGTGGAATGGATGATGCTGGAATTTGAGCAGATGACAAATTTCCCGTAAACATTCATCATAAAGTCAAGTATTTCTCGATGAATCTCCCTCTGTCCCCAGAGAGCAAAAGACTAATTCTGTCACAAACGTTACTGAAGCGTGACAATCAAATTCACAGAAGCAACCTGAAATGAGAATCTTGTAAAACAAACAAACAGTGGCCTGAATCCTTCAGTCAGGAGATTAAGTTTTGAAGGAAAGTGTAAACTGTGATCCAGTGAACTCCAAGATCAAAGATGATTGTTGGTCTGGTTGACTTAGAGTTACTTCAGTTGACCAGGTCTAAGTTAAGTAACAGTATGCAGGAAAACTGAGGGTAGCTGACTATTCCAAAATACACTGATCGGGGGATTTCCAAATTCCACATTGGCAGTGCCGAATTCATCAGGCTTTTGGTTTGGATAGTGGTTAATGCCAGTCCAGATGTTAACTTTACCTCCAGTTGGTTGATGGGTTAAAATCTGGATTCACTATCTGATGAAAAACTCTTCAAACACTCATGTAACTTTGCATAAGTTTACTGAAGAAATGCCACATGAAAACAAAGCTATAAGTTGACGCATTAAATATTAAAACGCAACACTGCTTTTGCCAGATATATTGTAGAACAACAGATTAATTAGCTGATGTTTAAATCAGTTGGTTGTAAACAGCTCCTCGTTACATTATTCTAGCTTTCGCCTTCATATATTTGATCCTATTCATCCGTCCTACTGGTAGGTTTTCAATCTTATCAAATCGAAGCTATCTCAACCTAACTGTCTAAAGACAAAGCTAAAAATCAGACCCTCTCCCAGGAGCGGGGCCATAGGTAAAAATCATACAAAACATGGGAAAGTAAACATTCACTAAAGGATACACAAGTAAAGTAACAACCTGGGCTATAAAAATACATGACTGCTCAATTACCTGTCTGACTCTCCCCTCTAATTCACAGTGGACCTGGATGATGAGGACTTGGATGACATCATGAACAACAATGGGCAGTGCCCTGTATCCCTGTCACCTATCTCCTAAGCTTCACCAAGAAGTGCCAAAAACAGAAATGTCCTGGGAGGCCGATTCCCCTCCCGTCAGCGCTCTTGGCATTGGTCCGACCACGTGTCCAGTAGAAGCTTCTGATGGTTCTTTAAGGCTCTGAAACGGCGCATTTAGCGCCAGTTGAGTCCAAGGCCATGACTGTACATAGTATCTATTTAACTTACATTTGCTGAGACTGTGAATGAATCGTACTGCATTGCTCTCTACTCTATACCTTGGTAGGTAGTAGGCTTTCAGGACTTGAGAGAGATTTTGGACAAAGTGTATTTTTCAAGGCTTCTTAACAAGGGCTACTATGCTAAAATTGCACTGAGCAGACGGGTAGATGACAAGCAGCTGCTCACCTGCCTTTTAGTGGTGAGGGTAACTTATTCTCTACAGGCTGGTTACGTGAAGGAGCACAAGTCTGTCAATGAGTATCACACAAGTGAAACGTTATCTTTTGGTTGTGCAATGACTATTGTTCTCTTTCACACTGTTTTAAGTGGTATATTGTTATCCACTCGACGAAGGCTAGCTATTTACAGGAAAAAATCGACTACTGCTAATTATTTATTGTTAAAAAATATATTTTTTTGTGGTATTATGGCTGCAACATGTTTTTTTTTTTTTATTGTTTCTGAACGCACATTGCTTCAGACGTTTCTTATGTTTCTAAACGGTGCACTTTGTGGGAATGCCTGTTATGTGCAGTGACATGTTGCAGAGTTCTATGCATGAAGTCTGTGTTAGCATCAAAACATGTAACTGGTATCCTGTTATTGAAGGGCTATGTCGTAGTTTTTCAAGCCACGCCACGGTTGTGCTCTTTAGACTGAGCGGAGTCGACGTCTCCCTGAGCTCATTGTTGGCCTGAGCTGCAGACTCAGCAGGAAAATGTCAAAAACCACTGCAGATTTATGGAACTTTTGTTTGTTTTGAAAGGGATGATGTCCCAGTTGGCCACACAAACTGTGAGAAAAGATGTGTAAAGTTCACACTATTTAATTAAAATGCCAAATGACACTGGATGCTGTCTTGGATTTTAAAATTAAAATTGATTCTGATTGGCACACTGTTTTGTCAAAGTGAAATCTCATTTGTGTTAATATGTACTCGTCAAGCTTGAAACCTCTTAGGTGTAACCATTAAGACGGACATGCACTGTTTAAAGATATGTTTGGCTTTAAAGACTATAATTACAGAATGAGATCATGGAAAGAAGCAGCTTCTGATTAGCTGTCACTGCTCAGACAATCTTACACCTATGTTTTGGGATTTTGTGAAAATTGCCGCGGATCTTCAGGAGAAACAGAAGAGCTCCTGATTATGTCATGCTGTTTTTGTTGGCTGTGAAATTGTTATCAGTTACTTATCTGTTTTGGGACACGAAGCACTTCGTTTCACAGCTTGTCTCTGACTCAGAGAATACTGTTTGGGTTGTAGTTGCCTTTTGCATGATCAACTTTTCAAAATGCATCTCTGGAATAAAGAATGGATCTTTGTGGAATGTTTGTGTTTCATTTCAATAGAGCCTAAGCACCCAAATTCACTCACTCTCAAATGCTTTGTGTTGGTCACACATCATTGAATATGGTAGATTGATCACATTAAAAAGGTTATACGCAGGATTCACTCGAGAGTTATCTATAATCTTACAATAAATCTATATTCTAACAAAAAGTGCTTAGTCATGATGTAAAAGGTCATTTAAAAGGAAGGTCTGAGGACTGAAAAACACAAGTTAGAAGCAAGTAAAGGATCCTCACAGTAAAAATGTTTTCTACATTTAGTCCTTTTCTCTTGTTGAAAGATAAAACTAATCAAGTATTTTTGTGTCCTGAAGACACAGTTAAATACTTGTGTCAGTTATAAAGTAAGCAGTTCAAAGTTTGAACAATATCAGAAACATCTTGAAACAGCACTTTGTCTGATGATGTTGTTGCAAAACTTGATCTTATTCATGCTCACAGGGGTGGCAGGTGGAGGCTACAGAAGTTACCATCGGGAATCCTCTGCTCTAAAATCAACAAGAAGCAAAGTATGTATTTGTAAAGATAACATACTTTAGATCACAGGGCTTGGTATTTAGTTTATGAGATGTTTACAAAAAGATAAATGATGCTCACCAATCAGGCCTGACCATTTATTCTATGAATCTTTGTCTCATTAGCAGAAACGTCTCACATTGATTTATTTACATGTGTCAGATTTCATGAGGGATTCGGATCCCTCATTCAATCACTTGTCGTACTTACACCAGCCTGTGAAAAGAAGGAAAGTCCAATATTCAAGTATTCGTAGAGAAATACCCCACCAAAATTAGTATTTTTTGCTGAAGAATTAACTACAGACAGTTTTTTTTACAACACATAGCAATGTTTGACCTTTCTGAGGTACAATAATGTACTTCAGCCCTCATATTTCCCACATCTTTAAATTAACATAATTTAAATGACATAAATATGTTAAATGATGATATAACTTTATCAGTGATTATTTTGTACCTTAATGATGAAAGGTTCCTATAACTCACCTAAATAATATTTTCTTCCCTTTGGGAAAGTTAAATAATGAAGTCTGAATTTCTCTGTGCATCCTCTGCCCCTCACTAAGATACATCTCTTTAATGTTCTGCATGAGCAGTGACTGAAACCATCACACAGTTTTTGGTGTTGCATTAGCTTTATTTCCTAGGAACTGATTGACTTGTTAAAAACAAAGATTTTTTCTTCATACAGTTTCTGTGACACCCTTTTCTGCTAAATGAGGGAAATTTATAAAGAACACTCGGTATATAAAAGAGCCTAATAAAAGGATAAGTTCCTCATATCTGAAAACTACAGAAGTGACAAGGGAATTACCGATCATGAAATCCTACACAGGAGCAAAGAGCTAGTATTCCCAAAATAAATAGGCTGCTTAATCACATAGTGGCCGGCATTCACAACGGGCATGTATAATGACATGATGACCTCATGATAATTTTTTAACCCTTACAGAATGATATGAAGGCCTGCAGGTCCTGTTCTAAATGTTGTAGTAAAAGTGTTTAATGATGCTCTCCCCCAAAGTGGTGGGAACTGTGCAAGAAGACACACCCTGCTCATCTATTTTAGTACCAACATTTCATCTAAAACACTATAATGCCATACTGTGTCTGTGTTATACTGTGGAGAGTTGAAGCCTGCTCACCAAAGTGGAATTGATCACTTTCAATTACACAGTAAATGCTAATAAATGCTGGTTGTAACACATGGGTGCAATTGTTGGCTCAATTCCACCATTTATGCTACTATTCAAGAGGTCACACCCTGAGGGCGTCTCCATCAGGGCAGGGGATCCAATTATAATGTATTTGTGAAGACTACTTGTAAACAACTGTGGAATGTGTGGAAGGGGTGAGAGACATCCTTCATTAAAAAATTGAGAGTTCTGCTGGATAATCAAGGGGTCATCAAAGGCCTGCCTGGACAAAAAGTAAAGAGTCTCACTCCAGTACTCCTAGTCTCTGTCTATGTTTTACTCATTCCTTTCTGATGCTCAAACAAGTGGGAGCTTCCTCTTCAGCTTCTTTTAAAGTCCTGTGCAGTCCGGGGAGATCTCAGACATATTCCTTATTGCTGCTTGGAGGACCAGAGCGGGAACCGGCCATGGATGGGTATTTAGATACCTGCTTCTTCCTTGGACATGAGGATGCCAACATAGCCCCACCCAAAACATCTAGGAGGGAGCCACCCCATGCAATGAAGATGGCGGCACCAAACTCAAACCTGGATAGAGAGGACAATATTTTGGTATAATTCATGAAGAGATCAATTCTATTGAGGCTAGTTTTTTACATAAAAAGATATAATATTTTTATTTGCCTGTCTGCTGTGAAATGCAGCCATACAATATAACTGAAATCAGCAACCTGATTTAAGACAAATATAAAAAAGAAAAAGAAGGGCATCCACTCGACTGTTGCTTGGTGGGCAAATTAAAGGTCAGATGAGTGCTCTCATTATCCTGGCTTTATACATTAAAAACAAGTATGACACTGATTCTTTTATGCAGAGCTCTTTTTCTCTAACTTTAGAAAAAAGAGAAAAACAGGAATGCTTGAACAGTAATTCAGTGAATTAAAGATAATGGTGACTTACTTGGTGTTGACGGGAGTATAGGGATTATAGAAAGCCCTAATAACATTGTGAGCAAACCAGGAACATGCCACAATAGCACACAATCCTGCGAAGAGAGAAGAGATGGTGACTATCACTCAGTCACATCAATATTCAACAGCTCAATAAAAAAGGATAAGAATCTTGTTTTTTCAAATGCTGATCATCTAATGTAAAAAGTTTGCAAATAAACTGGTGACGTATGAAGATGTGAATCTTTGCTGGTCTCATGATTCTGTTCAATTTTGAATTGTGTTTTAGTGATATGTTGAATGTTGGGATGCATTGGGAAATGTGTCCATATATTGTGCATTTGTGAAGGACAGCATGATTTCTTACATATTTTCATAAATACCAGCTTCCTATGTGGATAATAATTGCAGAGGTAAATGTAACAACCTTTATTTAATGATATTCCACCCTCTTCACAGTTACCATATTTGAACTCAGCCAAGCTGTTAAGAAAAGTACCCCAAAACTAATAAACCTCTCTATTTTATGAAATGTTAGAGGATATCATTCCTACCTCCTACTAGCAGGATGATGCCTCCTGTCATGGCGATGCGGGACTTGCGTAATTTGTCATTTCCCCCACAGGTGGTGCACTTCATTCCCATACAGGCCACACCCAGACCTGCGATAGATACAATGATGCCAACTATCATCAAGGCGCGAGTGGCCTGAAGCGAACCTGGAACAGTCAGAGACAAGGGGAAAGAAAAGATTAAGTAGTTTTGAAGAACAGGAAGACTGTTGAAGTTCTTTTCTAGGAGGCAGTAAACACAAATGATTGTTTGCAGGAACGTTGTGGTGAAGCCCAAGATATCTCCAAAATGGCACACAATCACAAAACTATCCTTTAAAAGGCAAAGCTGTGGGATTGACGGGATATGATGCAGAAAGAATTATAAGACAGCCCCAACTTATCACAGAGGCTGTCTGTGTGTGTCCATGCGTTGGGAATTACATCCACAATAGCATGCTAGGACACTTTAATGTGACTTTTCCTGGAAGAGAAACCAAGGGATACACATGAGCACACAAACAGAGGAAAGGAACACATGTCATGCCCTTTTATTTTCACTTAATCCTGCTAGCCATTGGAAGGCTGCTGAAACACTCCTGTCAGGACCCTCATCGGTCAGCAGCACCCCTTGTGCTATAAACCTATCAGAGGGTGAGGCCCCTCATTGTCTCTTCCTCCCCCTGTCCACCTCGAACCAGTCTGTGCCAGTCTAGGCCATCCCTGCCCTGCCCAAACAAATAAAAACCCTCCCGGCAGTGAGTGAGGGATGCGGGGGTACATGGAGAGAGAAAGATGGCGTTAGGATGCAGAGAACATGTATCAGAATATAAAATAGATAGGGACGGAAAACAATGGGGTGGATTATGTAGTGTATTCAGGGCAGGATGTACAGTCCCCTGACTCAGATTCTCACTAGTTCTGCTGTGATCATGTGTTGCATTTAGTTTAATCACAGAAACCAATTAAATATGTATTTTGATCTAAAATGTATGTACAGTGCACTTGGACACCTCACTTTTTTCTAATTGTCAAAGAAAAAAGACATTTTTGACTATAGTCATGTGAAGCTGCACAGGATCATCAGGGTATTTGACCACAGCTTGATAGAAACACAAGGAGGGCCTTGTTCTTCTTATAAGCTCCTTAAGACCACTGGTCAAGGAACCTTGGCGTCCTTTTAACAAAACAAAAAAGGGAACATTTTAACACAGTATGCCTACTATCTGATAACTATCTTAACCCAGCTAAGTTGTTTTGCAATCATGACAAGAATATGTATCCATGTTTAAGACATGCACAACCCAGTTTTTAAGCCACCAACGCATCCAGTCAAAGCTGCAGCCACAAAAAAACAGCAGGAGGGGAAACATGAGAGATTTTACTACAGAGAAGATGTTAAAGATAATTTTGAAAAGCCATAAAATCCTCTTATGGAATGACTAAGAGCAGATAAGAATGGCATTGTCATAATTCCTAAATCATGGGAAGCTTGCTTGAAACCAGCACATAACAACCATGTTTTTTTACTTTTTAGCTATGTTAAGACACCAGTGGGGCCAGGGTTAAACTGTGGTTAAACTCATGGTCCACAACATTGTCCACAAAATTGAAGGATGGATTTAATCAGATGAAGGTGATTTAATTTCATCTCCTGCAGAGGTGTGCACAAAGCATGCCTGTTGGAACTTTAGAGCATGCCACAGCTCTTGTCGCGGCTTTGTGAATGGAAGTTAACATTGTCTGGGTTAAACAGCTAAAAGGATTCAGGTATTGTGTTAAAACAGAGTTCATAGCTAGTGTACTCTGCATGGAAAACATATCAAATTATCAATTCATCTGGACGTAATGTACTTTAGTCACGTCCTAATATCGATGGAACAGAACGTTTTCAGGATAATTCGACAGTAAGAAAGCATTGCTGCAGAATTCGATAAATGGTGAAGTATATGTAGTCATTATGCCTGTAGTCCAATAGTAGGCATTGTGCAGTTGATATAAGGTGCAATTCAGCACCATGTGTCAAATGTAACATAGCCTGACTGTCTGTCACCACCCATCCAAAGGCTTTATGGAATAATGCTTGAATAATGTGTCATCTGCTGTACGTGAGTGTTTCACAGCGTTGCTGTTGGCAGTGAGGAGGGTGGAAGGGTTTCAACAGAATGTGATCCTGTATGGGATCACCCACCTGTATGGGATCACCCACCTGGACACACACCTGGTCACAGCCTCTAAAAACAATCTGTCACTACAGTGGGAGACAAGGTCTCCCACTGTAGTGACAGATTGTTTTTAGAGGCTGTGACCAGGTGTGTGTCCAGGTGGGTGCGTGTGATTACCACGAAACCACTGCAAGATAAGCGATCATTTAATTGACTGAAAACGGCCGAATACCTTTCTTATACATTTCACATAAAAATATGGCATTCTCTCTTTTTTCTGACTGATTTTAAATCACTAACATTCCTGGATTCGCATGTGGTCTCCCGGAACACTTACTGTCCAGCTGCAGAATAGAGTCGTAGATTTTACATTGGAGCTGTCCGGTACTTTGGAAAGCGCACGACATCCACAGTCCCTGGTACATGGCCACCGCTGTGATGATGTTGTCCCCGATGTAAGCTGACATCTTCCACTGCGGCAGGATCGTTCCGATTATCAGTCCGACAATGCCGATTAAAGAAAGGAAAAACCCAAGCAACTGGATACCGGAGTTGGCCATGCTGCCAAAACCTTTTTTTCTGCAGATATAGAGAGTGGATCCTGCGCCCGTTCAACCCTTCTTCAACTTCTGTAACTGCATAAACTCTTCCAACCTCACATATAGTCTCCGTACAACTGGTATTGGGTACCCTGTGGTCTATACTTGAGGACGGGCATCCAAGAACTGGCTGATAGTGTGAAGTGGGTGTGTAATTATCATGCCTGCTGATGCATGGGGTCGCAACTCCCTGTGCTCTGTCGGGAAATGACTCCCTCAGCTTTCAGAAAAGCAACAGGTAGTCTTTCTCACCAAGACTTTCTGGGATATCCTGCACAAATATATTAAAAGTGTTTTGAGAACAAATAATACAACAACAGTTTTTGGGAACAATGTTATGGGGGAAATAAGATGTAGGCAGTTCAGAAAAATGCACTTATGCAAATCTTTTAAAATAAATATTATCTGAAGAGGGTTCCTTTTCGTCTTGAAGTCACACAATACATTTTGTAAAAGAAATAAACAATATACAGCAATAGACTAACATGTGCTGGCTGTGCTCATACTACTGCACAGTTTTTCAATATGATCGTACTTATGTGCTACTTGTTTCTTTTTGGTATTTGAAATCAAGTAAATATATATGTGCCCCAGACTCTGCTTGTGGGTTTTGAGAAGAACTGTCCAGGAGACGGTGAAGCAGAGGAGCAAAGGGTGAAAGTGTGAAAGTTTGCATCACTTGTTCATTCATGAATTCCCGTGGGACTCTGTCGTGGGAAATAAATAATTTCTTTAAATTCAGAGCCACATTGATCACTCTGTAAATCTATTTAGTTATTAACCGTTATTAACCACTGAAAAAAAATATAAATGACCAAAAAGTTCATCACAAGGCCTGTTGTTGTCACATCCTTCAGTGAATGGGTGAGAAACATGAGACAATAACAAGTGTGGTCCCTCTCAGAGTCACACTGTGGCTAAGAGTTGTTCGGCAGCAAAATGAGAGGAGCTAATGACCCATGAGCTGAGAAGAAGTCGTCCTAACTGCCAGGTTAATGGGAATGTGCTCACCTACTCACTGGATTACTCAACATGTAATGAGGCTTTGCCAAATTGCTCACACAGTTCTCTCACCTTTTTCCCTTCCTCCACTGCCCTCCTCTGCCTTGCACTGATCCCTCAGTTTCACACATTCTTGCCCTTTCTGTCCACTTTTAGCCACCCCTCCTCTCACTATAACTCTTTTCCTTTCAACTGTACCCAAGTTGGGTAACAGGCCTTGTCTTTTGCTGCTGAGGCCAACAAATGCCCCATTGTTGCTGGGCAGGAATGACCCAACAAGGAATCTGATTGTCTTTGAAATAGAGGTTTATGAGGAGTAGGAGGACAAGAAAGGTGGTTTTGGGTTTGAAGTTGTTCAGATCAAAATGGGCTAGAAAGTGGAATCGTGAATGAGTGATCATGAAGAATAACATGTTACAGTAGGGAAAAGAGAACACAAATTTAAAAGTGGGTAAGAAAGATGAGCATGTGGAAAATCAGGCACCAGTCTTTGGTCCTCCAGTGCTGTTGCTATTGGAAACCTGATTTATAGGATGTTCTCTTGGCTGCTTTTCCACACAAGTCCTGGACTGCAGAGAATACAAAAAGAACACCCCCCCCCGCCCCCCTCTGCTCCCAGTCCTCTTTATCGTTTCATACATCTACAAAAGCGTAAACACACATTTGTCTTGCTGGTTTAACTGGTGTCTAATGGCAAAAAGGAGATGAGAGAGAAAACAGCTAAATCAGCCCAAAGAGGGGCACCCACAGCATTCTTTGGGGGAATCTCCCTCCTGTTTCTGAGGCCTCCTGTGGGTATAAAGTGAGTGTGTGCAGTGCAAATTCAATGATTGAAGTCGGTTAAGTGCCCTTGGAAGTCACTGAGGCGATGACAATAAAACTCACTGGGCCCACAACTTTTTTCTGAAAAGCTCTGAGAGCGCAATCAAGGGGGATGGCGCCTGCCCTCTCAATGTCCCCTGTCTTCTCCTCAAATCCAATGTATAGTGTTCTTGCTTGGTCTTGTGGACTCACTCTTTTCATTTTCCTCTCAACAACAATTTCTGCCCTTTGAAAAAGCTACATGCTGTTCCGAAACATGTTTAGATGGTTGGAGCTCAATGAGCACAGCTTCACATTCGCTGCAGCATTCATGCTTCACATTGTTGAGCTCCAATGTAACAGTGAAATGCCAGATAAACTTATAAAGAGGGTAACAATTCAACAGAGTGGCTTTTTCCCTATCGCTTTGCATCCACTGTTGTAGCCACTAAAGTTTTTACCTTAAAGTTTATTCAGGCTATACTTTGCATTTCAGTTTGTTTACTTCCTCACGTTGTTAAAATCAAACACATACACTCCATTAGAATTTGGGAGAGTACAATCATGGTAAAGGAATGTCAACTCCAATCACAAATGCTTAAAAAAAGAGGAAGAATAAACTTTTAGTTACACATGTTGACAAAAAGATCATGCCTTCTTTAAAAACTCTTCTTTGAACGGTTAACTTTGTAACTTGACATTAAGTCACTGCCATCTACTGAACAATAATCTACACTACAGCCACTGAGTGGGGGGGGAACTGGATCACAGCGGGCAACAGAGAGTCAAACACATACTCAACACAGATGGTGGTATTAAATCAGATTAATTCATTATAAAAAATATACATATAATTCCAAACCACTGACTGTTTAATAAATCAGATGTGGGTTCTTTCATGATGCAAGCTGGAAGTCAGGTGTGGGCCCTTCATATTTAGGTAGAGCTGACCTTACAAAATCACAGCCACGTGGAATACTTGATCATGGGAATCATCTAGGGGCCGTGAAAAGCCCCAGGAATAAATAGAAGTGGTGAGTGCTGAACATGTTGAGCTCTGTCTGCGGGAGAGTGGGGGTGTATTGTATTGTATTGTCCTCTATGGGAAGGGGTTGTCAGGTGTGTAGTTGAAGCTGGCATCCAAGAACATGGCCAGGGTTCCCAGGGTGGTGATGATGACAAACAACCACAAGAAGAGACGGTCCACCACCAGGGCGATGAACTGCCAGTCCCCCGTCATCTGGAAGGAACACACACCACCTTAGCTCCAGTAAGCCCTGAGTCAGCAGTGCAGGAAACTCAGTGACACGTGGACATCAGTGGGGCGTGTTTGGGACACCATGTGCTGAGGAGCCAGAGCCTGGATAACAAGCTTCCAGATACTCACAGTGTCGTCCGTGTCCTGCTTCTTCAGCTGCTCGGCCATGTATGTAACGGCAGCGATGGCTGACTTCAGGTTGGGGGGGAGGATCAGACAGTAGCTGTCAGTGTTCGGGAGCCGCTGGAGCTGCACGGTGCTTTCACACCTAAACCCAGCCACCGAGACAGAGAGTGAAAACCTCAACACAGAAGGGGAAAGTACATTGGTGTGTACTGAAATAGGTGAAACTCTGAAATAACACCAAGAAAGTTTTTGTTTATGGCCGTGTGATCAAAACAGTTTAAGATAACTTCTTTTAGTTGAAGAAGACATTTCAACAGATGGTGAAGGACGGATTACTGTCCGTCCTGTAAGTGCAGGACCTCTTTTTATTCACCTGATGTAGCACAAATAAAACATATTAGAACAAAAGAGTCAAGGTATCAAATAACAGTCAAATGTAGAATGAAAAGAATACAAATATAGTCAATTTTCTATGGACTATATGATGCAGCTTGTTGCCAATGGTAAAAGGAGTAATTACACAACCACAGTAGGAAAAAACAGAGTGTGCTAAACACAGAGATAAAAGTTTAAAACCCCCCAAAATGTACAACTCCAATATCAAAGTGAAGAATTTCCCTCTGCTCAAATCTGTCATGATGGCACACAGACACACACACACAGACACACACTGTCCTCTGAGGTAAGTTAGAAAAATGTGGCCCCACCCTTCACAGACTCGAGCTGTCATGAGTCACTAGCACAGCGATACTCTCCTCTGCTGAAACATACCATCAGTGACATTATCTGTCCATGCTGGGACGAGCAGCCCAGACCAAGATTTTATCACAGAATACCCAGCGTGGTGCTGTGTGTGCCCTCTATGCACTGATAAACGTCACGTAGTGAGCACTGACTGACAGCCACACACTCCTGACACAGGGTGACATTGACAAAACACGGGGTCAACATTTGTGTGATGCAGTGACCTTTGATCTCTTCATTCTTCTCCTCACACAGCTGCTCCACATAGCAAAACGTATGGCTACCGCTGTCTTACTGACAGCGTTCTTATCGTGGTCAGTCGAAACTTTACTGCTCCACAAGATCTCTGAATCTTAAACATGCGTTAGAGGTATTTACATACATAGCCAATTATCTTGTTTATCGCTGATCAACTTGTAGTAGCAAACATGTTTTCCACTGTTCAAACCAACTTCGTTAGCCTATCAGACGATCACATACAATACATAGACGTCAATTATATTTAGATTTTTCTAATAAATCTTTCATTCATTAACCGTAGATAAAAATAAAATGTCATTCTTGCATGAAAAACAAAAATCTGAAAATTAAAATATATTTACAACATATGATCTCTTTACAATTGAACAGCCTAGTATTAGTATATCTGTCTTTGCAGCTTAACAAATGCCAAGACCATGCGTCTACCATTAATCTAAATGCCATTAAGGAACTTTCAATATACTCAAAAACAGAGAGAGAGACGGGTTGTTTCTGATCAAGATACTCTGCCTAAAAATATTCTATTTTGTTTTGCTTTCATTCTTCATCATCTGGTTACTATATTACAAAAGATTTTATGGTCGCACATCTTATTTATATAAAAGTGCACCTGTCACACTGCTATGACCTCGGTGTGCAAAGTGTGTGTGGTGTTAACAATGTGCAGAAAATATGGCACCAGAGAAGGAGGCCCCAGAACAGCCGGACAGCTTGTCATTGTCACAGAAAGACACACATAGACGGCAAGACCACATAAATGAACCAGCTAATGATGGAGGGACAGACAGTGTGTGTGTGTGAGTGGACAGATGAGTTCAGAACAACAGCATGTGGCGATGTTCACGTAGCATACCATCCACATTCCAGGGCTTGAATTCATTACCACAGACACTTGAAGCTCTGACCATTGTGACATGTACAAAAGAGCACAGTCGTGTGGATACCAATCTGACTTCCATCCGCTAACACTGTGACCACATGCCAACCTTTAAGCTAAAACCAATCTTGACCTAAAATAATGGTATGTATGTCCTTATGATATCATCAAAAACCACCATAATCATATTCTTTAAAGACATCAATATGTTCTATTCTATTGAATGTAGTTTTCTGTCAGTACTTTTTTTAGGGCTGCTATAAAGAAACAAAATGAAAACAGGGCTTCTGGGGAAATTCATTATGCAAAGGTTGACAAAAGCAGATCAAGGACTGGATTCTCTGTTTCAACTTCAAAGCAGGAGCTGTCAGAAAAATTAAGGGGAACAAAAGAGCCACACCAAATTTTTATGATGAAAACTGTTAAAGCACACAAGCTTTTTGCATCTTTAACATGGTTTCTGAAGTCCTTTTTAAAATGAACTCTGAATTGAAATATAAAACAAGAAAAGCCTCCTGTCCCCCTCCCCTTTACTATTGTTTTACCCTCTAAAACCTAACCTAAACAAAGACTTAGTGCCTGGCAACTCTGAATGGGTTTTTAGGGCTTAGCTCAGGCTAAATCTGATGCCTTTGGACTGGGTGAAGATATGCCAACAGCCAAATCAGTTTTGTTTTTGATGTTTTGGGCAAGGCAGAGGCCTTCAAGTATATTTAATGAAACTCTAGCTTAGGTCAAATAAAAAAGAAGAAAAAGAAACAATCATTGTCCCTCTCAAGCAAAGCTATGCTACCAATCAGACCGCCTCACCATCTCCTGCCTGTCCAATGTCACAGTTCATGTATTACTTCAACTGGAGCCAGTGCGTCAACAAACTGATATAGCTCAGCACCACTATGGCCTTAACCACAGAAATGTCAGCTTGATTGTAGACTGGAAGGTTGACGTTCTCTGCATAAAGATCAGCACTTCATGACAGCTGCCTATGCATGTCTATAATGCAGGCCATGTCCTTGGGGGATTTATTGTTCCCTTAGAACACTGGATAATTCATCTTCAAATTTTTACATCTTTAGAGTACCATTCATTTGATAGTTTTTAATAAGGAGTATATTGGAAGTACAAATCCCTTACAGACTTCACAGATCTTCTGGGCTGCTGTCATGATGGCTGTAATTCTGCCATCTCGAGGACACCCTGTACTTTACTGTAATAGCAGATCTGGCATCGGATCCAGCATTCACACTTTGGCAAGCACTGCAAAGAAGATTCATGCCTCGAATGGCTTATATTAACATTAATAAAAATAGCTTTCTCTTAGGTGTGTGGTCAGGAGCTATACAGCTTGGAGAGAGGCTGAATCAGGGTCTCATACAGCAGGGTTCTTATGTGTATGCAGGACAATGATCCTATCAGTGATTGAAATAAACAAAAGCTTAATGATGAGTGGGGAATAGTTGTATTTTTTCAACAAGCAAGATAATATGACTGTGTCTCTAAAAGAACCCACATGACTTTGTCATGTTTTGTGGGTTCCTTGCTACCTATGAACATACCTGCCTCGCCACGGTAAAACAAGATCAGGGTTGATCTTTCGAATGAAGTACTCTCCTGCCGGCTGTCGCCCACTGAAACCCTGAATCGGGCAACTGTCTTCAGAAGACTCCTCCTCCAACAGAGGCTCCTCTTGCTTTGGTCTCGTCATGCCAATGTATTTTGGGAGGATGTCAATGAACACCTGAAAGTAAAAATGAGTTATTTAGTCCAGCTGGGTATCACTGAAGCACTGGCATGGCTTCGGTGGATTTTCCATACCTTTCGAACCCAGTTTGGCATGATGTGCGTGCTGGATGTTCGGTGATGCAAGTTGAGAACGACCACGCCCAGGATAACAGAGAACGTAACCAGGATCATGGTGAACATGACATAATTGACGATCATTGGGATGCCAAGTGACGTCTCTGGAACTTTGTCAGCCAGCAGCAGCATGAAGACAGTGAGAGCGATGAGGACAGAAATGGAAAGAGTCATCTTCTCTCCTACACCCAGAATGATGAAGACAAGAAGACACAAAACATTACTATGTGAGCTTGGATGTGTTTGCAATACTTTGACAGACACAAACGCGCACTGCAGAAATAGCATACGTTCTAGTAATCAATATTATCCCAAAGATTCAACTTTTTCCTCATGTTCAGGATGTTTACCACCAATCATGCAAATCTCTCTTGAACCTATTTCTTCTGGATGTCGGTGAATCCCCCTTCTGAAAAGTGTTGCCACACAAGGCCAAAGACTGACAGCAGATTCCTTCTGATCTGTCACTCCCCCTTCATCTACAGTACATCAATAAACTGCTTGCCCTGACTCATGAAGTTGCTTGTATCAGACACATGCTTCATCTTGTGACTTCAGATGGTGCAGCACTTCTTATTTTGAGCCTTGGCACTTATGTCAAAACATGTCAAATGTGCTGACCTGCTCCGGGAGGCAGGTAGAAGACAAATATAGCTAACACACTGGTGAGGATGCAGGGCACGATGATGTTGATGATATAGAAAAGAGGCTTCCTCTCTATGATGAGATAGAATGTGATGTCCTCATATAGGTCATCCTTTACATTCTTTCTTGAAGGCTTGTGACAGATGGCCCACTCTCCATTTTCTGGGGGGAAATATATGTAAAACGGGAAGGCAGACAGAGGTAGAAAGTTTAATATGAGGAGCAAAGAGTGAAGAATAACATCACACATGCATAAGAACAGGTTTCCAGGTATTTTCATCACTTCAAGCCAAAGCAACTACCAGTGAAAGCGTTCTCATCAATGACAATCTCCTGGATCTCTTTGCCGTCATCATCCAGAAAGTACTGCAGATCGACCTCAGAGGCATCATAAGTGTATGAGCGAAAAACCATGCTGCAGTTCTGCCAGTCAAATGGGAAATATGCCACCTATGGAGTGTTGAATGGATGTTAAGCACAACACATTTGTACAAAATTATCAAATAAACAAACAAAAGTTTTCTCTTCAGATTACCAGTGCCTAAAGACAGTACCTCTATGGAGCAGGAGCTGCGGTAGATGGCCGGTGGAAGCCAGTTGATTGTCCCATCACTGTAAACCAGCACGTTGACGTACAAAGCCACGTCAAACTGCCCGTCATTACTGGGAGGAAAATACAAATTTTAAACCCTCTCAATGGTCAAGTTACAAGCCGGTCTTTTAAAAGGAAATTAAATATGTAACTGTGTCCTCATGCTCAAATTTTTTACTTTACAGGCATGGGAACCATAAAAAGAGCAGTTGTTTTCTGTTCATCTCTGAGCAGCCCTGTGATGGACTCATAGAGTGTGCAGGCATCAGTGACATAAATGTGTTCTTCTTTGTATTACTGCTGATAAATAATGCATATAAGCCGCAAGATGCTTGATTTTATCCACCAATAATGTCACCTCTGTAATGATGACAAGGGATGAAATGATTTAAACTTACCTTTCTTTCTCTCCATTTGGTCCCTGCTCTGCATCTGTGACATCTCCACTTAAACTATTTTTATTCAATCCATGACTTTGACTGGAATGTGGACCTATAGCTATGCACCATAACATGTGAATAAAATTGCCTTATACAAGCAACAAGGATTCCAGCAGAACAGAATATAAACAGAAAAACTGTGTTTGCATCAATAGACTTAACGCTTTTAACACTTCAGACTTTTCTGACATGCTTCTCGGATGCTAATGTTTTCTAATCAACGTTAAACTAAAATGGAAGTTAAGTCTGACTGGAATTACATTAATGCTCTAGGTATTTTAGATTTCAAATGGGATTCAAATGCTGTTCAAGATACCACATTTCCAGCTCTGAAACTTGAAACGAATGCTTATTTGTGGGTGAAGATGGGAAACTCACTTGTTAATGAGATAGATGTCAGGGCGCCACACCTTGTTGGGAGGAATTCTCAAAACATCAATGTTGTCATATTCTGCAGGTGTCCATGATAACCTGTAGTCCGTCCATGCCTGGAATGGATGACAAGGAACAGAGTAATAAAGAAAGAATAAGAGCCAAAGACAGGAAGTAGTACTATCAACTTGCATTTATAAAAAAGGCTCAGGGATATGAAAAAAAGAGTGTATTCATGCTCTTACCAGATTCATGAAAACGTTAGTTGTCATCTCGCCATTCTTTTCATTCTGTGGCATAAATCACAGACAAACAGAGAAAGAAGGACTTGGAACTATATCTTGTCCATGAATCAACAAGCCACTGTAACTGCCTCTGGTGTATAGCGAAACTAAATGGACAGAAAAAGGTTGGCACCTTTTGACTCATATGATAGACTGCAGCCAATTTTAGAAATTGATTTGTGGATGGTTGACTGCTTTGTATGAAATATCATGCCTTGCAGCTATACTGGCTTCAGCTCTTTTCCTCCTTCAAACAAAGACACACCACATCATAGTTAGCATGCTTGGCCAGCAAATTCTCTATATACTGTACTTTTTGAAACTAAGTAGATTTCACTGGCATGTCGGACACACTCCCAATGAACTCAGATAAAATAGATTTTCTTTTTTGGTACATTGCTGTTTCAATGGATTTTCCTTTAGCCTCTTATTTTTATGTGAAGAATTTTGGCTTTATTTTCCCATGTTCAATCTGGATGATTTGATGGTAGCAGTGATTAGGTTCAGTGTGCTGTGTGGAAAAAACACAATGTCTTTGTAGATAAAAGACACCCATTAAACTGATTTCACTCTTTGCATTTTGCGTGCGTGTGTATGTGACATACCAAACTAACAAGCTGGGAGAGGGTCATCCCCACCCGAACCATCACCTTGTCTTCCCAGTAACGAGCTGGTCTGACTTTCATGTTGTAGTTCTGGAATAATTTCTGATGGAGCTTTCGCTCTGTCTCTGAGGCTCCTGGATTAGAGAGGACAGTTCCAAACACACAGGGGATGATAAAAGAAAAGGGGAGACTGTGATGTGGATGGGATGATGAAAGATAATAGGAAAAAGACTGAAGAAGGTTGAAGATGGGGCTTTCCCACTGATGACTGTCCTCAAATAAAAGACTTAAATGTGTTCTTTTTTTCATTTCTCCATGCTACTTGCAATGAGCAAGTAGCAAGAGCAAGACCACTCTTAGCTCTGAATATAGACATGGGAGTCATGTGAAACGGGCTGTGAATACCACTGGGTTTTATTGATTACATATTTTTCTCTCCAGGGAAAGGTAGAACAGTAATGGGGGGTTATTGTACTGATCTGCATGATTAAATCTTCTCCAGAAATGTGCTTCAGTGCATATTGATAAAGAACTGCCCTTTGTTTCTAATATGTAGCAAAAGGAGAGACAAAGAAGGGCAGACTGGATATGCAAAGGAAGCCACAAGCATGGCAGGTGCAGTACATTGGTGTCTGATGGGTAACAAAGGTGACTGAGCTAATGTAATTGATATGCAGCATGGGGATGGGATCAAAGGGATGTCTGAGATACCAGCTCCATCGGACCAAAAATAGATCCTGATTAACAAACAATGATGTGTTAACATGGTTCATTATGTGTTCCAGAGAAGCGAAAGGACAGCCCTTTTCTCTTTAGCAGGAAAATGGGAAATAAATTAGCTTTTCATTGGGGTTTCACTGTTCTAATTTGATTGTTTTATAATTTTTGCTTCACGTTGATCATCTTCTTAATCTATTCTTCAAACTAATCCATTCATTATAAACCCATTGTAAATTATCTGAACCACAATCAAACAAGAAAAAGAGACAGAGAAAGAAATAAATCAGCTACAGAGTAACTAAGAGTCAGTGAAGTGAATATAGTGATCGGATCACCTCTAGTTAGTAGGTCAGGAAATTATATAAGAAGTTGACACAGATAGGGAAAAAGGGACACTGCAGGATTAAATTCAATTTAATTCAAGAATACTTTATATATCCCAGTTGGGGGAAAAGTCAATAAGCAAATAGTTATTGGTTATTTTCAATGAGTTATTTTGGATCTAAAATGTTTTAAAACAAAATACAAGATCCCATAATGTAAAGTCTATTGTCGAGAGCACCTATTAGAAAAAAAAAGATTGATAAATGAAATTACCCCTATTTTTCTAAACCCTTTCCTTACCTGTTAAAGTGAAACAAAGACAGCCGCACATGATGAAAAGAGCATTCATCCTCACACTTGTGGGTGGTTTCATCTTCATTTGTCCCACAATGACAGTTATAACATTTTTTTGCACGTTTCCAGTACCGCCAAGGCCAGCCAACGGCCACTCTTTACAGATCCGTGGAGTCAGTCACTTCCTCTCTGCCCTGTTGCCTGAAAGTCAAAAACTTAGAAATGCATTTAAAGTCTCCAGTTTGGATTGCTGCTAGCTGTCACTCCAGCAGCACACACTGTGCAGCTAGCCCGCCCCTTCGTCTCTTTGTGGCAATGGCTCCATGGGTAAAACCACGGCCTGATTGGGTGTGTGTTCTGGGAGTCATGAGAAGATGGAATGTGTTTGTACTGGGAGGCCTGTGGTGCAGGCACCTGTTGGTGCTCACCAATCTGAGGTTAGCTCTGTGGGGACAGTGGGTGAATGGAAGAGGAAACAGAGGGGGTGGGATGGGGACAAGGAATAGCAATATGGTCTAGGGTTGGACAGTTGAAATATTTGGGGTTTGGAGAAAAAGTGGGTTGGATGGAACTGATTTTGCTCTCTGAGAATTCATAATGAACAGCAGTGATTAAGAACTAAAGATGATTATTCCTTGTTTTATGAATCATTTGACTTTTTTTTTAAATAAAGCATTTGACCATTTAAATCCTTTCATTTGAATTACTTACCTTCTTTGGGACACTTCTCCAGTGTCAAAGGTAATTTGTTATTTCAGAATGGTGACAAAATACAATCTTTTGGTTTATTTAAATTGAATCGTGTCAAAACCCCAATATTCCAAAGAAGTTTGGGTACAGGGCAAATGGTTCTTTCATTTCATAAATCAATTTAATTCATGCATGTCTGCAAAGAAATTTAAAAAAAGAAAGGAAACAATTTGAATAGGCACAACTAAGTAAATTGTAGAACTGGTAGTTTAGACATATAGGAAAATAACACTGAGACTGCTAATTACGTATAGGTTCTAGAGTAATGTATATATTAATGTAATGTATGATCTCATCCATAGTTTCTTTCAGAAAAGGACCCTGCATATTTCCGCAATACAATGCTGACCCGCATACCTGTCTATCATCACAGCTTGATCTGGTCTGACAGGAGTGTACTGTATACATTTCACCAAGAGAAAAATAACACATAATGGGACAAAGAGAACCTATGAGACACTACAATCTTTTTTATATTAAAATGAGACACCATTCCTCCCATAAATATTTAGCCATCTTCATGTGGAGATGAACAGTGGGAAACTTTGATCTGCTCCAGGTTTTTGTGTTGCTGCTCTCAAATTAAATATAAGATAATATTTGACCCTAAATGGTAAAATATCTTTAATAATTTCTATTTACATTATTAACAGCATCTAAACTTTTTTAGAGTCCAGCTGTGTATGTAACTGGAGATGGATACTGTTGCCATGGAAAACGAGGAGGGAAACTGAGATATGAAACCTACAAGCACAGCGATTGATGAAATGGCCATTTTCGAGTGAACAGATTGTGTAGCAATTCAAATCCTCAATGTTGCTTTCCATAAAGTTAATGTTGGCATTTCAGGGATCAGACCATTTCTTTTATCTGATACAAATAAAAAGAACACACTCCTCCTCCTCCAATCAGCTGCTATCTGGCCTCACTTTTGCCTATCTATCATCTGTAGCCTGTTGGGACACCCTGTCCTCTCTCTCCTGCAGGTCAGGGTTTCCAGTGTGAAAACACAAACAGACCATAAATTAGAGCCACATTGAGAGTTGAGAGAGGATATTTCCCCCCCTGCATGCCACCACTCCCGAGTATAAATACATCAGGCAGAATGGCCCGTGTGTGTTTTCATGCATCTGTTAAACAGCTCGTTCTCTGAATGCCGCATGGCCAATGGGTTCAGGTAGCAATATAATGATAGATCTGAGTGCTAGTCTAAAGGCTAGTGCAGCAATATTACTGCACAGGCAAGTATGATATAGAGGGACTATCTGTAGGGCCATCACATGCTGTTCAGAATGATCACACACTTTAAGCCTTCAAATGGTAATGGTGCTCAAAGTGCATGAGAAGCCCGTGGAGAGTGATGGTCTCCATCCATCCTTCCATATTTTATGCCATCCATCCATGCATTGTCCATCCCGCTTCTTCCTCGTAGGGTCACAGTGGGCTGGAGCTGTTGTCATTGGCTGAGAGGCGGTGGACACCCTGGATGGGTAACAGGCTAATCACAAGGCCACTAAGAGACAAATGACACACAACCATGCATGCTCACTCCTATGGAAGGTTTGGAGTCACTAATCACCTTGATGTCATTGTTTTTTTATGGTGGGCAGAGGCCGGAGTTATCGGAAAGCACAGACACGTACACACAGACCACACTTAGGGTGGTATATGAACCAGGAATGTGAGATGATGGTGCCAACCGCTATACCACTTTGCAGCCGGACCATGGATGTTTGGATTAGTCTTAATAAAGTGGGATAGTTCTGACAACAGATGCCTTTATCATCCTCCATTCAAATCTTTATTTATATGTCAAAAACAACAGAAATGTACAAGATTCAAAAGACCTGTACATGTGTCAGCAAATGAGGCAGGCAGCCAGAGGCTATTGGTGCTTTGCTCTGTTCTCAAGTATAACCTCTACATAAAGGCACGCCAGTGTCTAAAACATAACTGGGGATTACTATGGCACACTCCACATTCTAACACAGGGAAATGAATACAACATGCTCGTAGCATGTGGTTTGTCTTGGTGTTTATGTGTTAACGCCACTTATGAATATCCAAAGCCACATCTGCACTTGGGCCCCGGTGTTCAGCTGTAGCTAAAAACCGAAGACTACAACAAGCTACAACAGGTTTAAGCTGAAATTGAGTTACATTTAATGCAATAATCAATGCCAATACATTTAACAGCTTTTTCAGACGTTGTAAAAATTAGATGTTGTAAAATACCTTCCCTCAGTAGTGGAAAAAACTGAAGGGGTCACCTAGTTTGAAACAGCTGCATATGAAGGACAATCTTCCACCTTATGGAAGTTTCTTAACAGATTTAATTCCAAAAAGGTGACATATAAAATCACCCCAATAGGTTCCAATGGTTCAGAGTTATTTGAATGGGTCAGTGGGTGTGTGGTTTAGACTAGCCTCTGCAAAGATGGCCAGAGTTCCTACGGTAGTGAACACAACAAAGATCCACAGGAACATGCGGTCCACTACCATGGCCACATACTGCCAGTCCTCTTTTAACTAGCAGTAGGAAGGATCCAGGGAAAAAGAAGGTAGAGGGGTTGAAAATTGGACAGTGGGAGGGGGGAGGGGCAGGATTGGGAGAAGAAAAGGTCATAGATTAGATAAGCAAACTCTACAAGGAGAAAATCATAAAACAATAGAAAGGAGTGAAAAACAAAAAGATCTGAGAGAATTACAATAAGTATCCCCACTTACAGCTTCATAGTCTTTTTCAGCCTGAAGAGCCTCAGCGATGTATGTGATTGCATCCATGGCTGACTTGAGCTCGTCCGGCAGTGAAAGGTAAGTGCTGGGCCCATCAATGAACTTTTTCAGATCTGTCCACATGCCATCAGGCTGGAATCTATACAAACACACACACAAGTCCATAACGATTACAGAGAACCATCTAAAAGATCAGATGACTCGTCTTTTCCACTCAATTACCTAAAAAGCTTTAGGCTTACTTTGTGTGTGGCATACTTTGGCAGCAAGTTTTGGGTAATCACCCATTGTACTACAAAGTCTCCCCTAATAACATTTTCACATTTGGATGCTTGTGAGCAGAAAGAACATTCTTGTATTTCTAATTCCCAGATGCTTCTGTTTCCAGTCACATTAGCAGCATATACAAATGGTTGAATGCCACTGCACGCAGTTTGTCCTCATGGCATCATGGAGCCTCCACAATTTACAGCTGATGAAGTATACTTTGGACTTACTCCAATTCTCAACATCTGGTTTGCTTTGTGTCAGTTTGTCCCGGGTTCATTCAAGATTAATCTGTCCAAAAATGCTGATCTGGCTTGTTTAACTATGTGTGAACATCCTGAAAAGATGGTCCTTCATCTGGATGTTGTGATGAAAGTTCACAGATGTGTGTCTTTTTCTTCTAATTCCTGAACCTTTCCATGTTTCCAACTATAGATGAAGATGTGTTTGAGTGATATTTGAGGTATTTACTCTCAGCCAACGTGCAAAGACATGCGACTGTATATTTAGCATGTTTTGACAAACAGCTAAAACCACAAAAACCTTGGCAGTACCAAGATATCTCCATCCTAGCTGTAAATCTCAGTGGTAATTCAGGACAAAGTGTCAAACTGGAAAAGAGGACACAAGCTTGCAGAATGTAGCAACGTGCGAGCTGGTGCCCATCCATGCTTATTAAAAGCTGTAAACTAGTAAAGCCTTTATGAGCCTGGCTGCATGTCTTCTTTACACACTTCTGTCATTTCGAAAAAAAATAAAAAGGAAAAAAAAAGTCAGAGGGGCTCCCAGGGTTCCCTGCTGCCAGAGTGGGAGTTGCTGCTCTGCATCTGCCGTGTGGGCTGCTCTGGCTGACAAACACTCAGTGTGTGTGTGTATGTGTGTGTGAATGTTCCTGTGTTTACTTGTTTCCCTCAGTTACCACCGTCAGCTGCTGCAGGAAGCCAGGAGAACACTGCTGTGGGTTCCTTCGGAACACCGCAGAATTGTTCACACAAGTGTTCTAAAATCATATCTTGGACTTGTTTTCTTTAACCATGACGTTGCATCAGTTGAACCTGGGCAAATGATCTTTCCCAGTTGTTATTTATTTATTTATTCATTCATTCATTTATTTATTTATTTATTTATTTATTTATTTATTTATTTATTTATT